AAATAACTATATTTGTTATTGAATGTACACATAAAAATGATGCAATTACAGCATGAATAACATAAATGTGAAGAGAGAGAAAAGTACAGAATGTATGTAATCAAATAATCAGCTTAAAGTAAAAAGTTACAACTGTTAAGATATTTTATGTAACTGCTATAGTTTGGATCTTGATGTCCTGAAAGGTTTGGTCCCCATAGTGGTGCTATTGAAAAGTGGTGGAACTTTTAGAAAGTGGGGGCCCAGTGGGAAGTCTTTAATCACTAGAGGCATGCTCTAGAAGGAAACTGTGAGACCCTGGCCTCTTCCTACTCTCTTTTACCTCTTGGCCATGATATCCCTAATGAACATAGATTAAAAAAAAATTCTCCAAACAAACAAACAAACAAACTAGCAAACCAAATTCAATAGCATACATCATGAAAAAGTGAGACTTATCCCTGGGATGCAACAATGGTTACATACATAAATGAATAAACATGATATGCCACATTAACAGAATCAAGGCTAAAAATATCAAAAGACGCACACACATAAAAAAACCATTTGATAAGATTTAGCATTCTTTCATGATAAAAATGCATGATATAGAAGGAAGAAAATTAGGTACAGAAGAAATGCACTTCAACATAATAAAGGTAAAATATGACCAAACCACAGCTAACATATTCAACAGTAAAACGCGTAAAGCTTCTTCTAAGATGAGTAAAAAGATAAGCTACACATTCTCACTTCTATTTAACATAGTTCTTAAAGTCCTAGCCAGAGTAATTGAAAGAAAAGGAAATACTGCAAGATGCATCCAAATCAGAAACAAAGTAGTAAATTTGTTTCTGTTGTCATATGATATGATCTTATATATATAAAATTCTAAATACTACACACACTCACACACACACACACAAAACCTGCTAGGATGAATAAACAAATTTAGTAAAGTTGCAGAATATAAAATCAACATACAAAAATCATTTGGATTTCTATGTAACAACAACAAATTCTCTGGAAAAAATAAAGAAAGCAATCCCACTTACAATAGCATTGAAAATATTATTTAACATTCATAATACATATGTAAAATACATAAAATACTCAGGAATAAACTTAACCAGGGAGGTGAAAGATTTGTACAAAGAAAATTATAAGAGAAGACATAAATAAATGGAAAGACAGCTCATGCTCATGAATTGGAAGAAATCTTTTACTGAAAATAATATGCAGGTTCAGTGCAATCACTATCAAGTATTAAAAGCATTTTTCACATAAATAGAAAAAGCAATCCTAAAATTTGAACCACAAATGATCCTGAAGAGTCAAAGCAATTTTGAAAAAGAAGAACAAAGCAGGAGACATCACATGTCCTGACTTCAAACTATATCACAAAGCTATAGCAATCAAAATACAATGGTACTGGCGTAGAAACAGAACCCAGGGTCCCTGGAATGCAAGGCAAATGCTCTACCACTGAGCATTTGGAATGCAAGGTCAATCATAGTCTCTACAGACCAATTTAATAAAAAGCAGAGTTAAGTTAGACCTCAGACAAGATTGTATGTACTACTGACATCAAAAATATGTTTAAAACTTTTGATCCTTTTTGCTGAGCTGAAAAGCATGCTTTTGTAGATTTACGGCTACATATTAAGTACCAGCCTATGCTTATCTATTTAAGTAGATACCATATCTGACATGGCAGTCAACTGGCTAATTTCACTCTAGTTGAACATTCTCTACCACAATCATGGTATGTAATGCAGGCTTGGACTTAATTTATGACTTGGTCTTCATAAGCCCCCATTTAGAGAGGCCAGTGATGGCACTTGGGGTCTCTAGCAATAATGTCAGTTTACACCCTATATCTAATGGCCCTAGAAAAGTCTAGTTCCAAGTATATGAATTTTTAAAAATTGTTGAGATTCAATCACAAAGCACCCTGTTATTTCTCTTTATAATTATATTGAGAGCTTTCCATGCCTCTCAAGATATAGTGTATTGTGGAATTACTGTTCATAAAATCATGTCAGGCCTTTCTCCCAATTTTGGAAATATTCTTTCCTAAAACTGAAGGCATATTTCTGATCATGTCACACAGGCTCAGCTGATACTAACTCCAAGCTGACATGTTTACTTCTTCATTATTTCCATATCCATTAGCTGTCCATCAGAATAAAATCCAAAGTAACTGTTCTCTACATTACTTATATCATTAGCCTGTTATTCATTTTGCTTTTTAACCATTTGCTCTGTTTTTAGCAGAATAAAATGTTCAGCAGCAGTTTAGAAAATTGAAGTCATCCATCATTACTGTATCACATCTCTATCAGTTTCCTGATCAGTATTAAGAACTGCCACTGAGTGCTGGGTGTGGTGGTACACACCTGTGATCATAGCCACTTGGGATGCTAAGGCAGAAAGAAGGACTCCAAGTTCGAGGGTAACTTCAGCAATTTAGCAAGGCCCTAAGCAACTTAGCTAGACCCTGTCTCAAATTTAAAAAAAAAGGGGGAGAGGGGTCAGAGATTAAGTCAGTATTAAAGCACTCCAAGGTTCAATCCCTAGTACCAAAAAATTAACCATAGTAGTTGGTATTGCTTTGGCACCTCCTACAATTAAGTCACTTCTGATCACCTCTCATTTTATCCTCATTCAAATGTGTACTATCATGCTTCCCCAGGTTTCTTACACTCAGTAGTATAAATTCTTATGTTAATTTTTATGTATCTAATCCTCATTAGAAGAAATAGTAATACATTTCACAGATGAATATTATTTTCCAAGCCTCAGTAAAACTGCTTAGAAAAAAAGTAAAAAATTTTCTTACATGGTCATAAATAACAAAAATTCGATTGTCAGAACCTGACACTTCAGAATGCTTTAGAATGCCTTCTACCCAATTTCTGTTCCTATTCCTAGTTTTTAGCCCTATACCCATGTTAATAGGTACAGAAAACAAAATGAGACAATTATAGAATTACAAAACTTTTTGAGCAATATTGCCACCATTTTAAGAAACTTACTGATCTACAAAATAATATTAATAGCTTGATAAAGGAAATGGTATAACTTTATACAAAATGATGCTTAAAGAAAGGTTATTTATTTTCACATATAAATATTTGAACCTACAACTTTAAACATTTTTTTAAGGGATATGGTCAGCAAAAGTATTATGGTTCTGTAAATTTCTGTAATGTTTAACAATTTAAGTTTATAGTTGGTAGGGTTTTTTTTGTGAATGAAAAATGAGCTTTTTGAAATATGAAGGGACTGATGGTGTACTTGTTCTATTTGTTGTGTCAAAAATCAATCTACAGGGGCTGGGGCTGGGGCTCAGAGATAGAGTGCTCGCCTAGCACGTGCAAGGTGCTGGGTTCAATCCTCAGCACCACATAAAAGTAAATAAATAAAATATAGTGTCCAACTACAACTTAAAAAAAAAATCAATCCACAGGGCTGAGAATACAGCTCACTTGATAGAGTGCTTGCCTTGCATGCAAAGGCATGGGTTATCCCCAACACCATAAATAAATAAATAAATAAATCCACTGAACAATTCTGAACAATTTATAAAATCCAGAAATAGGGCTGGGGATGTGGCTCAAGCGGTTGTGCGCTCGCCTGGCATGCGCGGGGCTCTGGGTTCGATCCTCAGCACCACATAAAAAATAAAGATGTTGTGTCCACCGAAAACTAAAAAATAAATATTAAAAAAAAAATCTGGAAATAATTATCAGCTATCATATATACATATATATATGTCATATATATACACACACACAAAATATGTGTATCACATATGTATTATAAATGTTAAATAATATTTTGTATATTTATTACATTTGTTAGAAAATACACTTTTTAATATAATGATTAGAAAAAGATTTTCCTTTAAAGGCACTGACATAATGTACAAATTTCCACACACATTCCCAAAAAAATCTAACCATTCAGAAAAACTGTTTTGTTTGATAATACTGGGTATTAAACCCAATGCCTCATGCATTCTAGGCAAACACTCTACCACTGAGATGCATCCCCAGCCCTTTAGAAAAACTGATTCATAGTAATCAAATTTACCAAAGATGGCTATTTAACACCAAATGTAAAGCATTTTATGAGCAAAAATTTATACTGATCTATTACTACATTCTCATTTTAGTAATGAAATCTGTGTAGGAAGCAAATGTTCACATGGTAACCATGGAATCATAACAAGGTAGAATTAATCAGACATATATTGAAAACACAAGAATATGCTCTCATTTACTATACATGTATCCCCAATATGGCTTTTAGCTGAAAAGTAAATGACATGTTTAGATTGGCTGGGTTGAGTACTTATACTGCTAATTTTCCCTCTGTGGCTAAGGTGATACGTGACAACAGGGTGAATCTGTAAAACATAAAGCATTTGTGGGGAATTCTAAGATATGCCTGGGAAAAAGAACTACCAAAAGAAGTGGACTTCTTACAGACATATGAGAAAGGGGGCTAGAATTACTGTTGTTGCTTTATATTAAAGGGAAAGGTGTTTCTTACAGTCTAGCAAGGAAGATGTGAAAGTGTTCAAATGTACCATCCTCTCTTTCATCCAAATCTTTTAATGTGATCTCCCCTCTATTTATAACATCTTCCTTTCTATCTTTATTCTTCTTTGATAGCACCTGGCATCTCTCCTCACCCTTCTGCTCCCCAGGTTTCCTGTCTTTTGTCTGACTTTACTTCTCATCTTTTGGTCTTAACGTAAAAGCAATTTCTTCCAGAAAGGCCTTTCTGACCTCCTAGATATGACACTCAAAGCATCTTGTACTTCTTCACGTCCCTTATCCCACATTCAGCAGAAACTAAAACTACAATATAATGCAAATCTTACAAAAGAATAAATGTTTCAGTCTTGCTCTACCTGGTATCTTTAGTGCCCAGCACTGTGCTTCCATACTGATTCTTAATAAGTAATTAGGATAAAGTTTAGCTACTTAACAGAGATCTTCAACATTGAGTGGCTTAAAAAAGAAGTTTATTTGTCACTTATGTAGTAGTCCGAGGAGCACATTCCAGGTCACTTAGGCACCCACGTTCCTTTTATTTTGTTTTTCGCCTATGGTGTTTTCCTCATCCACATGGTTGAAGTTTGGTTGCAGGCAATTCCAGCTCTAGGGAAAGGGAAAGACCTTGGAGAAGCACATATTTAAAATTTTGATGTCCTGGTCTGAAGTGGCACACATCATTTCTGCTCTTGTTCTGCTGGTAAGAACTTAGTCACTGGAGGGCCTGTGAAATGTTATTATCTAGGAATGGGCCCAGCTAAAACTCTGTTATTATTATTATTATGAAAAGAAGAACTGATATTTGTAAAAAAAATGAGTAGTCTTCACCACAGCATGGTTGTATGCTTTTCTTTAGCAATATACAATACCTTAAAAAAAGTAGGACAGTTAAAGAGTTTGGTAGTTTCCTGTGTAACTAAAGAACTAGAAATCTTAGGATAATGGAAAGGGAATGATTTGAAGTCGCAGGCCATTATTATAACTAGGCTAATAAGAAATCAATAATAATAGATGCTACCAGTTAACATTTATTATGTGTCAGGTATTATTCAAAGGGCTAAGAGTATACTGACTTGTTGAATATTCATAATTATTGAGGTAGGTACCATTATTCTGTTTTACACTTGAGTAAATAAAGGCACAGAGATTAAGTAATTTGCCCAAAGTGATACAGCAAATTAGAAATCCAGCTGGGTTCAAAACTGGTCAGAATTAATCTGGTTCCAGAGACCATATTCTTGACCACAGGATTACACTGCCTCAATGATAACAACTACTATCTATTGAGTATTTAGTCTATTCAGATAGCATACTAGTATTTCACATTTTTCACCTTATTTAATCCTGATAAGGATTAGATGCTTCTAAAGTAGGTATTAATTTTATTTTACATTTAAAGCGTCTTAAATTTAGTTAATTATTGCTCAAGGCCATATAGCTTATAAAAGAAAAACAGGATCAAATCCACCTCTGTGTGACTGTAAAGTCCATTTCTTATGTTTAAATTTCTAAATTTTTTATTGAGGTAGAATTCAGCTATTGAAAGTTTACTTCTGCTTCTTTCCATTAAATTCTTCCTGCAGAGGCGATCACTGTTCTGATATCTATTATCATAGATCTGTTTATTCTTGAAATTCAAATAAATGGAATCTTGTACTATTTACTTTTGTGTGTAGATTTTTTTCTTTCAATATGTCTTTGAGATTTATCCATGTTACTGGATATTAACAGTTCATTGTTTTTACAGTATTTAGTTGTCTGAATATACCAAGATACTTATTCATTCTTGTACTGATAGACATCTGAGTTGCTTCCAATTTTTGGCTATGGATGAAAAAAGATACTATAAACATTAATGTTCTTTTTTTGGTGGATATATATATTTTTATTTCTCTTGGTTAAATACCTAAGAGTAGAAATAAACTGGGTTAAACAGTAGATGCATGTACAGTATTGAAAGGAAATTCCAAACAACTTTCCAGGTGGTTGCAGATGTTTTACATCATTTGGTGTTGCCAATCTTTTTAATATTAGCTCTTCTCGTAGGTATTTCTTTGTGCTTTTAATTTGTAATTCCTTGATGACTGAAGAAGTTGGATACTTTTAAATGTGTATATGACCATTCCCATCCATTCTGGAAAGTGTTTCAGTGTTTTCCCTGTTTTAAAATTAGGGCATTTGTCTTTTTATATTGATTTAAAGTGAACTCTGAATTTTCACTTATAACTTCTGTCATATATATATTAATAGCACTCATTTCATTATCTTTTTTTTCTTTTCTTAATGGTGAGTTCTGATGAGCACAGTTTTGAATACTGATCAAGTCCAACTTATTGACTTTTTCTTTTCTTTCCTTCCTTACTTTTCTTTTGCAGTTCTGGGGTTTGGGCTCATGGCCTTATGCATACTAGAAAAATGTACTATCAGAGCTATACCTTCAGCCCCTTAACTTTTTCTTTTATAGTTAGTATAGTTAGTGCTTTTTAGGTCCTAAGATATGTCTCTTTATCCTAAGTTCATGAAATTATTCTCATATTTCTTTCGTAGGCTTTATAGTTTTAGTATTTATATTTATGTCTATGATCCATTCTGACCTAATTTTTATATGTAATATGAGGAGGGGACTGATTGAAGTTCTTTTTTCCCTATTGTACCATTATCATTTGCTAAAGACTTTCTTTTCAACACTGAATAGCTTTCACCCCTAATTAAAAATCAATAAAATAACTATATATTTTAACAGACTGTATATGTGAATATACTTTAAATTATATATGTGATAAAATATGTAGTCCACTCTGTTCTATTACATATATATGAACTATCCTTTTGGTTCTGTTAATATTGTAACGTAGTAATAATTATTGAAATCATATCATGCAAGTCTTCCAATTTTATTCTTTTTCAAGATTATTTTGTCTCCTCTAGGTCCTTGACATTTCCAATTAAATTTTAGAGTTAAGACTGTTGATTTCTTTAATTAAAAAAGGGAAAACTTACTGGGATTTTTGTTTGGGTTTGCATTAATCTACAGATCAATTTGGAAGCACCTATCCATTCATGACCATGGTACATACCTACATCCACTTCTAACTTGTCTTGGCAATAAATTTTTACTGTATAAGTCTTCTTTTTTTTTTTTCACTAGGTACTCCACTTTTGATGTTGTTGTAAATACTTAACACTCTTTATTTTCCAATTGTTTGCTGCTTAAAATATATTTAATTTTGCATACTATCTACACCTTAAGAGCTTGCTAATAAACTAATTAGTAATAAATACTTACTTCTCCATTTATAATTTGCCTCCCTTATATTTTTTTCTTACCATATTGTATTGTATAGTATATTCATATAATTGATGAGAAGTGGTGAAAGCAGATATCTTTACTTGTTCTCATCTTTCTTTAAAATATTTTTTTAGTTATAGATGGACACAATATATTTTATTTTTATTTATTTATTTTTATGTGGTGCTGAGGATCGAACTCAGGGCCTCATACCTGCAAGACAAGTGCTCTACCACTGAGCTTCAGCCCCAGCCCAACCTTGCTCTCATCTTAAGGGAGAAAGCATTAATTTTTAAAACATTTAGTGTAATGTTAGCCATATAATTTTCTTTTCTTTCTTTCTTTTTTTTTTTTTTTGGTACCAGGGATTGATTTACTTAAATAGTAAGTCAATAAAAAGTCAAATAGTAAATTATTTAAACTTGGTTAACAGTCTTTGTCATGACTATTTAATTCTGCAGTTATAGTGCAAAAACAGCCAAAGACAATTTTATTTTCAAGTCAGAAATGGGTCATGTGGCCAGAGGGATTTAGGAGGCTGACCTGTAGTCTATGTCCACAAGGGATATCTTCTTTCAAATTATGGCAGAACTTCTTAATTCTTTTAGGTTTGGGTTTTTCCTTTACTAGGGTGAATCTATTTTGGCTTTGATTTAGTTCAGTGGTGTGACCTTAACTCAACGACTTGGTTTTATTTGTAAAATTTGGCATTTATGATGTTTCAACTGCATGCTGAGGTACTCAGCAAGTTACCTGTGTCTATGGCTGGGCCAGAACTCCAACATTGCCCAGAACTTTGAAATTTCTGGTAATTTCCTTTCTACTCAGCCACATAGTAGCCAGTTTTTAAGCTGCAAATTTTTTTCCATTATATGTTGAGTTTGCTCTTTGCAAAGGAGTTGAGGGAAACCCTCAGTCTTTGGCTAACCTTTCTGAAAAGATTCCTTATCTCTGGTATTCTGCCTAAAAAATTCCACTGTAGCAACACTGAACTTTGATATATGCCTACTTAGCTCAGCATGATATTACCACAGTTTTAATGAATAAGTCTAGGCAAATACTGGGGGTAGGCAAATTTGAGAGCCTAGGCAAATAATGGGGCTAACTGTGAATATTTCCTTTCTTTCAAGGATTACAGTCTTGTGCTTCCTGCAATTCCATGCCTGGAAAGAGCTTCATACATATTTTGTCCAGTTTTTTAATTATGTAGGGCATGAGGGCAAGACTATTACCAATTATTTCATCATGGTTAGAAACCTAAGTTTATCTATTCAAAGTGTATATTCTTAAATAATTCATAAAGTACTTCTATACTGGGATTCTTTATTGGAGAAAAATAGTAAATGAAAATAATTATTAATAATCTGGAAAAACATTAACAGGGGTTAGGGAGTAAGAAAACTGAAAGAATATGAAGTTGTCAAATAATGAATGGGAATGCTGATTTGAGAGATGAAGGACATGATAACAAGCCCCTGATATAGCCACAGGTATGGATGGCTGAACCACAGTAGTTTTTCTACATTTTGCAAAAAGGGAAAAGAATGATCTTTGATGGCAAGAATGGGTGAAAAATGATACAAAATAAGCAAACCAAAATGGAAATTTAAAAAAGCAGAAAAAAGCAAATTGAGGAAAATCAAATTTAAATTTTTCTTCTTAAAAAAATAACTACAGGGATTTGAGGGTATAGTGCAGTGTTAGAACACATGCTTAGCATGCACAAGAACATGGGTTCAATCTCCAGTACCGCCACCCAATCCTCCAAGGACAAAAACAAAACAACTACAACTATAGGATATCCAGGGAATTGTTGGGTTAACAGCAAAAAGTAAGATCTGTTGTAAGGCAAAGATGGAGACATAGATCTGGGAGTTATTACTATAAAGATTTTTATTGAAGCAACAGAACTGGATGAGATTATCTAGGAAGGACATGTACCGTAAGAAGGGAGGTACAGGTAGAAACCAAAGGATCCCAGTATTTTAGAGTCAGGCAGACAAAGATACTGAGATACTTAAATACTGAGAATGATGTTCAGAGAAGTTAAAGGCAAATATATTTGGTTCAAATTTTAGATGTTATAAGCTATATGACCATGAGAAGATAAATCTTTTTGTATCTGTTTTTTTCTTCTACAAAAATATGGTGATAAATTAAAAAATGGTGATAAATAAGAGAGGCAACTATCAAGTGGAATGTGAAAAGGACCAAACAAGAGTATGCAACATAGAGAGGCAGAATTTTTTTGACTGGTAGGTAGTATATTCTATTTTGTTTTGCTTTTTTGCTTGTTTATTTTAGGCTAGGGAAAGGATTTAAACATGTTTATATGAACAGAAGGAGCCAAAGGGATGGGGCTAAAGTATATGAAAGAAGTCAGAGAAAGAAGCTGAAAGTAAATAAGCCCTTGGAGATGGGATGGAAGAAAAAGCTGAACCCTGAAGGTACATGTTTTTCAAGAATTAAGAGTCCAACTTAGAGTGGAAACTACAAATTTATAAAGGTATCAGATATACATTGTGACGCTATTAATTAACACTAAGTAGTCCTGGAGTAAGAAGTGACAAGGCACATGGTAGAAAGACAGGGAAATAAGAGTGCTAGAAGAGAACACTGAATCAGCAAGTGACTCTTTGGATCAATACACTAGTAAATAGCAACAAGAAGATAAAACTTTATTCTATTCCTGACAAATAATTACAAATTTAAAATTAGTGTTGTTAAAATAGTAATATCAATATATTAATGGTTTTAATGTCTAACTCTTCGAAAATATTAATCCCATACAACTTTTTAAGGATACATTTATATTCATTTATAAATTCAATATCTGGTATAAAGACATCAAGACTCTTGAGAAATTTTTAAATATGAAGGCTTAAACATCTCACCTTACTTGTGCTGCACTATTTTTATTCTATCACAGAGCTAACTAACCATGTATATATAAAGTCATTAGCCCAAAGCTCATCTCTTGATACTTAAATTAGTTTCTTTAGAACATATTAACTTCTATCATTATGTTAAACAATTCTACCTATAAAACTAAAATAATAATCTATTTCATAAGTTGTTATGAGGTTTAAATGAGTTTAAGTATAAAGTGCCTAGAATAATATCTGATAAATAGTAAACACTACACAAGTTACCCATTATTATATAATTATGAACCTGTCACAGAATGACTTTTAAATTCATATTAACTTAAAAATTAAGTATTACTAGAAAAATAGCAAATAATATAGCAGTATGATTAAAAATGTAAATAAGTATTACATATTTTAACAATGATCTTTGCATAATAAACAAAGACAAAGAAAGCAGTAAGTTTAAACAAAAAAAAGGGTTAATTTTCTCTAAAAATGTAATTAACTTTTAAAAGAAAGGGATTTCTTTAAAAAATTAAAATATAAAATTTATTCAAAAGCAATAAATAACAGCTTCTATGCAATATGAGCTACATATAATAAGTAAACACAGCACAGTACCAATAATTCCACTTTTTTCATCAGGACATCTTCTTTTAATTACAAGTTTTCTCCCTAGAGTAATGCAAAATAATTGATTAATATCTGAAATATTCTTATATTGATTTAACATTAAAAGTATACTGTAATAGTCAGAAACATAATTTAAAGCAAGAATGAGAAATATTTAAGTCAACTGCAAAATATGAATCAGAAAGTCAATAATAGACCACATGGATACAGATAGCAAGTAATTCTGGAGGAGTAGATGGGAGTACAGATTAAACTAAAGTGATTTTAAAACTCAAAATGGCATATCAAAATAACAGATGTAGGCATCAGTGTCCTCTTATAGTTCAAAGGCACATGAAAAAGAAAAAAGTCTTAAGGATAGAAAGAAAAAGAAGATAGATGTTTGTATGCACAACAAAGAAAAGTAGGAAGATAGAGGAAAAGGAGATTTAAAAAATACAAGTTAAATATTTTTGTCATATCTTGGACTTTACCTGGGCTATGAATTTGAAAATATTATCGTGTACCTAGGTATTTCCCTATATTCCTGCTTCATCTCATTTTTGGCCTATTTTTGTTTTCCCTATAGCCGATTTTCTCACTTCTAATTTTTCATATGTACCATATTTTGTAAACTATGTACAACCCCCTTTTAGAATAAAATGAATACAAACAATACTTTTCTTATAAATTCCTAATAAACATCCACTGTTCTGATCAAAAAAATGATTAGAATAGTTCTTATTGTGAAGTCTCTGAGCTCTCTGAAATTGTGTTCAAAACTGTATAACTTTTTAAGTTCTGAGCTTTTCTCAGAGTTAGAAGTTCTATGTTAGACTCTATGTTATAGTCTTGATTGTGAATAGAATTGCCAAGATAGGAATATGAATTATTAACCATTAGAAAATCTTTATTAGGGCTGCAACAAAAAAAGAAACTAACATTAATTAAGCCCTTCTCATGTGCCAATTTCCATTGTACCAGGGGATTTTTTTTTTTTTTGGTACTGGAGATTGAATCCAGGGTCACTTAACCACTGAGCCACATCCCCATCCATTTTTAATATTTTATTTAGAGACAGGGCCTCGCACAGTTACTTAAGTCCTCCCTAAATTGCTGAGGCTGGCTTTGAATTTGTAATCCTTTTGTCTCAACCTCCCCAGCCACTGGGATTACAGGCATGCGCCACCACAACCAGTACTGTACCAGTGGATTTTAGGAATGCATTGTAGAGTAGGGCTACATTCTGAGCAGTTGATTTTCTACATAGAGCCCAACAATAATGACCCCAGCCTTTGCATTGCTTAAGGGCTCTTTACACAAATCAGATGATGAATTAAATTCTCTATAGACTTGGCTGATTTGATTTTTCACAGAAATTAAAGTTACATCATGTGTAGGAAACAATTTACGATATCTCATGAGTAGTAGTAACATCTCATGACAACTTCAAACTAAACTTTTAAACTTTAGTCACTTAATGATTTTTTTAACAGTGCAGATTACATTTGAACATGGGTGGGGTTGTGGCTCAGTGGTAGAGCACTTGCCTCCCATGTGTGAGGCACTGGGTTCGATTCTCAGCACCGCATATAAATCAATAAAATAAAGGTCCATTGACAACTAAAAAAATATTTTTTTTAACATAGCAGATAAAGACAATTATTTAAAAAGTCAAGTATAGCAGTGAAGAAGTTAAAGACACCATAATTAGGACAAAAATTTCTATGGAGCTCCCCTTTCCTTGGTGCCTGAAACTCCTGCTTATTTTTCTTAATGATTAATTCAGGACTATTCTAGGGCCTTTGTATAAGCACCATGAAAAGAGATGAATGAGTTCAGGCACAATTCACTAATCAAACTAACTACTTTCGTATCTGTTTGGCATAATTGGTTTCTTCACATTTCATTTAAACAGAGTCTCTCTGGCTTAAAAGGTTTTTTTTGTTTTTGTTTTTGTTTTTGTTTTGTACTGGGGATTGACTCCAGAGATGCTGAACCACTGAGCCACATCCCCAATCCTTTTTTATTTAGCCACAGGGTCTTGCTAAGTTGCTTAGGGCCTTTCTAAGTTGATGAGGCTGGCTTTCAACTCATGATTCTCCCGTCTCAGCCTCCCAAGCTACTGGGATTACAGGTGAATACCACCATGCCTGGCTTAAAAGAGTTTTTGTTATAAATATATACATGTCTTTCTCTATATAAATTTATATATAGACATATATATTTATGTATATTTATATATATAAATTAAATATATATTTATTTTAATTGTAGATGGACACAACACTTTATTTATTTATTTATTTATCTATCTATCCTTATGCAGTGCTAATAATCAAACTCAGTGCGCCTCACATGTGCCAGGCAAGTGCTCTACCACTGAGCCACAACTCCAGCCCTTAAAAGAGTTTTAAAATCCTCCCTGTAAATTAGAGATCAACGTAATGTCATACTTAATAGTGGGCATAATACACTGAGGATCAGAACTAGACTGCAGATCAAGTCTCCACACTCCAATTAAAAAAAAAAAAAATCTCTTATTTTTTAAAAAATTTACAAGTGGTATACATTTATTAAGGTAACATACATGTGAATGACCATGAAGTCATTTAACAGTAAAGGTAGAGCAAGTCAAAGTTTCATTCAACAATAGCAGTTTTATCTCTGAATTTTCTTACCTTCCATTAAAGGGAAAAAAAGACAAAAAACAAAGAATAGTGAAATTAGAGAAGAAAGAAATAGAGACCCATCAGAAAAAGCAGCAAAAAGATGTCTTCAATTACCCTTGCCCCTTAAGAGAAATGTATAATATACAAGGAGCAGTCACTTGAAAACTAAAAAGTCAAGATGAGCATTTGTCTAGTAAACATCGTAGAGATGAAAAAAATGGAGCAATGAATGGAGCTTTGAGCAACCCAAAGAGCCAGTCCTTTCTATCAAAGACAAAATTGAGCTGATCTAGGGAATGTGATTGAGGCACATGAGGTGTAAGAATTCCACGTGACCTTTAAGTTCTAAGTACTGACTGTGGTTAATGAATTTAAAACTCAGTAGAACATCATTCAAAATAAACAAAACTATTTGAGCACGGAATTTAACTTTTGATTTTACGAATTTAATTGGGTACAGAATTTTGAATATTTTAGTTTAGTACTAAGCTTCTATGATAATGGAATGGTAAAATTCCTTGATAAAACATAAAATGACAAGATATTCAAATGCATCTGCATATTCCAATAACCTACAGAATAAGTAATCATTCTATCAATTGTGTATTAACTTTAAGTTCTACTCTCCTAACCCCTAATTGACTAAGCAGCTTCAAGACCAATCTATTTAATCAGAAATTACTGAAGAGGATATAAACACAATCAATGTAAACAGTATAGTACAGAGCAGGGACTCAGTTTACTCATGTGTAATAATGGGGACAATGACATTATTCATTACAATAGAAGAACTATTAGGTTTTCTCTGTGTATGTGTGTTTTGCGAGAACTCAGTGTCTCGAACATGCCAGGCAAGTCCTCTACACCTCCAGCCCTACTAAGTACTATTACTTTGTACTATTAGGATAATAATAATAACTATTGCAGGTACTATTACTGAGCTATTATAAAGATTAGGAGTTCATTTATGTTAATTATTCAGTGCCTAATATATAGTAAATGCTATGTCTTGTTATGATCACAATCTGTCACTACATTTATCAAAATTATCCTGCACAAATTAGGCTTTGTTTCTACCAAAAATAGACCCTTACACACCTGATTCTAAGGGTCATTGGAATAGGGCAGAGGTTCTTGAAAGGAACAGTAATGACCTATAGGGAACATTCTAGAAATCTGTGAGGGTAGTTTGAGTTGTCACTAAATTGAAGAGAAAGGGAAATCCTGCTTCTGCAATGTAATAGGCAGGGACAAACAATGCCAGATCTGGTCCTATGATTTACAGGGTTGGTCCCACATGACAAAATTACCTGGCTAGTAACTCTATTAAACTTTCCTATTTTACCTATACTCTCCCATTCTCCAAGTTAACTATTTCATATACCTTCTTTGCTTTTAAATCTCCAATGCCTTATCCTAACTTAGATAATAGCCCTGTTTGTTAATCAATAAATTCTTCTACCACCACCAAACCTTCTAGTCCATGTGTTTCTATTCCCACATTTTTTGCTCTTCTTCTTACTACAGTCAATAAACTTCTTCCTTTTTACCTAAGACCAGTCCCTCTACCTCTCTAATTGTATCTTTTTTGGTCACTGTTTTTCATGGTATTGAGGACTGGAGGCAGGACCCCCACATGCAAGGCAAGGCTCAAACAGTGAGCTATATTCTCAACCCTTTTTAAATTTTTGAGACAAAGTCTTGCTAAATTACTCAGGCTGGCCTTGATTTTGCAATCCTCCAGCCTCAGCCTTCCAAGTAGCCAGGATTACAGGCATGTGTCATCACACCCAGCTAAATCTAAAGTTGTTTGTTTGTTTGTTTTGGTACCAGGGATTGAACCCAGAACCCACAGGCACTTAACCACTGAGCCACATTCCCAGCCACTTTTTATTTTAAGACAGGGTCTCAATAAGTTGTTGAGGGTCTCACTAAGTTGTTGAGGCTGGTTTTGAATTTGCAATCCTCCTGCCTCAGCCTCCCAGGCTGCTGGCATTATAGGCACCTGGCTCCCATTCGATTTGCTTACCGGCTTTTCTTCCTAACACTTTTTTTGTTTTTAAACCTGGCATTATTATACAAAGTACATGTATGAAGACTTGAATTGGGTATCAACATGCCTTATATACAGAGATATGAAAAATTGTGGTATATATGTGTATTAAGAATTGTAATGCAAAAAAAAAGTACATGTATAATGGCATAAAGTGACGTGAACATACTTTATATACAGAGATACAAAAAATTGTGCTCTATATGTGTAATAAGGATTGTAATGCATTCCACTGTTGTTGTGTATTTAAAAAAAATAATAAAATCATTAAAAAATCCCTTTGAAAGTATTAAAAAAAAAACTCTGGCTTTATAACAATAATCTATTTACTTATTTACTCTCTACCCCGCTAAAATGTAAGCTCCATGTGCAAAGGATATTGGTCACTTTTATTTGTTTCTATAATCCCAGTGCTTGATATATAGTAGGTGCTCAATAAATATTTATTGATAACAAATCTTTACATATTTGGGTCTGCAACGACCCTGTGCACAAGTGTGCTTGCCACAACAGTTTTGAAGTGGTTTGAGGCCTTGCCCTGATCCATCCAGATCAAGATTATAGAAATTTCAGACAATTACTGGTTATAACGGCTCATGCCATAATCTCAGAGGCTTGGGAGGATCCTAAGTTCAAACCCAGTCTCAGAACTTAGCAAGGCCCTGAGCAACTTAGAGACCCTGTCTCAAAATAAAAAATAATAGTAATAAAAAAATTCAAAAAGTTTGAGTTCAATTCTTGATATCAAAAAAAAAAAAATCAGACAACGAAAAAAAAAAGAAAAAAAGAAATGTCTATGAATAAATTAAATATCTGAATAAATAATATCTAATAAACACAACCACAGTTTCAAATGCTAGATTTTATTAGACTTTCACAGGGAAAATTTCACCGAGATGGAGTTATATTTTAAAAATTTCTATTATTTGCCTTAGCTTTATTAACAGGTTGTAAGCTATTACAGCAGATATCAAATCTTAGGCAGTTTAATAAGTACAGGAACTTTTATACATAGCTCAACATTTTTCATTGTATAATTGATATAGTAGCTATCCAGTTAGACATAAGTCTTTAAGAAAAAGGGCAGGGACAATGATGGTACTGACTTGTTTGCATTTGTATTTTTCACTTCATAAATTTAACTGAATGAAAACTCTATTACAAAAACATATAGAATGTACAAAAATGTCTTATAAAAACAATTAGTGTGCCAAGCATAGTGACGCACACCTGTAATCCCAGTGGCTTTGGAGGCTGAGGCAGAGGGATCGCGAGTTCAAAGCCAGCCTTGGCAAAAGTGAGGGACTAAGCAACTCAGTGAGATCCTGTCTCTAAATAAAATATAATATAGGGCTGGGGATGTGGCTCAGTGGTTGAGTGCCCCTGAGTTCAATCTCCAGTACACCTCCCAAAAAAGACAAAAACAAAACAAAACAAAAACAATTAGTGCAATTACCAATCCACACAGAATAATATAAATAAAATGGATAATAAATTTGGTAGAAGTCATTGTAAATTGCTATCCCTTAATTAACAAGTTTTTCTAAAGGGAGTTAAGTTTACATTTCACAATTCCTATCTCTATATTAACAGAAGACCTTTTTTTTTTTTTTTTACAAAATTAAAGCTGATTAAAAACTCTTGAAGGCATGCAGGGAATAGTAACATTCAATAGTTCTATTCAGCAGAGAAACCCAAGAAGTTAAAAGATGGAAAAGAAATTACAGGTATTTTCATTATTGCAAATCACATTTTGAACTTAATTTTTTAAAATGTTACTCAGTATTGCCTTACTTATTATGCCACTTGCACTGTTAAATACTTGAAATTTCAAAATTTGTAAATTTTGTTCTACTACTAATATTATTATTATTTTATACATTTTCTTGCTATGAATAGAAAATTACACTCTTTTAAATATAAGGAGGGATAGGAAGACATGAAAAGAGGCTGCAACACTCTTTGTCTTAGGTTTATTCTTAAAAATCTTTTTCTAAAAAGCTACCTTAATGTGTTTGAAAATGAGGCAAAAGAGCATCTAAAAATAGCTGACATTATCTGAAGGACAGTATTTACATAATGTAGACTACAGGCATGTGTATTGCATGGGATTGCAGGCATGTGCCATTGCGCCCAGCTAAATATATATATTTTTAACATATATTTTATACTTTATGTATAAAATTTAAAATCTTTTTAAAATTTAGTAGTTTTTTCCTAGACACTTTAAAGTTGTTTTTCTGTGAAATTTAAGTCTTAAATTTTCTCAATTTGTCTATCACAAAAGAAAAGTACCTATTCTCATTCTTTTCTAGCACTTACATTATATGACCGTTACTGATCTAAGACAAACACAAGAAGATTTTCATGACATGGCATGCTTGACTTAAATAATGGTTGAAGAATAAAAAATAAAAATGCATATACACACACAAATATATACAGGATGAGTATTTTTCACCTGAAAATCTGAAAAATTTTTTAAAAATATATTTATTTTTAAAGTTTTAGGTGGACACAATATCTTTATTTTACATTTATGTGGTGCTGAGAATCAAACCCAGTGCCTGTGCATGCTAGGTGAGCACTCTACCACTGAGCCACATATGCCAAAATGCTCTAAATCATGACAATTTTTGAGTACCAACATGACATCACAAGTGGAAAATTCCACACTGTGAAGTTTTTGTTTTAGGCACAAATTACTATTTATAAAATTGCTTTTAGGATGGCTATATGTGAAGTATAAGTAAATTTGACATTCAGACTTGAGTTTCATCCTCAAGATATCTCATTATGTACATGTAAATATTCCAAACCCTGAAGAAGTCCAAAGCACTTCTGGTCCCAAGCATTTTGGATAAGGATACTCAACCTATATATATATATACACACACATACATACATACATATATATGTATATATTATATATATATAATATTCAATGTATATATTTTCTTCCAAGTAATAAAATTATATTTATCAGAGACAAATTGTTACAACTTATCATAAGATACATACCTGAGTTAAACCAGCACCTGTTTGCATAGAAGATTTTTTTAATAGTCTCACTTCTTTGTTTATGTATCTCAGCATCCCACTAAGAGTAGTAAAATCATTACTCTCAGAACTATCATCCTCTATGGTATATGTGTGAGATTTAAATGAGTCTGACTGGGTATAAGTCAGTTCCTTATGGCTTTCTTCTAATGTTGAAGGCTGTTCTAATTGCATTTTCTTTAAGTCCTGTAGTAATTCTTCAGAAAGATCTTCATTACCATGAGATTTGAAACTAAGATCACTGGCACTAATAGAGCGACGTAGTTTTCTGCACTTGAAAACAGATGTGTGAGAATGTTTAGTAAACTTTGGATCTTGACTATCAGGCATAATTTCTGGTAGAGGTGTAAAGGGAGCTGGTAGAAACTTGATGTCTTCTGCCTTTTCATGTCCAGAAACTCTGGCTTGTAATCTGGTTAATTCTGATTCCTACAGAAAAATTAAACACAGTACATAGAAGGTACTCAGTATATTTTTGTTAAGTGAATAAACAACCTAGAAAATCAAACTCTTAGAAGTCATCTATGTCAACCTTCATCTCAGAACAGGACTTAAGATCTTGACAGCAACTCTTTAAGAATTTTCCAAGGGCTATTTAAACACTCTACTATTTAAGATAGCTTCATTTTGAGACAATTACATATGTTCATTCAAAATATGTCTAAAGTAGCCTATGGAATTCCATAAATACTAGGTTTTCCTTATAGAATTTTTTTTAGTGTTAATGACAATTTTAATTTCTATTCAAAAATAAAAATCTTACACCTAAAAATTTCTCTGCAAATATATAGAGATACATGGTATACACAAAGACTACCTTCAGAATTTCTAAAAGGAAATAAATATATTATCAGCTATTCTGCTTTCGTAAATTAGAATTATTTTGAGAAAAAAATTAGAGGGTATAATCTTTAATAAATCAATCTTATTACACATTATATTTCTGTTATTTTCCCATGCTTTCATTGGGTACTCTGAGCTGTACCAGGATACTGAGAATGAGATCTATACTGCAAAATCAAGAAGCCTAAAGAAAAAGAAAAAAAGGATGGTATTTTAATTTTAACTAAAAGCTAAATAAAATATTAAAATTTTCTATTTTTAATATTGGGGATATTGCTCAGTGGTCAGTGCCTCTGAGTTCAATCCCCAGTAATCCCTCCCCCCTCAAATAATAGTAGCCTCCTGTTTAAATGAATCTCCTTTTTTTTTACAGGTATATTTAAGATATATATTTTTAAATCACTTTTAATCTGATAGTTTCTATTTTTAAGTTTGTTCCCTAAAAATACTGTCCCTAAAACTGAAACTGTTATAACAACAGTATACAAAACAAAATGAAAATGAAACTTTTAACTCCCACATTCCAGTTCTTTTAGGACTGTGTACTATTTTATTTAAATAACTTACTTTTAAGTGACTAGAAAGAGTGACAAGTTTTTGTTTTGGTGGGGTCTTTTTTTTTTCTTCTTCTTTTTTTTTTTTTTTAAGAGAGAAAGAGAGAAGCTTTTTTTAATATTTATTTTTTAGTTTTCAGTGGACACAAAATCTTTATATTATTTATTTATTATTTTTATGTGGTGCTGAGGATGGAAACCAGTGCCCCGCGCATGCCAGGTGAGCGCGTTACCGCTTGAGCCACATCCCCAGCCTTGGTGAGGTCTTGTTGTGTAGATCAGTTTGGCCTCAAACTCAAAGTACTCCTTTCTTATCCTTCAAGGGATTATAGGCATGAGCCACAGTACCCTGCTTTCAAGAATTGTTTTTTTTACATTTATTTTTTAGTTGTAGTTGGACACAATACCTTTTATTTTATTTTATTTTTTTTATGTGGTGCTGAGGATCGAACCTAGGGTCTCACACATGCTGAGCCACAACCCCAGCCCTTGAGAATTTTTTATAGTAAACCTTAAGTTCACATTTTTTGGCTACAATTAATAAAGTAGTTATAGAGTTGACATAGGATTGTACACAGCTAGAGTTAGGGTATGTTTTCCTGTCATGCGTTATCTTGCAACAATTAAGAAACATTTCTCAGATAAGTAGGAAAACATAACTTTTCAATAAAAGGAAGCATATTGAATATACTAAAAACAATTCACCTTTTCCTTTTTTTCCCCTCCCTCTTTCTTTCTTCCAACTACTGGGGGTGTTATACCACTAAGCTACATCCCCAGCGCTATTTATTTATTTACATAAATAAATATGTATGTATGTATGTATTTTTATATTGAGACAGGGTTTCACTAAATTGCCAAGGCCAGCCTACTGCCTCGGCCTTCCAAATTGCTAGGATTACAGGTGTGTGCCACCACATCTGGTTAACCTTTTTCTTAAGACTCAAAGGTCACTGTGAGCTGGCTGTGGTGGCGCACACCTGTAATCATAATGGCTTGGGAGGCTGAGGTAGGAGGATTGTGAATTCAAAGCTAGCCTCAGCAAAAGTGAGGTGCTAAGCAACTCAGTGAGACCCTGTCTCTAAATAAAATACAAAATAGGGCTGAGGATGTGGCTCAGTGGTTGAGTGCCTCTGAGTTCGTGGCTCAGTGGTTGAGTGCCTCTGAGTTCAATCCCGGGTAAAACCCCCCCATCCCCCCAAAAAGAAGGTCACTGTGTGAACATTACTGTAGTGTGCCATCACTGTCTTAGCTTTGCCTATGTTCCAACTGCTCTCAAATACTAGCATATATGCTGTCAATGGAACTGATTCCTATTATTTATATCTACTTGTACTTGGTCTGTTTCAACACTTCTATTAGACTTTCTTCTTTCTCTTTTATCTTCCAAACTCCTCTTCAGTTTAGACTTTAAAGCCTATTGAGGTTGTCTTTGAGAGCTGTGTCAGATAACAAAGGAATTCTATTTTCTGACTGCTTTAGTGGCTAATTATAGTACATATTGTAAGATCTCTCTAGGGGCTATGGTTATCGCTCAGTGGCAGAGTGCTTGCCTAGCATGTGTGAGGCACTGGGTTCAATTCTCAGCATCACATATAATAAATAAAATAAAGGTCCATTGACAACTAAACAATACTTAAAAAAAAAAAAAAAAAGATCTCTCTATATCTATGGTTCATTTATGAATGGCTACTCCTGACCCAGCATGGTGACACATCTTATAGTCCCAGCTATTTGTGAGGCTGAGTCAAGAGGATCAAAAGTTCCAGACCTGGGCAACTCAGCAAGACTCTATCTCAAAATTTAAAAAAAAAAAAAAGTTAAAATAAAAAGGGTAGCTCAGTGACAGATCACATGCCTAGTATGTGAAATGTCCTGGGTTCAATCCCTAGTATCTCCATAACACACATGCAAGGCTATTAAACACAGCCACTAATTTTGCAATTTCCTAAGTAGATAAACTTAAAAATCTTGTAAATGATTAATATCTACAGTCAAACTGCATTAACCTCACTGATAATATTCAGCAAGTAAGCAGAAATAATTACTGTAATATACTCTACTCCTTGATTATACCTTAAACCCCTAAATATGATTTTAGATTATGTCTACTCAGCTTTCATCTACTACCATAAATATCAACTGTATGACAAAAAAGAATTTAAATGCTCAGGTTAGTACAGAATTAGAAAGATTTCTAACATATTATTTGGTTAAGTTTTTCCATTTCTATAACTTCCATTTTGCTAGAAAAGTTATTTATTATTTGTTATTTTTTTTAAGGACTTCATTGATAACTCTACTTATATATTGGCAGTTTTGAACCAATGTTAACTTTTTAATCTCTATGCATTCTATTGATATAAATTTGAAATTCCAGCTAGGTGCAGTGGCACATGCCTGTAATCCCAGTGACTGAGAAGGCTGAGACAGAAGGATTACAAGTTTGAGGTCAACCTTACCAACTCAGCAAGGACCTTGGCAACTTAGTGAGAACCCTGTCTCAAAATAAAAAATAAAAATAAAGGGCTGGTAAAGTACATCTGGTTTCAATCCCCAGAGCCCCTGGCACCCCCCCAAAAAATCAAATTCCAAACTTTCAAGATCAACAAATAAATAACAACAGTAAATAAATAACAACAGGCTACTTTAAAAATCATGTTTAAGTCCACTAAAAAAGTTCTAAGTATAATTTTGTACTTCTACTTTATAAATTTTACAGAAATTTTATTGGTTTTGAAAAATGCTTCAACTTTCTTAGTAAAAATCCCTCAAACATCATTGTTATTTGTTACATGGGTTTATATTTAAATTATACAAATTATGGCTGGGGTTGTGGCTCATCAGTAGAGAGCTTGTCTAGAACGTGTGAGGCCCTGGGTTCAATCCTCAACACCACATAAAAATAAATAAATAAAATAAAGGTATTCTGTCAAACTACAACTAAAAAGTAAGTTTTAAAAATATAAAAATAAAAATAAATTATACAAATTATTTCTTTTGGGTAATATGATGTACAGCATATTAATAATTTCTCAAATTTACCTTCTAAATAAATGCTTTTTATTCAAACAGGTCAATAATTGGCCATAAAGTCCTTTACAAACTATAAGAACAGGAAAAAAAGGCCATAAATTTACTTTTTTTTTTTTTGGTAGTGCTGGAGATTGAACCTAGGACCTTGTGCATGCGAGGCAAGCACTCTAACAACAGAGCCATATCCCAGCCCATAAATTTACTTTTTCATAGATATGTTTCATTACTTAGATGTTTACTTACTTTAATAAGTAATGCTTCATTTGCAGCTTCAATTACTTCATTCCTATCTTGAACTTGTTGATGTAAATTGCTCACAGTGTCCTGAGCTTCTTCTAATTCCAGTTTTGCCTTCTCTAATTGTTCATTTAGCTGCTGAACAGAAGTCTTTTGAGAGTCAGCAGATATTTTCCACTTTGTATGGTTCTCCTGATGTGAAATCATCTACATAGCCCCCAAATTGTAAAAATAAAAAAGAATGAAAATAGGGTGGAGTTGGTTTCAACAACATTCTAATACTTGGCTACTACCACTTACTTTTTCTTAAAAGAAAGTAAATTCTGTTTAAATACACAAACATCTAATTTCTCAACAAATAAAATACTAGTAGAAAAAAGGGAGTGAAGGAACACATTGTTTTCCATTTACTTAACAGTTAATCACATGCAATGGACTCTATTTGGATCCTGATTTGAACAATTAAATTATAAAGGCATTTTTTTTTAGATAATTCTAAATTTGAGAATTTATTGGTAATTTATCTAGTATTAAAAAGGTCTTTATTATAATTAATTGCTCAGTTATACAAAACATACTTATTTAAATTTTGACCTTTGCATGCTATATTATCAATGTGTCCCTTTTTTTAATTAGATCTTTATGGTTATACATAGTAGTTGAATTCATCCTGACAAACTCAGACATGCATGTAAATCAATTTCAGTTCTTCATCACCCCTTTTCCCTCCCATCCTCCCCTTCTCTCTTCTCCTTCCTCTATCTACTAGACTTCCTTTCACTCATTCATTAATTTGCATTTGATTGGCTCTTTATGTAATCTTATCCTTCCCTCTACCTTTCTTTTATTTTACTCTAGCTTACCACTGGGGAGATAACATTCAACCTTCGAGTTTCTTGAGTTTGGCTAATTTCACTTAGCATATTCTCCATTTTCATTCATGAAAATACCATGACTTCATTCTTTTTAATAACTGAGTAGAACTCCATTGAACATATATATATACAATTTCTTAATCCATTCATCTACTGACAGGCATCTGGGTTGATTCCATAATTTAGCTATTGCAAATAGTGCTACTATAAACTCTGATGTGGCTGCCTCATTCTAGTATGCCGATTTAGAGCTTTTGGGAGAAGATACCCAGGAGTGGGATAGCTGAGTCATATGATGGTTCCATTCCTAGTTTTTTTTTTTAACTTTATTTTATTTATTTATTTTTATGTGGTGCTGAGGATCAAACCCAGGCGAGTTGCTCTACCACTAAGCCATAACCCCAGCCCCACCATCCCTAGTTTTTTGAGTAATCTCCAAACTGCTTTCCAGAGTACATGAACTAGTGTGCAGTCCCACCAACAATGTCCAAGTGTTCTCCACAATCTCGCCAGAATTTATTGTTGTTTGTAATCTTGATCACTGCCATTCTAACTGAAGTAAGATGGCTATAAAGGCATTTTTAAAAAATATTTTTAGTTGTAGATGGACACAATTCTTTTATTTTCTGGGTTTTATGCCTGATGTCCTAGTGTCATTATTAACAACACTGCTTTTCATTCCCTAAAGTATTCCCTTTTAGATTAAAGAAGTGGGCAACATATTGATGGATTAAATAAAATTGGTCACAAGTTGATAACTGCTGAACAGTAAACGTAGGATTTGCACTATTTATGCTATGCTAGTTTGAATATCTTTAAAATTTTCCACAATGAAAGGTTAAAACAATCTCATTTTTATCTCAAAAAATCAGGAGTTTTGCAATTATTAAGTGACTTTTCCGACAGTTCTGAAGCCTGCATTTTAAAAAAAGAATATTGTTAAAAATTAAGATCCCTTTTTCTAATTATTACGATAATACTGTATCCTCTCAGCTTTACATTCAAATAACACACACTTTAAAAACAAATCTTTGTTGGATTGGTGATATTGCTCAGCAGTATAGTGCCTGCCTACCATGTGTGAGGTCCTGAGTTAATCACCAGCACTACAAAAAATAAATAAATCTTTGTCAGCCACCTAAATGTAGAAAACTATATTATACATTTTTATGACAGACATAAAAATATTAGCATCAAATACTAAACAGCAACACTAGAACAAATTTTTTACAGCTTATTTTATATAAGCAATTTTTCCTAAATAATTTCAGGTAATTATAAAACTAAAAGTACACAACTGGATAATTACAGATAAAAAAGAATAAAGGTCATATATATAAGTGTAATGATGAGTGAAGGTCAAACACTTGAGATGAACTAATTATTACTGAGAGTCACTAAACTGAGTAGATAATATCAATTAAATAATTATGTTAAGTCTAATAAAATTCACATTTGTCTCTAAAGACCAAGAGTTATAAGCTCTTGGCCTGAGAACTGGATACAGACCTACCAATCCCTCACAAAAATGTTATCAAATCCCTACCAAAGGAATTTAATACAAATGTATCTGCAACCCTTATTTTATTGAAAAATGTTTTATTAGGACCAAGCTCAAAGAGAAATTTTTTAGATCATATACAAAGATTTTGGGCAATATTTTCAAATGTAGTTTTTAAAAGTTGAAAAATACTATTCTAATCAATAATACTTGCTTTGTCCATAAAGGCTCATGATACACTGATAGATTACAAAAGTCCTAATATTGCCTCTCTAATTTACTATTAGAACAAATGTTGGAAATTACAAAGCACTACAGACTGACATCACATGAAACTGTTTATGTCAGCTATTAAATATTTCCAATTAGTTTTCTGGAAGTACTATTTTAGAATTCATAAAAATGATGGGCCAGGCTTTGGTCTAAGAACTTTACTGTATTAATTCATTTAATTCTCACCAAAGTTCTATGAGATAGAACCGTTATACCCACTTTAGACAGAAAGGTTAAGTAATTTGTCCAAGGTCATAAATGTGCTTAGCCATAAGCAAGTATTGGACATAGAATGCCTGGTTCAGGAACTCAAGCTCTTAATCTTACAGTATATTAGTTCACTGTATATGTAAAATTGTGTGCGTAGCTAAGAAATGAAGACCACAGCTAGGCACAGTAGCACACACTTGTAGTCCCCTAGCATCTGGGGATGCCAAGGCAGGAGGATTACTAGTTGAAAGTGAGCCTCAGCAAATTAGCAAGGCCCTAAGCAACTAAGTAAAACCCTATTTCAAAATAAAGAATAAAGGGGCTGGGGTTGTGGTTCAGAGATAGTGCTTGCGTACCATGTGTGAGACACCGAGTTCGATCCTCAGCACCACATAAAAATAAAATAAAAATATTGTGTCTACCTATAACTAAAAAATAAATATTAAAAAAATTAAAAAAAAACCTCACAATATATTATTCTGAACTGAACACTTAAGAGCTAGATAGACTCATACTTTTGTACAGATAGGTCAACCCACTTTAGTGGGAGATATCATAACAAATTAAAATTTTCTTTACCTCCAAATGATAAGCTTCTTTGAGGGATTCTACTTCTGCTGACAATTTCTTGATTTCTGCTTGCATTCTCGCTTCTAAATGAGCTTCACGTACTTGAGAAGCCCCCAATTCTTCAACTAAGTGAATTTCATGTGCTTCCTTAAAAATGACATATTGAGTAAAGATTATATAATTTGTTTATCTTGTTAGTATAGCTAAACAAATCCAGTGCATTAATAGAAGCAGTTTAATCTTTATATAAACATACTTCAAAATCAATTAATTAAATGGTACATTTTTGAGACTTTTCAGGGACAACGAGTAGGAAAGTATTAGTGTATCATTTGGTCCCATAAGTTCACTAACCAATACTTTCTGTAAAAACAAACTAATAACCACAGCATGCTGGACTTTGGCAGATAATAATGCCTTCTTAGGTATGACTCTGTATTTTTGCTCACTAGTTGCATTATTTGCTTAATAAGAATGAGGGTTTTTAAAATTTTTTTTTAGTTGTAGATGGAAACAATACCTTTATTTTATTTATTTATTTTTATGTGGTGCTGAGGATCAAACCAAGTGCCTTGTGAGTGCTCTACTACTGAGCCACAATCCCAGCCCATGAGTTGTTGTTATCCAAACTTATTTAATGGTACTTTATACTACCTGTGCTTGTTATTTTAATTAAGAAATTTTATTATACACAGAAGTCCCCCCCTTAAATGAATTAGGTTTTTGCTTTTGATGATTTTGCTTTCTGTGGTTTCAATAATCTGCAGTAAAACCCAGTTCAAAAATACTAAATGGAAAGTTACATAAATAATTTAAGACAGACATGGTGGCCCACACCTGTAATCCCAGTGACTCAGGAGGCTGAAGCAGGAAGATCCCAAGATGGAGGCTACCCTCAGCAATTTTGCAAGACACTAAGCAACTCAGCAAGACTGTGTCAAAATAAAAAATGAAAAGGACTGGGGATATAGCTCAATAAAGAAAAAGAAAAGGAAGAGAAGGAAGGAAGGAAGAAAGGAAAGAAGGTAGGTGGCCAGATGTAGTGGTGCATGCCTGTAATTTCAGGAGTTTGGGAGCCTCAGCTTAGCAAGACTTCAACCTTCAACCCCGTCTCAAAAAAAAAAAAAAAAAAAGGCTGGGGATGTGGCTCAGTGGCTAAATGCCCTTGAGTTCAGTCCCTGGGAATGAAGGAAGGAAGGAAAAGTTAGTTTTAAATGTATGATGTTCAGAGTGTCATAATGAAATCTGTCATTCTGCTCTATTCAGCTCAGTAGGTGAATCATCCCTTTGTCTAAAATATCCACACAATATATGCTATATAGCCACCGTCTGTCTTAAATTGTTTATTGTTTATGCCTGTTAGCTTGTAGCCATCTTGGTTATCATAGTATTTCAGTACTTATGTATAAGTAACACTTATTTTACTTAATAATGGCCCCAAAATGCCACATATGCCAAAGATAAGCTGTAAAGTGCTGCATATATAGAGTTTGATACTGTCTGTGACTTTAGACATCCACTGGGGGTCTTGGAACATATCCCCCAGAAATATTGTATACAGTATTATAAACACTGAAAACTTTTTTTGTGCAAAGTAAATTGTATGTTTTGAAACAGTTGTATAAGTGAGTCACAAACGTTTGGTACACAATTAGGAGCAGTCAAGATAGTTGTAAAGGGCTGGGATTATGGCTCAATGGTAGAGTGCTTGCCTAGCATGTGTGAAGCACTGGGTTCAATTCTCAGCAAAATAAATAAATAAATAAATAAATGTCCATCAACATCTAAAAAAATATTTTTAAAAAAGATAGTTGTAAGATATTATGGGAAGCGCAGGCTGGGGTTGTGGCTCAGTGGCAAAGTGCTTGCCTTGTACATGGTGAGGCACTGGGTTTGATCCTCAGTACCACATAAAAATAAATAAACAAAATAAAGATATTGTGTCCACGTATAACTAAGAAAAAATTTAAAAATTATTATGGGAAGCACCATAAAAATATAACATACTTTGATTTACAAATATCTTTTTATTCTTTCTCTAAAGAAACCAAAATAAACTTGAGATGATAGAATGAGTATGGTTTATGCAAGAAAGACTAATTCTAATCAAATGACTAATATAAAAAGAATCAATTACTGATTGAGTTATCTGTTACATTTTCTGAGTTCTGTATATGAATACTTCTTCTCAGAAGAAGCAGGTGGCAAAGATTTTATCCCATTCTATAGGCTCTCTCTTCACACTCTTTTTTTTCCTTTGCTGTAAAGAGCTTTTTAATTTGATGCCATCCCACTTATTAATTTTTTATTTTAATTCTTGGGCTTTAGAAGTCTGTTAAGTTGGTTCCTGTGCCAACATGTTGGAATGTTGATTTCATCTCACTTCAGTAAGAAAGGCAATATTATCAAGAATATAAATAACAATAAATGTTAGCGAGAATGTAGGGAAAAAGGTACACTCATCATTTTTGGTGGGACTGCAAACTAGTGCAACCATTCTGGAAAACAGTATGGAGACTCTTCAAAACACTAGATATGGAACAACTTCATGACCCAGCTATCTCACTCCTCAGTATATATTCAAATGATTTAAAACTAACATACTACATGATGCAGCCACTCAATGTTTATGGCAGCACAATTCACAATAGCTGATCTATGAAACAAACTTATGTGCTCTTCAACAGAAGAATGGATAAAGAAAACATGGTATATATACATAATGGAGTATTACTCAGCCATAAAGAAGAATGACATTATGGTATTTGCCAGTAAATGGATAGAACTGGAGACTAAAATGCTAAGTGAAATGAGGCAGTCCCCAAAAGTCAGAGGTTGAAGTTTTCTCTGACATGTGGAAGCTAATCCAAAATGGGGAGGTGGAGGGTGAAAAACAAATAAAAGAAAGATCAGTGGAGTACATGAAGGGGAAGGAAGGAAGGGAAGAGGAATAGGATAAGGAAAGATAGTGGAATGAATCTGACCTAACTTTCCTTTGTACATATATGAATATACCACTGGTAAATCTCCCCCGAATGCATATCCACAAGACACCAAAAACAAAAAAAACAAAAAAAAAAATCCATAAGTGAATAGCAGAAAGATCAATAGAGGGAAGGGAACAGGGTGAGGGAGGAGGGAAGGGAAAAAGGAAGTACTGGGGACTGAACTGGAACAAATTGTATTCCATGCTTTTACAATTATGTCAAAATAAATCCTAATGTTATGTACAACTAAAAAGAACCAATAAAAATAACATCAAAAAACAAATATATGAATTTACCTTCAGTTTGAGGTTAAAACATAATATTAAAAAGTATTTATATGACTTCTTTTAAAACCCTCTATTCTCTCTGATGGGGAGGATCACAGCTTCTAGGACAGGAATCTCCTGTTTCTCCTTTGCTAGCAAAGCAATAAAAATTTTTCCCACCGGGTTATGTGGTGCACACCTGTAATCCCAGTGGCTTGGGAGGCTGAGGCAGGGGGATCACAGCCTTAACAACTTAGTGAGCCCCTAAGCAACTCAGCGAGACCCTGTCTCTAAACAAAATATAAAAAATGGCGGGGGGTGTGGCTCAGTGGTTGAGTGCCCCTGGTTGCAATCCCTGGACCAGAAAACAACTTTTTACCTTTTTTCTCAGAAAAAAAGGCATTTTTAAATATATATATGTATATGTACATATGTATATTTATTTATTTAGCATTACTGGGGATTGAACTCAGGGCCCCTGTGCCACTGAATTATATCCTCAATCCTTATTTATTTAGTTAGTTTTGAGAGGTCTCACTAAGTTGCCTAGGCTAGCCTTTCATTTTCAATCTTCCTGCTTCAGTCTCCTAAACAGCTTGAATTAGGTGTGTGCCACCGTACTTGGCATTAAAAACACTACTTAAATAATTCCACTTGGGGTGAGGTTGTGGCTCAGTGGTAGAGCACTTGCCTAGCATGTGTGAAGCGCTGGGTTCGAATCTCAGCACCACATATGAATAAATAAATAAAATAAAGGTCCCTCAACAACTAAAAAAAAAAAATTAAAAAGAAAATAATTCCACTTAACTCACTTTTTAAGCGAGCTTATCTTACCAAATAAATCTAATTTTACTATACTTAAATACTACTGATAAGGTCAGAAATAAGATAAAAGTAGACAGCTTCCCTTTTCCTAACAGACCCCCCAAATATCTGATATATCTCCAATAAAAATTTCCTATATATTCTTTATTAGTTTAATCATTTAGAAATGTGACTCAGAGCACAGTTAGGTTTAATTAAAATTAAAGGTAAAAATATTTAAGTTCCTATGCTAAATTAAAATTTTAGAATATCAATGAACACATTTCCTCAAAGTCTAATTAACACAAGTAAATCAATCTAAATACTTTTTTTAATGTAAACTTTTTTTTCCCCACAATTCCTTTATTTTGTTTATTTATTTTTTTGGTACTGAGGATCAAACCCAGGGCCTCATACAGGCAAGGCAATCACTCTACCACTGAGCCACAATCCCAGCCCCAATCTAAATACTTTTTTAAGACAAGTTGTTAGTCTCATAGTAAATATGAGAAAATATAAAAGCACTTTACCTCCCCAAATGTTCTGAACTGAAGATTTCCAACAATTACAAATTTAGATAAAAGTGGCTACAAATGTAAAAACTTTTACTCAAAAAAGATTTGCTTATTTTTTCTTCAATAGCTCATACTCTCTTGAAAGTCTAAAAGGGCTTTATAACTCAATTTATCAAGAACTTATTAGTTCAGTCCAAACAGTTCTGAAGGACTTACTAGTTATAATTACAAAGTTATAAAAGTATAACAGATAACTTTTTTCCTCTTAAAAATGTGGTAAATTGGTGGAGTGTGGTGATGTGTGCCCGTAATCCCAGTGACTGGGGAGTCTGAACAGGGAGAATTGTTTAAGGCCAGCCTTAGCAGCCTAGCAAGGCCCTAAGCAATTTAGTGAGACCCTGTCTCAAAATAAAAATAAATTAGGGCTCAAGATGGGACTCAGTGGTAAAGCACCCCTGGGTTCAATCCCTAATACCATAATAAATAAATAAATGGTAAATTGTACAAAACATAAAATTTACCATCTTAACCACTTTTAAGTGTATAATTTAGTGGTATTAAGTATAATCATACTGTTTTGTTTGCACTACTGGTGTTTGAACTCAAGGCCTCAGGCATGCTAGGCAAGTGCTCTAGCACTGAACCATTCTCTGTACATTCACATTTTTCTGAAACTTGGTTCATTTTTTGCAAGAACTATATAATACAGTTCAAAGTGTTAAAAATTTCAAAGATCTTTCAGTAATAATGAAACTATTTAGAATAGGGATTACTTTCTCTTTAGAGATTTGCTTTATATCTTCTAGTTCACTGGAGAGCCTTTCTATTTCTCTCTGTGCTTGGACTTGTTGACGACGAGCCTCCACCAATTCTGTTTGAGAGGTTTGCATCTGCTCCTGAGTCAGCCTCAATTCTTGCCCCAAATCTATGCTCTCCTTGTACTGAGTTGCAATATACTGTTCCTGATCTTTCATAACCTGAAAAGCACAAGAAATTTGTAGGTTTCAAAATGAAATACACAATGTACTTCTTATTCTGATTATTTTTTACTAAGTGAAATTTCCCCTCCAAACTAAATCCCTATAAAATTTAACATACAATGTGTATTACCCATTGTGAAACTGATATTCAGAAAAAAAAAATTTTAATAAGCAAATGGTAAAAGTACAATATAATAAGTCTGAAACTCTTAGTGATTAATTTTGCATGACTTAATATATACAAGCTTTATAATCCTTTACCATTATAAATATAACATTTATGAAAGAATATATATTATACTACAAAGAGAAAAAAGAAGTCAATATTTGATTATTCATGTAAAAATGAAGAATATATTTGCATGGATAATTAAAATCTACCATTAATAGACATAGCTGGGTTAAGGTTATGATCTCACTCTTTATAAAGACATGTTATTGGGGCTACTCCTCCCTCTGAAATATTTTTTACATTATTCAATTAAATCCCTCATAAAGTATAGGTTGAGTATCCCTACTATGAAAATCCAAAATCTTAAATATTCTGAAAATGAAAAACTTCCTGAATACTAACATGAAACCACAAGTGGAAAATTCCATGACATTAAACTTTGTTTCAGATACAAAATTATTGAAAATATTATATTAAATTTATCTTCAAGCTTTGTGTACAAGGCACTAAGATGTCCCATACATGTATGCAAATATTCCAAAATCAGAAGAAATTCAAAATCCAAAACACTTCTGGTCACAAGTTTTTTAAGTAAGGAATACTCAACCTGTATTGCTTCTTAGAGGGGGAAAAGAAAAAAAAACAGAGAAGAAAATTAGTTCTAAATCACCCATGTGAGATAGGTTATACAGTAGGTAAGGACACTTGACTTCAAGGACGAAGAAGGAAAGAAACCAGTACAGATCACTAGGGCTTTGATGTTTGGAATGGAGGCACAGGTTATAAATAAATATAAATGTTATATAAGTATTTTTAGCCCTTCCTTGTTAGAGATCAGACATAATAGAGCTGGTAATAATAGGATTAATAATCATTTTCCCCATCTCTACTGGGGCCTAAACTTACTCTCAAAGACCCTGCTTGATTTATATATGTAATTAATTAAACAAATGCTTATTCAGACTTACTATATGATATGTACAGTTCTAGGTGTTGGGGATACAGGAGTGAATAAAGGAGTCAAAATGGCTACCCTTGGGGCTGGGGTTGTGGCTCAGTGGTAGAGCGCTCACCAAGTACGTGCGAGGCCCTGGGTTTGAACCTCAGCACCACATAAAAATAAATAAATAAGATAAAGATATTGTGTCCAACTACAACTAAAAAAATATATTTTTTAAAAATGGCTACCCTTATGAATTTATATGCCACAGAGAGAGAGAGAGAGAGAGTCCAATACAATAAAGAGTTATATTTGGGGCTGGGGTTGTGGCTCAGAGGAAAAGCTTAGCTTAGCATGCGTGAGGCACTGAGTTCAATCCCCAGCATCACATAAAAATTAAATAAAGCTATTGTGTCCATCTACAACTAAAGAATAAATATAAAAAAAGAGTTATATCTGAAGATTTAACAGTTGAGTATTTAAAAACAAGAAAAAGTTACAGACACTAGAAACAAATTCACTTATTAAAAAAGCAAGTCGGATGAATGGGTTTACAAATCAACACACATGCAAACTGATGATATAAAGTCATCAAACTTCATCTGGTAACAATGTATTTGGCTTTAATAATGAACAATTATCATCTTTTTACACACTCTCTGGATGGAGTTCCTCAAGTACAAAACAAGACTCTTACTAATATCTGTATCTTCAAGTCTATTACATGGTAGATTCTCAGTACATATTATAAGCATGTACTGTGGACTGCATGAGAGATAACATGTAAAGGAAAGGTAGGAGATAAAAAGATAAATAAGACATTGTAAACCATTGTAATATTTTTAAAAGTTAAAGAAGAAACTTAAGGCATTTTGTACAAATACATAGCCTAAAAATACTTATGGCACTGTTTCTATATATTAAAGTTAACAGTTTAAAACATAAATATTCATTTCACTCTTTCAAGAATACTTCTTCCTTAGGTGGAAAATAATATTTGCTTACACTCTCCATTTCTTTCAATCTTTGATTTGTTCTTTCAGTTTCCTTTTTCAGTTGACTTATCTCCTGTTCATTTTGTAGCATTACGAACTCTTTCTCTCGAAGCTGTTCTTTGGCATTCTGCAATTTTTCATTTAAATTTTCTATCTTAATTTTAAACAGATGAGCATTATTAATGTAATAATGGAAAAAAGGAAACAGAACAATCACAGCTATGTTCTGAATAATTCAAACTTTAAATACTCATATCTAAAACATCAAAAGTAAAGTAAAAAATTATTAAGACAATCATCATTTAGAAATAAGCATATGAATTTTTGTGCTTAATAAGATGCTTATGGGGGCTGGGGTTGTGGCTCAGCGGTACAGCAGTCGCCTAGCACATGAGAGGCACTGGGTTTGATCCTCAGCATTACATAAAAATAAATAAATAAAATAAAATTATTGTGTATAACTACAATTAAAAAATTAGATGCTTATGTGGGGGTTGGGATTGTGGTCCAGTGGTAGAGCACTTGCCTAGCACACATGAGGCACTGAGTCTGATCCTCAGCACCACATAAAACAATAAAATAAATAAAATAAAGGTATTGCGTCCATTTACAACTAAAAAATAAAAATAAAAAATAAAATGCTTATGTTTACATTTAAAATATATTAAAAAGATAAAAGTTTCAAACATAATTTGTATAAGAAAAAAGTATACATTAAAACAACAAATGTTACATGACCTTACAAATAATTTTATAGATAATATATGCATGAGGTTAAAATATAGAGACAAAGTTGTGGTGGTGTACACCTTTAATCCCAGTGACTTGAAAGGCTGAGGCAGGAGGATCACAAGTTTGAGGCCAGCCTAAGCAAGAGCCTGCATTAATATTTAAAAAGAATAAAATGAACTGGGATATAGCTCAGTGGTAAAGTGACCCCGGGTTCAAATCCCAGTACCTCCAAATCAAACAAAAAAAAACTCTAAAGAAGAAAAAGTCTCCTTCCTATTTTATTCTTCCTCAGAAGCAACCAGTTTCTAGAATTACTTACAAATTCTTCCAGAAATATTTTATTCATATTTAGACATATTATAAGTAGTATGGGGACATATTATAGGATATTAAAAAACATTACACTCAAAATTACATAAAAAGGAGAAAAAAAAGAAAAATGTCATCAATGTCATCATCTGTAGTTCCAGCTATTCAGAAGGCTGAAGCAGGAAGATCACTTGAACCTAAGAAGTTTCAGACCAGACAGTTTCAAAACAAAACAAAACAAAAAGCTGTTTTATGTGAATGATTGCTTACAGTTTTTTTTTTAAATGAGATGGACATCATTACCCTGAAGTACATATATGAAGACACGAATGGTGTGAATATACTTTGTATACAACCAGAGATATGAAAAATCGTGCTCTATACGTGTAATATGAATTGTAATGCATTCTGCTGTCAAATATAACAAATTAGAATAAAAATAATTTTTAAAAAAGTTTAGGCCTTTTATACCTTTATTTTACTTAGTTATTTTTACGTGATGCTGAGGATTGAACCCAGTGTCTCACAAGTGCTAGGCGAGTACTCTACTGGTGAGCCACAACCTCAGCCCCATATTGCTTACAGTTTTAGTGTGTTTCGTTTTTGTTTTCTGCAACACTGAGGATGAACTAACATCCATGTGCATGGTAGACCACATCCCTAGTCCCTTTTAGTCTTTATTTTGAAAAAGGTTCTCACAAAGTTGCCTTGACTAACCTCAAACTTGACATCCTCCTGCCTCAGCTTCCCCAGTAGCTGGAATTATCACTTAGCTAGCCCAAAGTAATTTTTTAAACAATTTAAGATGTGTAATCTTTCAATAATTACCTGTTTGTTGCAACCTTTAAGTTCCAACTCCGATTTCTGCAGATTACCCTCTAATTTAATTATTTTTTGTTCCATTTCTCCTCTGTGTTCTCGAATAGTCATATCCAAATGGGTAACCTAAAAACAGAAGCAATATTAAACTGTTGTTCAATTTTACTCTGATGTGAAATCTATATGCTTAGAATGTGCTTTGGAATTATTTATAGTGGATATAACAAATTGAAACTCATGTCAAACATTTTTTTTTAAATATTTATTTATTTATTTATTTTGTTTGTTTTCGGCAGACACAACATCTTTGTTTGTATGTGGTGCTGAGGATCGAACCCAGGCCGCACGCATACCAGGCTAGCACGCTACCGCTTGAGCCACATCCCCAGCCCCAAAACATTTTTTTTATATTCATTTTTTGGGTGTAGATGGACACAATACAATGCCTTTATTTTTAGATGGTGCTGAGGATCGAACCCAGGTCCCGCCTGTGCTAGGCAAGCACTCTTACCGCTGAGCCACAATCCCAGCCCCTAAACATTTTTTTTAAATAGGAAAAATAATGATTAATTACTAATACTGGGGCTTGAGCCCACATGTATAATTATTATTATTATTATTTTTGGTAGTGGGGATTGAACTCAGGGGTACTTGACCACTGAGCCACATCCTCAGCCCTATTTTTTGTATTTTATTTAGAGACAGGGTCTCACTGAGTTGCCTATCACCTGCTTTTGCGGAGGCTAGCTTTGAACTTGCGATCCTCCTATCTCAGCCTCCCGTGCTGCTGGGATCACAGGAGTGTGTCACGGCGCCCAGCTTATAATGATTGTTCATAAATAACAAATCAAATGATTAAGACTCCATCTTATGCTGGATAAAAACTGCTAAATGCCTTCCAAATATTTTTGTTCCTCCAACATTTAATTGATAAAATAACTTCTTTTATCCCATTCTCTTCTGATATAGAATAAGATATTAAAACACTCGGAAACTAAGCTAAACTAACCCTTATTCTCAAAAACCAGTTGCTATAAAGACATCAAAATAAAGAGATAATATATTTCTAACTCAAAAAGCGTTTATGTGCAGAGATAAAACAAATATAAAATGCACATTTTACCAAAAATTGGTCACTTCTGAAACCCTATATGATTTGTCATAACAAAAAATTTCATTAAAATATAATTAAGGGCTGGGGTTGTGGCTCAGTCGAGAGTGCTTGCCTCACATGTGTGAAGCACTGGGTTCAATCCTCAGCACCACATAAAAATAAATAAATAAAGGTATCATGTCCATCTACAACTAAAAAAAATATATTAAAATATAATTAAGATGCATGTGTGATGGCGCATGCCTATAATCCCAGCAATTTAGGAGGCTGAGGCAGGAAGATTACAAGTTCAAGGGGGATGTGGGAAAAAATGGAGAAATTTTGATTGGGCAAAGGGAAGGGAGAAAAGGGGAGGGGGCATGGGGGCAGGAAAGATGGTGGAATGAGATGGACATTATTACCCTAGGTACACGTATGACTGCACATATGGTACATGCTACATCGTGTACAATCAGAGAAATGAAAAGTTGTGTTGCAATTGTGTATAATAAATCAAAATGCATTGTGCTTTCATATATACCTAGTTAAAATAAATAAATTAATTTATTTTTAAAAAAGATTATAAGTTCAAGGCCAGCCTCAGCAACTTAGCAAGGCCCTAAGGCAACTTAGTGAGACTCTTGTCTCAAAAAAATTAAATAATAAATAAATAAAATAAAATGCTGGGGATATGATTCAGTGGTTAAAAAATATACGTCTGTGTGTGTGTGTGTGTGTGTGTGTGTGTACACAATTTTAAAAAATCAACCTGAGCTGCTCTTTGCTTTAGCTCCCAATTTCTCTCCTTAAGTGCCTGATCCATTTCAAGGAGTTCTTGCTTTTTGTCTTCAATCTCCATCTTACAGTCTCTGCAATTTATCAAAAAAAAAAAAAAAAAAAAAAACAGATCAAAGCATATAGTAGGAATACTATAGTTTTAAAAAGTTAGGCCAACAGGGTTATTTTTCCTATAAAGTAAAAGCAAAGAAATATATGTAATTAATACAAATTGAAGGGTTCAAATTAAAGGAATGATGTATAAAGAAAATGACAACACATAGTTAACAAAAAAATGTACTATTATGGACAATTTAAGATAAATGTTAAATAACTCCCAGGGCTTTAAGATTGAATTGATTTAAGAGTTTTTCTTAAAAAAAAAAAAAAAAAAAAAAAAAATCCAGCCAGGTGCAATGCATGCCTATGATCCCAGTGGCTTTGTAGGATGAGGCAGGAGGATAGTAGGTTCAAAGCCAACCTCAGCAACTTGGTGAGGCCCTGAGCATCTTAATGAGATGCTGTCTCAAAATATAAAAAATGGGATATGGCTCAGTGGTTAAGCACCCCTGGGTTCAATCCCTGGTCCCCCCCCCAAAAAAAATCCATTGTTTTTTCATACATAGATCATGGGTATATTTGAAAATCTTTTACATGTAATAGCTGTGACTTTATTACTATAGAGTGAGATATTTATTCTCATGTTTTGTATTCCTTGTATGCTAGGCAAGCACTCTACCTGAGCTGTATCCCCAACCCTAACTATTGTATTTCACAGGGGGATTTTACTCAAAATGTCTTACATATAATGAAGTACTAAAGTCTAATACAAAACATTTAAAATACAGTTTTAATGAATTCTAGCCTTTCTAAGATATTAGCATATATAATTTTATATTATAAAATGCTTAATATTAATATATTTTTAAGAGAATTTCAACATGGAACTCTTAGTTCTGATATTATAGAGGATGAAAAGGTTGATCTTAAAAATCTTCATATGATCTTCCAGTCAGAAACATGAAACAATGTTAATAAAGATACTGACATTTATTTATTATTTTTTGTGGTACTGGGGATTGAACCCCATGATAAAGGTACTCATTTTTAAAAGCAGATTCTAAAGCTAATTTTATCTTATTGTGGAACTAGGGATTGAACTCAGGGGTCTTATGCATGCTAAGGTAACCATTCCACCACCACGCCACACCCCCCAGTCCCTTAAACTAATATTTTAAAAACAATATGAAATTAATTCTAAGGAAATCTTCTTTGAAAAGAGCTGAGCTTATAAAATTAATCTATTAGCTAGAATTTAAGATTTCACTGTTTTAGCCAGGGGTGATGGCGTATGCCTGTAATCCCAAGTATTTTGGAGGTTGAAAGCAGAGGATTTTAAGTTTAAGGCCAGCCTGAACAATTTAGCAAAGCTCTGTCTCAAAATAAATAAAGGGCTGGGGAATGTAACTCAGTAGTAGAGAGCTCCTGGTTCTCTATCATCTGGTTAATTTTATGTTTAATTTATTTAAAGACTACCAAACTATTTTCCACGGCAGCTACCATCATTTTAAGTTCCCACCAGCAATATATGAAGATTCCAATTTCTCTACACACTTACCAACACTTGTTATTTTCTGTTTTTTCTTTTTTTTTTTAAATGGTTGTCCTACTGTATGAAACGGTATCTCACTGTGGTTCTGATTTTCATTTCTAAAGGAGTTTGACTTTTATTCTGAATGTTTTGGGAAACCACAGAAAGTTTAAATAGGGAAATAAGATGAGCTAATTAAATGTTTCAAATTATAAATTGAGCAGGGAGCAGTGGTGCACACCTGTAACCCCTGCAAATCAAGAGGCTGAGGAAGGAGGATTGAAAGTCCAAAGCCAGCCTCAGCAATTTAGTGAGAACCTATCTTAAAAAAAAAAAAAAGGACTGAGGCTGTAGCTCAGTGGTAAAGTGCCCCTAGGTTCAATCCCTTGTAAACAACAACAAAAAAAGTTATCTATTCTGTGGAAAATAGAAGATTGAGGGAATCCAGAATGTAGGCAGGGAGACCAATTAGGAAGCCACAGCAAGAACAGGTGAGAGATGATAGCTCATGGTAAGGTAGGAAAGAAAAGAGGCCAATAAATCCATGGATTTAAAAATACATTTTACAAACAATGTTGCATAATGACCTGAAAAAAAAAGAGATGGAAAGATATAATAATCTTCCAGATTTCTGGTTTGAGCAACTGCATGACACCTAAATAAGGGGGTGCAGCATTATGATGAAATAAATGAGTTGTATTTTGGCCAACATCAAGCCTTAGATGCTTTTTAAAAATATCAAAGTGGAAATAACAAGTTAGTAGTTGGGTATTTAATCTGGAATTTGAGGAAGAGATCAATACTGCAGATATGGGTTTGGAAATGTCTGTCGGATAATATTTAAAGCCTTAGGAAATTTATTAAGGATAGGTACATGGAAACAGAATCCTAGGGTATGTTATCTAATTTTGGGGGGTCATCTTGTTCTTTATCCTGTTCTTTATTCCACATTTCACATCTGCTTTGTAACGCTTTTCCTTTTCTGGGTCTATGGGAATGCTTTGGCTGTGGTCTAGCTCTCCACCTCTACTCAGTATACATGAGTGCTAGATAGTATTCTATGCTATTATAGTTAATCATAGTATCACAGTTGGACAGACTTAAATTTAATTCCCTTCTCTAGACCCCACCTGTATTACTTTGGGCATTTAGTTATATATATTTTTCTCAAGACTTCATCATCTTTTTTTCTTTTTTTGAGAGAGAGACAGAGAAGGAATTTTTTTTTTTAAAGAGAGAGAGAGATTTTTTTTTAAAGAGAGAGAGAGAGAATTTTAATATTTATTTTTTTTAGTTTTTGGCAGACACAACATCTTTGTTTGTATGTGGTACTGAGGATCAAACCCGGGCCGCACGCACGCATGCCAGGCGAGCGCGCTACCGCTTGAGCCACATCCCCAGCCCAAGAGAGAATTCTTTAATATTTATTTTTTAGTTTTCAGTGGACACAACATCTTTATTTTTTTTATGTGGTGCTGAGGATCGAACCCAGTGCCTTGCACATGCCAGGCAAGTGCATTACCGCTTGAGCCACATCCCCAGCCCAAGACTTCATCATCTTATCTATAAAAAAAGAAAAAAAAAGGTGGAACTATATATGTTGCAAGGAAATGAGAACATATATGAAGTCCCTGACACAGTCCTAACATAAAATATGGAGTTAATATAAAGAGTAATACTACTACTAATAATAATTTGCTATTAGCCACTGCTATATGCTTGCCCAACTGTTCCTTTTTTTCCTTCTCTTTGCCACTACAGCCAGTGTAAAATGATCCAAATAAGGGTAGAAGCATTAGCAGTCAATAACAACAGCTGAATCAATTAGATAGAACATAGGATAGTTGACTAGATGGGCCACAGCAAACCAAAGGCAGTTAGAAGTTTGGAAACCTAGAATTCAATAATAAATTTTATTGTATGACCCAAGGATTCAGAGTAATAAAAGAAATACCTGTAATTGTGATATATCAGTTCTTTTTTTTTAGTTCTTATTATTTAACTTACCTAAGTTCCGCTGTGAGATCCTTTATGGTAGTATATTTTTCCTCCAACGATAACTGAGCTTTCTGTAGTACATCTCTCAATTCCTGCAGTTGTCTTAGAGTACTTTTTAATTCTCCATGAGCATTGTGTAGTTCAGTCTCCAGTGCTTCCCGTTTCTGCAAAGTTTCTGTTAGTTCAGTCTCTGTGTGGTGTTGTAACTTCTCTAACTCCTTCACTATTATGAGGAGAGAATAGCTTTATAACAATATACAAATCATGTTTTACTAAGAACTTTTAAATAATTATAATTAAGTATCCAGTTTTAAAATAAAATAAAAACAAGATTGACTTTAAAAAAAAAAAAAAAAAGAGAATATCCAGTTTAATTCATCTATATGAGGCAAAATACTGAACACTCTTGGTCCCTTCCAGCCCCACCACCTCAAATTCTCATTTTATTCAACTTCTTAAGTACAAATATACAAGGAGCTAAACTCAGTCAACTGTTTGCTTACCAGCACTTGTTTTCCTTTCTAGTTCTATCTTTGTCTGATCTAAGATCATATCTAATTGAGAGAGATGTATGGCTTTATTTTCTCCATCTCGTTTTAGGTGCATTATTTCTTTTTCCATTTTAGACAGTTCTTCTTTGTACTGATCCATCTCAAGCTTTACTTGCCTAATTAAAAACAAACAATAGAACAGGTAATCTGGAAACTTCAAAACCATTAGACTTGTTTCTGACTAAAGAAAGCCTGAAAATTACATAAAGAAAAATATTAGCAAAATGTCTATTGAGAATCTTTTTTTCCATTTGATAGTGGTTGTTTACTTTGGAATCTGTGAGTGAAGAAATGTAAAATAATAAAGTACTTCTATTAATTTATTAAAACAAAATAAACAACAACAAAAATACACGTACCAGAACATATTCCTACACCCCATATTTTATGTAGACTTCTCTTAAGATATTTCTGATTGCAAGGCATTTTATTCAGTTTTAAATCACGTGTTTGTGTTTGGTTTCATAAGGAAATTGGTGGGATTAAATAGAATTTGTGAGAATATGGGAACCAACCTACTGCTTTAGTTCTCTGGACCACTTAGCCTAGAGTTTTCCTTATCAACATAAATGTCAAAGGTTGGATCATCAAAAAGCATCATTGTCTTTTAACTAACCTGAAATTCAGCAGAATGTGATATCCCTTATATATTATATCCATCATTCTGGTTATTTTTTAAATACAAACATTCTTTTAGGGTTTTTTAATTTTTAAAATTTGTTCTAATTAGTTATACATGACAGTAGAATGCACTTTGACACATCATATAAACAGTATAACTTTTCATTTTTCTGGTTGTACACAATGTAGAATCACATTGGTTGTATAATAATAGATGCACATAGGGTAATAATGTCCAATTCATTCTACCATGCTTCCTTCCCCTATACCCCCTCTTCCCCCTCCCTTCATTCCTCTCTGTCAAAGTAACTATTCTTCCCTAGTCACCCCCAATTTATTGTGAATTAGCATCTGCATATCAGAGAAAACATTTGGCTTTTGTTTTTTTTGGATTGGCTTATTTTGCTTAGCATGATATTCTCTAGCTCCATCAATTTACTGGCAAATACCATCATTTCATTCTTTTTTAAGGCTATCTACTCAGAATCTTAACTCACCTATTATATTTTAAAATTTTTCTTTGTGCTCTAAATACTACTAAATACAAATGTATTACCTTGTAATATTTAACAAGGCTAGCATTTGACCTAACTTAATAAAACTTCATATGTATTGAGAATATCCAGGGATAGACATTTCATTTAATCTGGAATTTCTATGATCTGACACAGATCATAATGAAGCCAACCAATCAAATTATTCATCATAAAGATCATACTGCTCAGGCTGGAGTTGTAGCTCAGTGGTAGAGCATTCGCTTAGCATGTGTGAGGCACTAGGTTGGATCCTCAGCAACACATAAAAAAAAATTAATAAAATAAAAGTCCATCAAAAACTACAAAATATATATATATAATATATATATATATATATATATATATATATATATATATATATATAAAAAGATCAGGGCTGGGGTTGTCGTTCAGTGGTAGAGTGCTCGTCTAGCACATGTGAGGTACTGGGTTCAATCCTCAACACCACATATAAATACATTTAAAAAATAAAGTCATTGTGTTCATTTACAACTGAAAAATATTTTTTAAAAAAAAGATCATACTACTCACAGGGGAGCCAAATCAATCATTTTTACTCAGATCTTTATTATTAGAATGATCTTTGTTAGCATATAGAGAAGAAAGATTCCAGGATTGTACAACCTTCCTGCTTTATAGAGGGAACTGAAAGGAGTTGTGGATATAAGCATATTAGTGATTTAAATGACTAACTTAAACTCAGTCAAGAAAGGAGCTGGGAAGAGGGTGCACACTTGTAATCCCAGTGACTGGGGAGTCTGAGGCAGGAGGGTTAGAGGCCAACCTCAGCAACTTAGTAAGAGCCTGTCTCTAAATAATAAATAAAAAAGGTCTGGAGATGTAGCTCAGTGGTTAAGTGTCCCTGGGTTCAATTCCAGTACCACAAAAAAAAAAAAAAAAAAGGAGAGAGGGCATCATGGAATTAGTGCTAGAACTGATAGATTAGAGGTCCTGGTTGGGTCGAAGAATTGTTAGAGTATTAAAGGGAATGACACATAATTGTCAAATTTTGGAGAAATTGTAGATACTGGAAATAATAAGATCCAGGGCAAACCATGGGAGTGTTTTATTATTAAAACATTATTAGAGGAGAGGATTAAAAAAAATCAGAAGCCAAGATGTCAGAAGCATCTGTTAGGTGTATATTGAAACCCCTAAGAACTAAACACAGTGGCATATGCCTGTAATCCTGGCACCTCTGGAGGCTGAGGCAGGAGGATCATAAATTCAAGGCTAGCCTGGGCAACTAACAAAAAGAGATACTATCTCCAAAACAAAAAAAAGTGTGTGTGTGGGGGGGTCTGGTATATCTGGGATAAAGTGTTCCTGGGTTCAATTCCCAGTTAATACTCCTACCCCCCAAATCCTTTAAGAATCAGGAGTGGTGGTGGAGAGAGCAGCAGTAAGCTAGGTGGCCTGTAAGAATCAGCAACAGCGAGGGATAATATAATATATTGACATTAGGATCAGAGTACACTATTCCAGGCACTGACTGTATGGTACAAGAGCTATGGGTAAAAGTTTTACTTCAGAGAGCTGCATGGAAAGAAGCAATGTCCTCAGGGAGTATCACGTTTCTGGTACAGCAAAAGAAGAGATAGCGAATATAGGAATGCCTTTTTAGATAGACTGTGCATTCCAGTCCTTCAGGAATTGGGATGGGGTGAGAAAAAGGAGAATATGTGGAGATCTTTTTGGGAATTCATGGAAGGGATGAGAGTTGATCTGGAAATCTAACATGTCTTGTGGTGTATAAACATAAAGTTATAATGTGATGAGTCTTCATGGACCCAAGGTAAACAACAACAGTAAGGCTGTGTTAATGGGTAGACACCTGTCACTGAGAAAAAGAAGGCTTGAAGGACTATGGTTAGCCATAAACACAATGTGCAGAGGGAATCTGGGGACAAGTTTTTAGTTCTAGCATGTAAGTTCACTCTTGACTCCTGTTGGCAGAAGAGTAGACTAATTATGAGTGTATTACTATATGCCAATTCTTGTTGATTAAACAGAAGAGGGTCTGCGGAAGCAGGGTATTGCTTTCAGCTCATGGATTCCTTTATTGACCAATTAAAATATTGATGCCGGGGCCCAATCCAGTTAAACTAAATCATAATCTTTACATGTAATTTAATCTAAATGTTCATCTCAGGTATCAGTATTTTTTACAAACTGCTTATGTGATTTTAATGTTCAGTCAAGGTTGAGAGACACTGTTTTCTTTTATCGTTACTCCCTCCTTTATACAGTTAAGAGTCTCTGCAAATCTCTATGTGAGGAAACTTTGCCTATAACTTTGAATGTTATTCATCACTTAATATAACAGTTGCTGAGTGCCTATGAGACATAAGGACTTAATGCTAGTTGTGTTAATTGTTATACAGAATTCTAAAGTAAACTAGATATGGCCTTTGCCTTAAAGAACTTTCAATATAGCAGAAAGGTTAAGGTATTAAACTATAATACAAAAAAGGCATAATGAAGGATATGAGGGGATAAAAAATACTATATGAATTCAGATTATGAAGAAATAAATTCTTCAGGCAAATATTTCAGTGGTTACTATTTTTGAAACAGATATTACTGATATAAAAATGGGAAGGTAAATAAAATGAACATATTCACATTTTACCTGGAAGTACCAGTAAGCTCAATAACTTTCTGCCTTTTCAAATCTGCATCATGAGCAGCTGTTTCACATTTTTCCTCCATTTTTCTCAACTTTTCAGCTGAACTTTCCCTTTGTTTTTGAAGTTCTTGTTCCAGCTTTGATACCTTGTAAAGCAGTTCTCAGTAAGTATTTTAAATTACTAATAAACATTAGTCAAAAGAAAAACACTTTTATAAATATGTAGCCTACCATATTATTCCATTTCAGATGTATTTTTAAAAATCAGAGTAAACTGTGCATTAGAGGGGTGGCCTATAGTCCCAGCTACTTGGTAGGTTAAGTACCATTTGACCTCAGGAACAGGAGGCCAACGTGGGCATAGTAAGACCCCATCTCAAAAATAAATAAGTAAAATTTAAAATAATTTTAAAAATAAAAATAAATGATTAAAAAACCAAAATTATATTGAGCTGGGGTTGTGGCTCAGCGGTAGAGCGCTTGCCTAGCACGTGTGGGGCCCTGGGTTCGATCCTTAGCACCACATAAAAATAAATGAACAAAATAAAGGTATTGTGTCCAACTAAAAAATAAATATTAAAAAAAGCAAAATTATAGACCATGAAGCAATGTTTTAAAAAAATACAAAAACATAACTTACTTTTTAGCAATAAAGATACTCTATTCACATGTATCTTAAAAAAGTGGCAACATCATAAACACTAAAATAAGACATAAAACCCCAACAAGACTAGAGGGGAATAGCTCAGTGATAGGATACTTGCCCAGTACATACAAAGTCCTAGTTTCTATCCCCAGAACTATAAATAAAAAGGAACAAGAATTGAATAAATAGCTAAGTGTAGTGATGCACGACTGTCATCCTACCTACTTGGGAGGATGAGGCAAGAGGATATTAAGTTCCAGGAAAACCTGGGGAACTTAGCAAGACCCTGTCTCAAAATAAAATTAAAAGGGCTTGGGGTATAGCTCAGAGGTACAGTGCATGCCTAGCATGTACAAGGTCCTAGGTTTAATTCCCAGCATGGAAAAAGAAAAAAAAATAATTTAGTAAATATTCTCCTTCTCACTCTCTACATTTGAAATAATCTTGTGTGTGTGTGTTCCTTTCTTTCTTCATAAATTGGCTAATTCAGTGAAATATTCCTAATTCCCATTTGACTATAAACTCTATAACCTGCATTTTTCCTGTCTATCTTTTTTATAATAAAAGAGGTCATTTTCTACCTATGTAAGTTAAATTGCTTCTTATGTGTTCTGGAATCAATTCCTATCCACATTCTCAGAAACCTCACACTATTGACACTCTTTCCTCCTTCCTGTATCTTCAATCTCTAGTATTTTATTTTCTTCTTTTTATCTTTCCCATCTCTTGTGGTGGTACTGGGAATTGAACCTGGAGCCTCACATAACACTAGTCAAGTACTCTACCACTGAGCTACATTTCTGGCCCTTTTTTTTTTTTTTGAGATAGGTTCCTAGTAAATTACTGAGGCTGGCCTTGAACATGCAGTCCTGCTGCACCTCCTGAATAGCTGGGAATACAGGCAGGTGTCACCACAACCCCAACATTTTATTTTCTTAAATAACAGCCCTTAAACATGTTTCCCATTGTAAAAAAACTGTCTTTCATACCTATACCTTCCTCCACTTACCACCCTTTCTTTCAGCCCCTGCAAAGCCCAATTTCTATATTACTGTCTCATTTCTCATTTACACCTCAATCTACAGAAAAACTGTCTGTTCCATATAAACTGCGGTTACATCACCAGTAGCTTCCAAGTTGCCAATTCATCAATGGACTTTTCCTAATGTCCATTTTACTTCCCAGTGATTCCAATAGCCTATGACAATGTCCTTCCTTTCTTCATAAAATATTTACGTTGGCTTCTATTTATCACATCCCTCCGGGATCTGTCCAAGCCAATCTTCTCACTTCTCATTCTGTAATCTGTTATTTCATGTTTTCAATGAACATTTATATGACTGTGGTTCTCAAAGATAACCTTTGCTTTTGACTTTAATATCCTTCCAGCTTTCCTAAAACCCCTCACAGAACTAAATAACTAAATAATATTAAAACAGCAGTAAGGGCAGAAGGTACAGTTTAATGGTAGAATGCTTGCCTAGCATGTGCAAAGCCCTGGGTTTGATCACAGTACCAATAAAGAATAAACAAACCAAAACAAAAGCAAAACCAAACCAAATACCTCCAGTACTCAGGAAATAGGGAAGGGAAACAAGGAAATCTACCTCCTGAATTCTTGATTAAACATCACACACATAAACACAAGGAATCTAAAGTAATAATCTGAAAGGATCCAATATGAATCAATGTATATATAAAAGAAAACCAGAAAGAAAATTTATACTTAAGAAATTGTTGGATGCAAACTTCTGTAGACTCTTAAAGAAGTTAAAGAAAGGGCTGGGATTGTGGCTCAATAGACCGTGCTCGCTTAGAATATGTGAGGCATTGGGTTTGATCCTCAGCACCACATAAAAATAAATAAAATAAAGGTATTGTGCCCATCTACAACTAAAAATTTTTTTTCTAAAAGAAGAAGTTAAAAAGAACAAAGTATTGACTTAAAACAAAGAACAAAGATAATTTTCATACAAAGAATTCAAATGAGGCCAGGCATAGTGGTGGCTCAGAAGGCTGAGGCAGGGGCAGGAGGATTCTAAGTTCAATGCCAACTTCAGCAAAAGCAAGGCACTAAGCAACTCAGTGACACGCTGTCTCTAAATAAAATACAAATAGGGCTAGAGATGTGGCTCAGTGTCCAAGTGCCCCTGAATTCAATCCCAAGTACTGCCCCCACCAAAAAAAAAAAAATAATAATTTTTTTCAAATGAACTAGTCAAGTTAAGGGGAAAACAACAACAAAAAAGAAGAAACCTATAACATCACTACAGAAATAAAACCACTTTAAGAGGAACAAGAATCATAATCAGTCCTGCCAAAGTCAGAGTGAATTTACAAGGATTTAGGTAGTAGGAGTCAAATACCAAGGAGATGAAGAAATATTTCAGGGTGAGGCTATATAGTAGGCTTAGTAAGCAACAGGTCTAGACTTTAATGATGAAAGGAATGGAAAGTTACAGAAGATGTCTCTAAAAAATAAAACACAGAATACCTGGATGATACACAATTGAATGCACTGAAAGGAGTCTTTAGTTCCACCGGAGAGGCTATCTTAGAAGTTTTCTGTTGCTATAACTGAATACCATATCATATACTGGCTGACTTAAAAAGAAAAAAGGTTTATTTTGTTCATGTTTTTGGAGGTGGTTCTGGAGTGGGGAAAGTCCAAAGTCACTATGCTGAAACTGAAGGCCTTCTTACTAATGGGGACTCTGCAGAGTCCCAATGTGGTACAGGGCATCACATTACCGTGAAAGGAGAACATAGAAGAAACAGAGCCAAAATGGCTTTTATAACACCCCCCACTCTCCAGATAACTCATCAGTCCATAAGTAGATTCATTCATTCTTGAGGTCTGAGCTCTCATAACTCGATCTCTTCTTTTTCTTTCTTCTTTTTTTTTTTTTTTTTTTGGTATTGGGGATTGAACCCAGGGGAATTTTATCACTGAGCCACATCCCCAGCCCTTTTTTGTATTTTATTTAGAGACAGGATTTTGCTGAGTTGTTTAGGCCTCAACAAGTTTCTGAGGCTGGCTTTGAACTTGTGATCCTCCTGACTCAGCCTCCCAAGAGACTTGGATTTACAGGCATGCATCACTGCGTCCAGCTCAATCACTTCTTAAAGGTCCCATCTGGTCCCAACTCTTATCTTACATTTCAACATGAGTTTTGGTGGGGGCATTCAAAGCACAGCAGAGGCTGAGGATAAACTTGAAATAATGAGAGATCATCCATTTGACAAAAAAACTAATCTTACAAATGTAGTAAGATTACATTGGAGGGCTGGGATTGTGGCTCAGTGGTAGCGTGCTTGCCTAGCACTTGCAAGGCCTTGGGTTCGATCCTCAGCACCACATAAAAATAAATAAGTAAGGGTATTGTCTCTAACTAAAAAAATAAAATGTTTTTTTTTTTTTAAAAAAGATTACATTGCAAAATGTATAAATTTTTCAATTTGTTTATTTCTGCAAATTTTCTTTTGAAAAGAGAAAAAAACAAAAGAAATGAAATATCTGTAAAGAATTCTGTGAGGTGAAGAGAGAGAGAAAGCCTACATCTTGGGAGCAAATTTTTATCCCTCACACATCAGATAGAGCACTAATCTCTAGGATATATAAAAAACTCAAAAGCTAAACACCAAAAACAAACAAACAAACAAAAAAACAAATAACTCAATCAGGGCGAAGGACCTGAACAGACATTTCTCAGAAGATGATATACAATCAATCAACAAATATATGAGAAAATGTTCATCATCACTAACAATTAGAGAAATGCAAATCAAAACTACTCTAAGATTTCATCTCACTCCAGTCAGAATGGCAGCTATTATGAATACAAACAATAAGTGTTGGCGAGGATGTGGGGAAAAATGTACACTCCTACATTGTTGGTGGGACTGCAAATTGGTGAAGCCAATATGGAAAGCAGTATGGAGATTCCTCTGAAATCTGGGAATGAAACCACCATTTGACCCAGCTATTTCTCTCCTCGGTCTAAACCCAAAGGAATTAAAAACAGCATACTACAGGGTCACAGCCACACCGATGTTTATAGCAGCACAATTCCAAATAGCTAAACTGTGGTACCAACCTAGATGCCCTTCAGTAGATAAATAGATTAAAAAAATGTGGCATATATATACACAAAGGAACATTACTCAGCAATAACAGAGAATAAAATCATGGCATTTGCAGGTAAATGGATGGCACTGGAGAAGATAATGCTAAGTGAAGTTAGCCAATCCCCCAAAACCAAATGCTGAATGTTTTCTCTGATATAAGGAGACTGATTCATACTGGGGTAGGGAGGGGGAGCATGGGAGGAATAGAGAACTCTAGACAGGGCAGAGGGGTGGGAGGGAATGGGAAGGGGCATGGGGGTAGAAATAATGGTGGAATGTGATGGACATCATTATCCAGAGTACATGTATGAAGACACGAACTGGTGTGAATATACTTTGTATATAATAAGAGATAATAAAAAATTGTGCTCTACATGTGAACTATGAATTGTAATGCATTTTGCTGTCATATATAAATAAAAAAAGAAGAAAAAATAATTCAGATAAATTTGGCAAAGAATGAAAGAAAAAAGGTTAGTACTCTAGTATAATAAATTCTCAAGGGCTCTTTCACTAAAGTAATAACTTTGTTTTTATTTTATTTATTTTTTATTTTTATTTTTTGCAGTGTTGAGGATCAAACCCAGGGCCTTGAGCATGCAAGGCAAATGCTTCTGTCACTGAGCTACCTCCCCAGTCCCATAACTTATCCTCAGAACTAAGTAGGAAGAGTATTTTCCTTTGGCAATTTTGTTTTAGTATACTGCTTTGCCATTTCTTTAGAGAATATCACACCATGTGCTGATCCAAAATGTCAACATTAGAAGGAATAATGATCCAGACAGGTAATATATTTGGGTTAAAAAAAAAAAAAAAAAAGAGAGAGATTTAGTAGAGAACTCTAAATTATAACTAAATTGTGGCTGCAGTATTAGATAACAAATATGTGGTGACAGAATTAGATATTCAGGTCAGATTATGGAGGATTAGAACTTCATTTTTACAATATCAATACAGAGTATTTCTTATCATGTGAAATATTTAAAGTTAAATAACAATTTCTATAACTAAAAACTTGTTAATGATTTTTAAAATTTCTATTTCATAAAATAAAACCATCCAGTAATATATACCTGTTTTTCAAGTTTAGTCTGAATATCTTCTAGCTCTCCATTTCTAATTGTCTCTTGCTGTAACATTTGCTGCTGTTGCTGAAGAGTATGCTGTAGAATAACATTTTGCTCAGTGGTCTCTTGAAGACTGTGATTTTTTATCTTTAGCTCTTTCTGCAAACAGTATACCTAACAAATACATATATTTCTCATTACAATGAACTGTTTCAAATAAAAAGCAATAAAATGTCAAATCTGTCTTAATTATCCTCATTTATTATGTGGAGCAATTGTCATGAGGGTCAATAGTAGTCACAGTTTATTACATAGAAGGGTGGGGCTCGTTTTTCTGATGGAGAGGTATATTATAAGGACCTGGTTGCTGTCTGGAGATGTATCTTTTAAGATTGTCCTGTGTGATTAGATTATTTTGGCTGAGGTACTGAAACATGCTTTCTTTCTGGGAGCCTGCAATTATTTTGATACTTACAGGTTGGTCATTATTCATATCTGACCTAACCCATCCCTACCAAAAAAACCAGAAAACTCAGAACTTCCGAATCATAAACAGTCTTCCCTAGGCAGAAAAACTATACCTCTTGTCATATTTCACTGCAATGGAAAGGAATATGTTCTGTATGACTCCTCCTAGATGAAGTGAAAAATATAGGTAGCTATGGATTTCTCTACATTTCAGCTAATGCACTTTTTCTGCTTTGTGATAATAAATCACTGCCATGAAGTACTGCAAAAATATTAGTCAATATTTATTATTAGGTTATTGTTGTTATTTATAAAAGACTATTCCAGCAAATCACCCGGGAATATTCTTGCTCCAAAAAACACATACAAGGAATAACATTATCAGCTGAGAAATTTCACTCATTCACTCCAAATATTTAGTATTTGAATATGCTGGTCTCTAAAACTGATTTAAAAGATATTCTTAAAATTATCTAGTAGCACTGGTATTAAGAAGGGAAAAAACAAAAACAAAAAAAAAACTGTCCTTTGCCCTAATAATCCAAATCCTAAAAACATGCTAACAGAAATCATTTAAAAAATAATATAAATAACCTAGCATAATTTAAAATATATTTTATAACATTTTTCACCTCCTCCAACAATAAGGCAAAGTTTTAATTAAAGAGGATATATATCAATCTAATTATAAATGATGTGTCCATTTAAAACCATAATTTACAAGACAGTAGTAAATGTAACATTTTATAAAATGAAATTAAGTTTGAAAATCACATTGCATCAATATAATTATGAAAAGATAAATGAAAAAAATAGTACCACAGAGAAAGGTGTATATAAATTTTCTTTGAAAGTTTTCCTATCATTGTTTATGTAATAATTTTTTTTAAATGAAGGGAAACAAAGCTATTCCTTTAAAGCAAAGACTCTTTCCAGAAGAAAGGAATTTTAATTCCTTGCAAGACATAGCACAAGAGAATCATGACTTGGTTCTTTTTTTTAATTATCCAGCCGATAAACACTCAGAAGCATCATAAAGGACTTAGGAACCACATCTTCTTTGCTCATGATGAGAAAGAAGCTCTTTTAAAATTTCAAGCTTCTTTATATAATGATATTGGAAACCTGGAATAATCTTAATATTACAGGCAACTAGCTAATTTCTAATTCTGATTTTAATACTCATCTTTATGCTAATCCATTTTACTTAAGTCTGCCTGAAAATAATTTAGTGCAAATATTCATCAGTATTATCTGTTTTCTTTTTCTTCTTTTTTTTAATTTCTTTTTTTTTTTTAATAGTTGTGTATGGACAGCATACCTTTATTTTATTTGTATGCGGAGCTGAGAATCAAATCCCGTGCCTCACACATGCTAGGCAAGCACTCTGCCACTGAGCTGCAGCCCCATCCCTACCTGTTTTCTTTATCAGCTCCTGACAAACTAAAGATCACACTTCTGTAGTGGTTTATTTTATATCAAACTAATGTCCCTACAAAAAATGTTTAAATATGTTTTTTTCTTTACTGGAACATCCTGTCTCACACTTACTTCCTATTTAAAGAGATAATGGGCAAAATATTTAAATATGATAAAACAGAAGAAAAAAAATAAGATCTAACCCAAAACACCAAGAAAGTCACATCATATAACAACAAATTTTATTTTATTCAGTAATCTAGTCACTGGCAAAACTTCAATTATAGGGCTGGGTTTGTGGCTCATGCTTGCCTTGCATACATGGGGCACTGGACTCAATCCTCAGCACCACATAAATAAATAAAATAAAGATATTGTGTCCTACAATAAAAAAAAATTAAAAATATATACGTTGATGTATATAATGTTAGCTGTATCCAAATAATAATTTACAATATTATCCATCAATAAATAAAAATAAATAAAGATATTTTATAACATTTCATTGTACTGTACTTTAACTTCTAGATAGCTTGACTTTAAAGTAAATATAGGGGAAAAGAACAAAAAAAAATTAAAAAAAAAAAGAAAAAGTAAATATAGGGGCTGGGCATGGTGGCACATGCCTGTAATCCCAGTGACTAGGGAGACTGATGTAGGAGAGAATCATAAGTTCAACAATACCTCAGCAACTTAGTGAGGCCCTAAGCAATTTAGCAAGACTGAGGAACAAAAATAAAATAGAAGAATTCTGAGTTCTTTCGACATAATAAGCAAAGTGCTAGACATTAAGGATACAGAGAGAATAAGATAACTCAAGAAAGGTCTTTATTACCTGAGAAACTTATTTCAATATAGAAAGTTTAATTTCTAAATCTAATTCTCTTTTGGGGGGGCGGAATTGAACTCGGGGCACTCAACCAATGAACCACATCCACAGCACTTTCTTGTATTTTATTTAAAGACAGGGTCTCACTGAGTTGCTTAGTGCCTCGCTTTTGCTGAGGCTGGCTTTGAACTCATAATCCTCCCTGCCTCAGCTTCCCAAGATGCTGGGATTGTAGGCATGTGCCACAGCACCCAGCTCTAAACCTAATTCTTAATTCTTCAGACAATGAGAAGAAACAAAAACAAAATAGAAAAATTTGGAATAATTTCACTCTAAATCTAAATATTACTTATTTTATATTAGATGTTTTTTATATTAGAATTGCTCTGTGATATTAGTAATTTATCTGATTCTCTAAACAATAAATAATTAGAATTTTAAGGGAAAATATATATATAATATTTTGTTTTTTAGTTGTAGTTGGACAAAATACCTTTATTTTATTTATTTATTTTCATGTGGTGCTGAGGATTGAACCCAGGGCTTTGCACATGCTAGGCAAGCACGTTACCACTGAGCCACAACTTCAGCTCCTATATATATATATATTTTATATTTATTTTTTAGTTGTAGTTGGATACAATACCTTTTTATTTATTTATTTATTTATTTTTATGTGGTGCTGAGGATTGAACCCAGGGCCTCGTACGTGCTAGGCAAGCACTCTACCACTGAGCCATAACACCAGCCCATGGTTTTATATTTTAAGTTGCACTGAAATAAAGGTTGTTCTTTAAAGAATATAAAATTTGGAATGTACATTTTAATATCAGCTACATAAGGATATAGTATATTAGGGGCCAGGGATATAGCTCAGTTGGTAGAGTGCTTGCCTTACATGCACAAGGCCCTGGGTTCAATCCCCAAAACCACTAAGAAAAAAAAAATACACCATAAAGTATCTTAAAAATAACTCAAAGATGCCGGTCATGGTGCCACATGCCTGTAATCCTAGCAGCTGGGAGGATGAGATAGGAGGACTGCAAAGCCAGCCTCAGCAAAAGCAAGGCGCTAAGAAACTCAGTTGAGACACTGTCTCTAAAAAACATACAAAATAGGGCTGGGGATGCAGCTCAGTGAGCAAATGCCCTCTGTAGTTTAATCCCTGGTACCAAAAATAAGTAAATAAAACTTATTTAGTAAAGAAATCACATGAAAATTGTGCTACATATAAAAGAAATAACTTACCTCTTCAGATTTCTTCTTCAGCTGTTTTTCAAACTTTTCCTTATTTCCTTCCAATTGATTCAAATGCAGGGCAAGCTCTTCCTTACAAATTTCTAATGCTGAATCTAGTTGTCTAACCTAAGCAAGGAAAAGGGAAAGGGAAAAAAAAAAAGGAAAATCATCTAATATAATGAATGCTTATTACACACAATATTTTACAGATTTATCTCCTAAAGTTTACCTCACTGCTTCAAACAGTAAATATACAGTCATAGTTAGAATATAAAATGTTATTACAGAAGAGATAATATTGAGAAAACTAATTCTTTGTAAGAAAACAAAAGGGAAACCAGAGAATGGAATACTGAAGAATAAAGAAGTGATAGACAGTAGAGGACATTCTAGGAAAAGGAAGTATTCAAAGAGGAAGGCACTGTGAAAGGGAATGGAGAAGCTGGAAGGAGGTTAGAGTTATCAAGAGTATAAAATTGTAGGACATGGTCATTGAATAATAAGAATGATAAGATAAACTAGAGCCAATTGTCAAGAATCTTCAAGTCAAACACTTAAAAACATTTTCTTAAAAAGGTAAAGCAGTCTTTAAGCACATTTTTTAAAGTTGTAGATGGACACAATATCTTTATTTATTTTTTTATGTGGTGCTGAGGATCAAACCCAGTGCCTCACACATGCAAGGTAAGCGCTCAAGCAAGCCCTCAACCACCAAGCTACAACCCTGGCCCCTAAGCACACATTTTAAACCCTCTTAAACAAGAAAAATAGGAAAGTAAGAACCAATTTACAAATCAGTATATTGTTAATGCTGTTAAGATAATATTTTGAAATGCTGACATTAATAAGTATATGAAAATATTGCTGGACAAGGTGGCACAAGCCTTTAATAATCCTGCTGCTGAGGCACGGAGGATGACAAATTTAAAGCCAGCCTCAGCAATTTAGTAGGACCCTGTATCAAAAAAACAAAAAGAAAGTCTGGGGATATAGCTCAGTGGTAGAGCACCCCTGGGTTCAATCATCAGTACTGAAGAAAAAATAGAAAATATTTTGTCAGCTAGGGAAAAAAATACAAGACTCCTTTGTTTAGAATCTATGAGAATATTTTCAAAAGGACAGCAATATAACTTGGATTACTTGTGTTTACACAGTTGCAAAATGCTTTATAACATCAATATTAAAGAACAACTCATAATAATTTTTTCAAAATATTTAATTAAAGCTCCTCAATTTGTACATATGTTCCATATCCCATCTATTAATAATATTCTTGTCTTAATCCTTTCTTTTCCTTGTTGTAATTCTGAGCTTCTGGAGGTGGTTTTTCTTTTTTCCTTTTTAAAAAAATTCTGTCAGAGGGATGGGGTTGTGGCTCAGTGGTAGAGTGCCCACCTAGCATGCACAAGGCACTGGGTTCGATCCTCAGCACCACATAAATGTAAAATAAAGTTATTGTATCCACCTAAAGCTTAAGAATAAATATTTTTTTTAAAAGTTCTGGCAGAAAATTGACCTGAGGAGTGTTTTTCTCTCTTACTGCTAGTAACATTCAAGGAGGCAGCCTTCAAAGTGTCAAAGAAATCTCAACAAGACTAGGAGAAAAAGAAAAAAATGTTCCACTTGCAGATATTAATCTCCATCATGAAATTATCCTTGCAACTCTTATTTCTAAAAGGGGAATCTTGAACTGGGAATGGTGGAATATGGCTATAATCCCAGTTACCTAGAAGGGTGAGGCAGGAGAAGACCAAGTTCAGTTGGGTTCATTTGTCAGCCTGGGCAACTGATCAAAAGTTTTTTTGTTTTTTTTTGTTTTTTTTTTTTTTTGGAGATAAAAAGGGTTGGGGAATGTAGCACTAGGGATGTAGCATAGTGGTGGGATAACCCTAGATTCAATTGGTTTGACCCTTGTTAAAAAGTTTTAATGCTTCAATGGGTTATATCCAATTGAAATATAGATTTTAACTCAGTAATAGGTTAAGGACTTGGGGGAGATAAGGGAAATACTTACAGATTAAAATTTAAAAAGACACTCACTCTCAGGGTCACACAAATACTGGCCCTTTATGTGTATAATCCTAAGAGTGTCTCCTTAAATTTTGCACTAATGGCATCTCATTTGATTTACCTTAGTTCCAGGTCTGCAGCATAGCCAGATATTCTGCAAGTCTAACAAGTTCCCAGGTGATGCTGATGCTACTAGTCCATAAACCATACTTATAGTAATAGTGTTATAAAGAACATTTTCAAAACACTGGGGAAATTTCATTATGAACTATATTGAATGATGTTGCTGAGTTTATGACCTCTTTAAGGTGTAGGGTGACCCCATAACAGAAAGTTTCTGCTCATGGAAGATGCATGTTTATGTATTCAGGAAAATTAAAGTATTATGACATGTACAACCTTGTCTCAGGTGGCTGGCAAAAAAGAAGTATTTGTGTAGGAGGAGGTAGGTGTACACACAAGCATGCATGTATGTGTGCATAGAGAGAAATGAAGTGAGTGTACCTAGATTATAATGGACAATGAATCTGGATGAAAGGTACACAGATGCTCCCTGTAGTAGTATTTCAAATTTTTTGAGGGTTTGAAATTTTAAAAATATATTTAAATTAATAAATTAATTAAAATTAATAATAAACAAATTTTGATGGGCTTTCTGATTTAATCAGAGCTTGAGAGTCTGAATCACATATGAATACATTGTGCACTGTATATGCATCCCTTGCAAACATACACATACACGAATGAACGAAATCAAAACATACTGACAGATATACATGTATATAAAGGCATGAAGCCAAAGAAACTTCTCAAATACACCATCTGGGGACAAGTAGGTGGGGCTTTAGGCTGTATATCTTCAACAACAGCAATTAAGCTCTTCTGTTTATTTTTCCACTTAAGATTTTTTTTTTTTTTTTGAGGGAGCAGGGAAAAAATCCAGAGTAGAAAATAAATAGAAAATAAGAAAAATACCTTAATACCTCCCTTACTTTATTTATTTATTTCTGGTACTGGGGATTGAATCCACATCTCATGCATGTTAGGCAAGTGGTCTAACACTGAGCTACATTCCCAGCCGCCAAACAATAGAAAATAAATGAACAAAATCTTAAGAAGTACTGTATCAATTTTCTGTTTAAGAGGCAACATAATTTGCTTGATTTATTGGTCTCTGGTTACCTGTTTAGAATTTTATCACCAACTATTTAGCTATTATTAATCATAATTTTATAATTGATACAACTTTAAATTCATCCTCTTAACTTTCCTGTATATAGAAAACTCATAGTACTTCCTTGCAGAGAACAACTGAGGCATGCAAGGGGATATAGACAAAAATCATAAAAGGAATAATGACATAATCAGGAAAAGTAGGCTTCAGATTTCTGTTTTGATGCTACAGATAATAGAGGTTAAGAATCATTTAAGTATAACTTGAATCATGGAAATTCTGCTTCTATATTTCTTTCTTATTTTGATTTTTTACCCAAACAGCAAACCTGTTAAAGGTATTAAGGGAATAAAATACAGCATCAGATTTCATTCCCTTACTAATTTTCTTTCCATCGCATACCTGGCTTGAAATATATGGAAATACCTTACTAGATAACTGCCTAGATGTTTAGGTAGTTTAATGAAGTTGCTATTTTTTTTTTTTTGGAGGGGGGATTATTTCATGAAATAATTTCTGTCCTATGACCTTTATATACTAAAGATTTTTTTTTTTTTTTGTACCAAGAATTGAACCCAGGGGTGCTTAACCACTGAACCACATCCCTAGCCCTTTTTATATTTTAATTAGAGACACGGTCTCTCATTAAGTTGCTTAGAGCCTTGCTAAGTTGCTGAGGCTGGCCTTGAATTTGCAATCCTTCTGTGCCCAACTACTAATGATTTTTCAATGTTAATAAATTTTGAGATTTTTCTTACATGAGGAAATAAATTGAGATGGCATTTACTATTAAAGAATTGAGAATGTCATAGGAATAGTTATGAATAAGCATAATTATACTTACATGGGCATACAGTCACAAAATGAACTAAAAACAAAACACCAAGAAAAAGTAAATAATGTATTTTTTTAAACAATATGATAGAATAAGGTAGCAGTATATTTGGACATATCAAATTTGAACCTCTGAAAAATGCAAAGGAGAAAATATTGAATATATAAGAGTTTTTCCCATTATCCACAGAGGATATATTTTAAGAACCACAGATAGTACTAAACCCTATATATACTATTTTTTCCTGTATATAAATACTCCAATGTAATGCCCTTTTGATCTCAACTAAGCACTTATCAGGCAGTATGGCTGTAACATTTGTAGTTTAAGGTACTACAGTAAAGCCAGCATAAATTTCTTTTTCCTTCTTTAAAATTTCACACATAGATTTGTCTTTACCATAAATCTTAGCAACTTCAGCATATAGTATTTTTCCATTTCTTATTAAATCCAGAACTTTCACCTTTTCCCTTAAAGGAGAACTTTATACCTTAGTTTGGGCAAATCTGAATTGCCATCATCACTACTTTCATAGTTTAGGATCACTATTAAATAAAGTAAGAGCTATTTAAACATAAGCACTATAATACTAGTTCATCTTATAGCACAGATGGCTCCTAAGTGATTAATGGGCAGTTAGTACATACTAAGTGGATACAATGAGAAAGATATGATGAAATAGATGGGGACAAATACAAGATTTCATCGTACTACTCAGAATAATGCACAATGTAAAACTCATGAATTGTCTCTCAATTTTTCTAATATTTTTGAACTGCAGTTGACTACATGTAACTGAAACCATGGAAAGTGAAATCACAAATGAGATGATACTGTATAATAATTAGTTATTAAATTTTTAACTTAGCATATGCTAAGCATTTTATATATCTAGTTTTGTTTAATACACTGCTATTCTTCTGAGGTGTTGTTATCCCCATCTTAGAGAGGAAAAAATTAAATTTCAGATAGCTTAAATAATCTCAAACTAAGTTATATCCAGTTAATAGGCATCTTGAGGCCAAAAGTGAAACCCAAGTTAATTCAGCAACCTGGTCCATGTTTTTAATCATTAAGATATACTAGCCACAAATCCATATTTTAGCTGAAAATTATGGATTCATCACTTAATTAACCTTACCAGCAGAACTGGTAAAAAGAAGCAAAACTAGATTTACTTGCTTTGTTAATTCTTTACTGGTAATGCTAATAAGTTGCAATTATAGCTAAAGTTAAGACCTTTTTTTGTGTGTGTGGAGTTGGGGATTGAACCCAGGGCCTTGTGAATATGAGGCAAGCACTCTACCAAGTGAGCTATCCCCAGCCCAAAAGACAATTTTTTAATGGTTCAGAAAATCATAGGACCAAATAGGCTAGATAATCCACAAATCACATTATCAACTATCAAATGATTAAGATTAAAATTCAATGTAAAGAAAATATGCTGCTGGGCATAGTGGTGCACTCCTCTAATTCCAGCAACTCAGGAGGTGGAGGTAGAATTGTAAATTCCAAGTCAGTCTCAGCAACTTAGTGAGAACCCTATCAACTTAGCAAGACCCTGTCTCAAAAAAAAAAAAAAAAAAAAGAGGGATATAGCTCAATGCTAAATCACCCTGGGTCCAATACTCAGTACTAGAAAAGAAAGAAAGTAAACATAACAACAGAAACAAAGTTCACTGAATCAAGTCAAATCTTCAATAATTAATCAACATTTATGCATTTAATTTTTATAATTTATGTGTGAACTGTCTTCAATAAGAAAAACAAAACGTATTAGCATACTAGCCTTGATTGTTTCTTCAGATACTTGATTCTGTAATGCTTTCAAAGCTTCATCTTTCTTCATATTTTCCTTTTCCATTTCCTAAAAACAGGAGGTGGGGAGGTGTGGGGGGAGAAGTAAGAAAAACATAGTAATACGAGTAAACATTTTTACATTTGTAAAGGTTATTACACAAGTGATTTGATTAGAATTAACATATGTCATAGAAAGATAAAACTATTAACACTTTTATAAAGATGACTTTACCCCTTTGCTTTCCGTCAAGAGTCTATCTAATGATTCAAGATGATGCTGTTTACATAATATATCTTGTTGCAACATCGACATAGTCTTTTCTTGTTCTTTAAATTGTTGGTCTTTTTTCTCTAGTTGAGCTTCAAGCTAAACATAAAAACAGGATTAATTTTCATATTATATTTTTAAAATGTTTCAAACATTTTCTCTTATTAAAAAAAAAGAAATGGTTAGAGATGTAGCTAGCTCAGTGGTAGACTGTTTCCCTAGCATTTATGAGACCCTGGGTTCAATCCCCAATAATGAGAAAAAAGGAAGAAATAAAAATCACAAGCCTATTTTTATTCACTTTCCTCCTTTATCTATACTAAGCTGAAACTGGTCTGTATCATTTTCTGGTATGTTTCATTATTATATATGTCTTTTACACTTTACTAAATACATACAGCCATGAGCAATATGTAGTTTTCTGTCTTGAAAATTTACATAGATATTATCAATACTTCTAAGTTTTGGCAAGTCGCTGTCTTTACTTGATATTGTTTTAGATACTTATCCAAGTTGATATACATAGATCTAGTTCATTTACTTTAGAGAAGTATAAGATTCTACTGTAAGAATAATGACAATTTCTCTACTCTTCTACGTAGGAACAGTTACTCTGTTTTTTTACTCTTATGATAGTGCTGCAATAACATCTGTTGTACATGTCTCTTTATGTACATGTGTAAGAGTTTCTCTAGAATAGACAGACCACATAGAAGTAGACTTCCTTGTTGTAAGACATGCACATTTTCAATTTCAGTAGGTATTTCTTTTCAAAGTGAATCAAGATTTACACATTCATTAGACGTATGTAAGATTTCTTACTCCCCACAACTTCACCTATAATTGGCATCATCCAAGTTCCAAAAAACTTGGAACAAAATATGAAATTACTCAATATGCGTATATTTATGTATGTATATCATGTAGCTATACACAAATAAAAAAAGATGTTATATCTAGTGATCTATATATATCATACATCCATCCATCCATACAATAAGAATATGGCAGTCACAGGATTAACAGGAATATATAAAACCAAAGAATTCTGAAATGAAAATGATCAAATGAAAACAACAAAAGGACACATCAGAAATTAGAGGCTTTTTAAGCAATTTAAGATAATATTGAAAAAGTAGTATTTGCAAGTTAAACTTCCTAGTAAGCAAACAAGGAAAATAAATTCTGGATCCTATTAAATAAGGAGAAGGAAATTTTTAAAAAGAGGGTTGAAATTAACTTCAATGGAAATTTCAAATATAATGTTTTCCTAGAATTTCTGCCACTCTCATATTAATCACTGAAGAAACCCTCAGGGATGAACTCATTTGAAAGATACTTTTTATCTTCTAAATCAGTAATCCACTTTTAAAGGACCTATTATAAAATAATTTAAAATATGGAAAACAGCTTTACAATAAAGTTGACACAATATTAAGTCATAATTCTGAACAGGAACAACTCAAATGGCAACTATTCTATAAAATGAAGCTATTAAAAATAATGTTTATATTGGGTGCGGTGGTGCATGCCTGTAATCCCAGCAGATTGGGGTCTAAGGCAGGAGGATCATGAGTTCAAAGCCAGCCTCAGCAAAATCCAGGCGCTAAGTAATTCAATGAAACCCTGTCTCCAAATAAAATACAAAAAATTGGGCTGAGGGTCTGGGGTTGTGGCTCAGCAATAGAGCACGCCTAGCATGTGTAAGGCATTGGGTTCCAGCCACAGCACCACATAAAAATAAATAAATAAATAGGGCTGGGGATGTGGCTCAGTGGTCAAGTGTCCCTGAGTTCAATCCCCAGTACCAAAAAATATATGTGTGTGTGTGTGTCTTTTCCTTGAAGACTAGGAATAGAACCACTATATGACCTAGCTATATGACTCCTCAGTATTTATCCTAAAAAATTAAAGTTGTCATAGTATAATGATACAAGTATACCCATGTTTGTGGCAGCCTAGGTGTCCACCAACAGATGAATGGATAAAGAAAATGTGGTATATGTATATATACAATGAAGTTTTATTCAACTATAAAGAAAAATGAAAGTATGTCATTTGTAAGAACATAAACGGAAATTGAAAACATTGTGATAACCAAAATAAGCCACTCTCAGAAGGTCAAGGGTCATATAGTTTTCTTTCATATGTGGAAATTAGGGAGAAAAAAGGAAAAGAAAGGTTGTAGGGTCAGAATCTCATGAAAATCAGAGAGATCAGAATACAGGAAAGGGAGGAAGGAGAAAAGGAAAAGGAGAAATACTGGCCAAATTATATTGTGTGCATGTATGAATATGTAACAAAGCCCATCATTATGTACAACTATAATGCCCCAATAAAAAATGTGAGCCTGCACAGTGTCGCACATCTGAAATCGCAGTGGTTCAAGCAGCTGAGGCAGGAGGAACAGAAGTTTCAAGCTGGTCTCAGCAACTTAGTGAGACCATGAACAAATTATTAAGACCCTACCTCTAAATAAAATATATATTTTTAAAAAGGGTTAGGGATGTGGCTCAGTGGTTAAGTGCCCCTGGGTTCAATCCCTGGTATAAAAAAAAAAAAAAAAAAGTGGAAACATTTTTTAAAAATAAAAAAACTCGTGTTTATTGACAAGTTTTGAGAGTTCTTTATTTATGTTTTTGCTGGATATGGGATTTACAAATACTTTCTCCACCCTAGCTTATCTTTCATTTTCTTTCACAGCATAAAACTCTTTAGTATTGGTGTATTCCAGTTTATCCATTTTGTTGTTGTTGTTGTTGTCGTTTTTCATGGTGGTTTTAGTATCATACCTAAGAACTCTTATCCTAACCTGAGGTCATGAGTACTTTCTTCTAAGAGTGTTACAGTTTTTAAAAAAATTATATTAAAATCTATGACCCATTTCTTTTCTTTCTTTCTTTTTTTTTTTTTTTTTGTGGTGCCAGGGATTGAACCCAGGGCCTTGTGCATGCAAGGCAAGCATTCTATCAACTGAGCTATGTCCCTAGCCCAGTCTGTAACCCATTTCTAAGCACTTTTCATATTAAGGTATACATTCATCGAGGATCCATTATTTTGTATCTGGATGTCCGATTATTCAAGCATCACAGGTTGAAGGACTTAACTTTTTTGAATTGCCCTTGTGCCTCTATCAAAAATCAAATGATCAGAGCTGGGGATACAGCTCAGTGGTAGAGCACTTGCCTTACATGTACAAGGCCCCTGGTTTAATTCCCATCGTTGCAAAAAAAAGAAAAATCAAATGATCACATCAGCTGAGTCTATTTCTAGACTCAAATCTGTTCATTAGTACCTATCTATTTGCTAATATCATATTGTATTGATTACTAGAGCTTTAATAAAAATCCTGCAGCATAAGTCCTCCAACTTTGTTCTTTTTTAGACTTGCTTTGGCTGTTCTAGTTCCTTTGCCTTTCCACTATGAATTTTAAAACCAGCTACGTACCTATAAAAACACGTATTTTGACTAGAATTTTGATTGGCAACACATTAAATTTATAGATCCATTTAAGGTTGACTCCCTAAATACTTCCAACCACAGAAATGGTATTTCTCTTCATTTACTTAGGTCTTATTCAACATTTTGCACATACAGATCCTCTACATATTATGTTATATTTATATTAAGCATTATATTTTTGGAGCTATTGTAAATAGTACTATTTTTAAATTCTTGGTTTTCAATTGTTCATTGCTAGTATACAGAAATATGAAAGTTTAAAAATTTATTTATTTATTTTTTTACTTGTAGTTGGACACAATACCTTTATTTTTACTTATATTTATGGGGTACTGAGGATCAAACCCAGGGCCTAGCACATGCTAGGCGAGAGCTCTACCATTGAGCCACAACCCCAGCCCGAAAGTTTTAAATTGTATTGGTTCTTTTTAGTTATACATGACACTGAAATTCATTTTGATATAATTAAAAATATATATATCAAAATGAATTTATATAAAATATATCTTATTCTAATTAGGAACCCATTCTTATGGATATACACAAGGGTGGGATTCACTATGGTATAGTAATACATGTACATAGGAAAATTATTAGAAATAAAATGTTTTTTTCTTTTTATTTAATTTTTTCAGTTGGCAATGGACCTTTTTTTATTTATTTATATGCGGTGCTGAGAATTGAACCCAGGACCTACACATGCCAGGCAACTGCTCTACACTGAGCCACAACCCCAGCCCAGAAATATGTTAATTTTTTGGTGTTGTTGGTTTTTTGGTCTACTTGTTCTACAACTATAGAAAAGAGTAATGTTGACATCTTCAACTTTAATTTTGGGTTAGTTTCTCCTTTCAGCCTTCTTAATTTTCTTCATGCATTTTGAAATTCTACTGGTAAGTATACATACTTTTATGGCTGTTACATAACCTTGGTGAATTGAGTCTTTTATTGTTATGCAGTGTCTCTCTTTGTTCCCGATAATTTTCTATGATCTGAAGTCTACTTTGGTATTTATACTTTTTTTTTTCACTTGCTTCTCTCTTCCACAAGTCTCTTTCATTATTAGGCTATGTTCAGATTTCCATTTTATCTTTGTATCTTTCTACTTTATCTCAACAATTTTTTTCTCGGTTGCTGTAGGGATTATAATGTACATATTTAACGTTTCACAGTCTATTCAGAGTATTTTTGCCAAAGTAAATGTCAAATAGAACTTTATAAGAAAATAAGTCTCTTTACCCTCTTTCTTTATATTGTAGTTTTCACAAATATTATACCAACATACTTTGTCAAAAAGTAATTTATCTAGGATCGTGAGTTCAAAGCCAGCCTCAGCAAAAAGCAAGGCACTAAGTAACTAAGTGAGATACTCTCTCTAAATAAAATCCAAAATAGGGCTGCGGATGTACCTCAGTGGTCGAGTGCCCCTGAGTTCAATCCCTGGTACCAAAAAAGTAATTTATTCAAATATTTACTATTTTTGCAGCTTTTCATTTCTGAGGTCCTAAGATTCCCTGTTGTATTATTTTTCTTTTACCTGAAGAACTATCTTTTTTTTTTTATTGTTGGTTGTTCAAAACATTACATAGTTCTTGATATATCATCTTTCACACTTTGCTTCAAGTGGGTTATGAACTCTTTAGTATTTCTTCTAGAACAAGTCTTGTGACAAATTCTCTAAAATGTCCTATATATAACATTGTCTTTATTTTACCTTCATTCCTAGAGAATTATTTTTATTGAATATGAAATTCTAAGGTGACGAATTTTCTCTGAGGACTAAAAAAAAATGTTACTCTTCTGTTTTCTTATTTCCGAGGGTTTTGTTGTTGTTCTTTGTTTTGGTAGCAGGGATTAAACCCAGGGATGCTTAACCACTGAGCCATATCCACAGTCCTTTTTTATTTTTTATTTTGAGATAGGGTCTCCCTAAGTTGCTTAGGGCCTCACTAAGTTGCTGAGGCTGGTCTCGAACTTGCAATCCTCCTGCCTCAGTCTCCCAGTTGTGAGAATTACAGGCATGCACCACTGTACCACTCCATGTTTTTTTTGTTTTGTTTTGAATATTTATTTTATTTTTATATGGTGCTGTGGATCGAACCCAGGGCCTTGCACATGCTAGGCAAGCACTCTACTGCTGAGCCACAATCACAGCTCCCACTCCATGGTTTTTGATGAGAAATGTGTAGTAATTTTAATCTTTGTTCCCTAGTTACAATGTTTATCTCTGGTTGCTTTCAAGGTTTTTTTCTTTTTTTAAATATTTAATTTTTAGTTGTAGTTGGACACAATACCTTGTGTGTGTGTGTGTGTGTATGTGTGTACGTATGTATGTATGTATTTATTTATTTATTTATGTTTATCTCTGGCTGCTTTCAAGGTTTTTTCTTTTTCTTTTATTTTTTAAATATTATTTTACAGTTGTAGTTAGACACAATACCTTTATTGTGTGTGTATGTATGAATGTATGTATGTATTTATCGACTTATTTACATATTTATTTATATGTGGTGCTGAGGATCGAACCTGGGGCCTCGCACGTGGCAGGCAAACATTCTACAGCTAAGCCACAACCCCAGCCCTGGTTTTTTATTTATGTGTTTGTTTATTTTTGTGGTGCTGGGGATTGAAGCCAGGGCCTTGTGCATATGAGGTATGCACTCTACCAACTGAGCTGTATCCTTTTTTTATGTTCTTATTAGTGTATTATACTTATACATAAGAGTGGGGTTCAGGGCTGGGTGGTAAGCTCAGTGGTAAAGTGCTTGCCTAGCACAGGTAAGGCCCTAAATTCAATTCTCAGTACCATACAAAAACAATAGATAAAATAAAGTTAAATTCTCAAAAAAAAAAAGGAAGACTAGGGCTCATTTTGACATATACGTATATTCATGGAATATAATTTGCTTCAGTTTGTTCCTTGATACTTCCACTTTTCCTTCTTCCCTTCCTCCCCCCTTTCCACTTCCTCTGTTCTACTGGTCTTCCTTCTATTCATTTATTTTTTTTCAATTGGTGCTTTAAAGATTTTTTTTTTTCTGTTTTCAGCAAGGATTTTGATGTGTCTGAAAGTGGTCTTCTCTGATTTTATTCTCTTTGATATTGTTGAAAATGTAAATTTTTTCTGTGATCAAATTTGTAAAGCTATCAGTCTTATTTTTTCAAATATTTTTCTGCACAAATCTCATGCTCCTCTCCTTCTAGGATTACGATGACAAGAATGTTAGAATGTTTGATAATGTTCTTTAAACTCTGTTCAGTATTTTTCCCAAATCTTTTTTTCTTTCTCTTACTCAGAGAAAATAATGTCTACTGCTCTATACTTAAGCTTACACTCTTCTTGTCACCTCCATTTGCTCATTCAAATTTTCTATTTTTTATTTAGTCTTGTGTTCTCTGTATCATATCATTTTTACTTTTTTTAAATTAAATATTTATTTATTAGTTGTAGTTGGAAACAATACCATTATTTCATTTATTTTTATGTGGTGCTGAGGTTCGAACCAGGGCCTTGCACATGGCTAGGCAAATACTTTACCGCTGAGCCAAAACCTCAGCCCCAATAACATTTTTACCTTTAACTCAACATTAAGAGTGCCCCGAGCTGGGATTGGAGCTCAGTGGCAAAATGCTTGCCTAGCACATATGAGGCACTAAGTTCAATCCTCAGCACCACATATAACTAAAAATAAATAAATAAATATTTTTTTAAAAAGATGATTACAGTTGAAATGGAAAGCATATTATATTGAAAAGCATTGGTGGGTCAGAAATGTAGCCCAAGGGTAGAATGCTTGTTCAGCATGTATGAAACCATACGTTCAATCCCTAGCATCACAAAAAATGAGCATTATAAAATGGATCTGGAGTGAGAGTCTAATTATAGTGCTGCTAACTTTTCTGTCCTTGTTTCCTCACCTACAAAATAACCAATACTGTGCTAATAATGAGGTTCTCTTCATCACTAACTATGCATTACTTACTCTTTCAATCTGTTTTTCCATTTCTTTATGTTGTTCAAGATGAATTTTCTTTGCTTTTTCAAAGGCTAAGCAAATTTTCTCATGCTCTGTATTGATATTGGTTTCTAGACTCCTTATCTTTTCATTCTTTTCCTAGAAATATAAAACAGGTTTAAAATATAACTAAGCCAGGTACAGTGACACACTATGTAATCCCAGTGGCTTGGGAGGCTGAGGCAGGAGGATCACGAGTTCAAAGCCAGCCTTAGCACGGGCAACTCAGTGAAACCTTGTCTCTAAATAAAATATAAAACAGGGCTAGGGATGTGGCTCACTGGTCGAGTGCCCCTGAATTAAATCCCTAATACCACACCCCAAAAGAAGCATATTAAAAAACTACTATTTTAATTTTATTAAGATAAAAATGATAAAACTTGAGGGGCTGAGGTTGTGGCTCAGTGATAGAGCGCTTGCCTAGCATGTGCAAGGCCCTGGGTTCAATCCTCAGCACCACAGAAAAATAAATAAATAAATAAAGGTATTGTGTAAAAAAAAAAAAAATGACAAAACTTGAATAACAACTTGTTGTATTAGCCTATTAACTTGAAAATACAGAAACAAAAAAAAAGAATGACAAGAAGTTCAGTAGAATTTTTAGTTTCCTACTTAGTATGTTTTATAGTAATGATACAAAAACAAACAAGGTATCACCAGTACCTAAAAGTCAGAGTAAACTTGTAGCAAAAAGGTAAATTTTACCATAAGTTCCTGTTCAAGTTCTGCATTTTTTGCAGCAGCTGATGAATAAGCAACTATTTTTTCTTCTAACTGTTTCTCTAGAGTTAAAAGCTGAGAGCATTTCTTTGTCATCTGAAAATACAATAAAGTATAAAATTAGTTTTTAAGAATATACATCCTAAAATCAAATACCTGCTCCTCTTTTTGAAGTTTAAATACATTGTGTCTAGATAAATAGGGCAAATTTATGGTAATAAACAATTAAGGCACAAAGTGAATAACCTTTTAATTCATGTAATTATTAAAACAAGTAACAATTTAGAAGAAAAACAAATGGTGTTGGATTGAGGCAGTAGCTCAGCAGCAGAGCACTTGCCCAGCATGTGTGAGGCACTGGGTTTGATCCTCAGCAACGCATAAAAAAATAAATAAATAAAGGCATTCTGTCCATCTACAACTACAAAAAAAAAATTAAAAAAAAATAGTGAAAGGAAGCCAGGCATATCATTTCACTCCTTCTATTAGGAAATACATAAGTTATTTAATTTGCATCCTAACCCTTTTTTTCTTTTCCTTGCACTATTGGGGACTGAATTCAGAGGTCTCTACCTTTTCCTAACCCATTTTCTTAAAAGTAGTTCTTACAGATTGAAATTAATATTGCAAAACGTTAACAGTAGTTATTTCTGGTGGTAGAATTATCAATGTTTATTTTCTTCTTTTTCTGTTTCTGAATTTTAATGTTCAACAAGACTATTCTGTTATTTTTTTTAAGTTATTAATCTCAGTACTTGAGAATTTTCTAAGTGGCAGCCTGTAATTATAGACTAAATCTCCTTTTCGATTATTAACTGAAGTTCCTATCTTACAAGTCTTTTCCATGGACTTGACTATAAACATTAAGACACAAAATTAGACATTTAAAAAACATCCTTGGGCTGGGGCTGTAGCTCAGTGGTAGAGAGCTTGCCTTGCATGCATGAGGCCCTGGGTCAATCCTCAGCACCACATAAAAATAAATAAATGAAAATAAAGATATTGTATCCATCTACAACTAAAAAAATATTTTAAAAAAAATCCTTATGGGGCCTGGAGTTGTGGATCAGCGGTAGAGTGCTTGCCTCGTGCATGCAGGGTTTGATCCTCAGTACTACATAATAAAATAAATAAAATAAAGGTATTGTGTCCAATTACAACTAAACAATAAATATTTAAAAAAAAAAAAAAAAATCCTGGGCTGGGGATGTGGCTCAAGCAGTGGCGCGCTCACCTGGCATGCGCGGGGCGCTGGGTTCGGTCCTCAACACCACATAAAAATAAAAGATATTGTGTCCACCTAAAAAAACTAAAAAATAAATTAAAAAAAAAATTGCAGGCTCCATCCGTAAGCCTGAAGTTTGAGTATATAATACATACCCATGTAATCCTGGTCTGCAATTACCTAATGAGGCATCCTTATCCTTTCCTCAGTGAAAATCAAGATCAGATATTCATAAAACATTTCAGAATACAATCCATAGTATATCTATATCAGATTCACATGCAGTTTTTTAAAAAATGTAAATTTCTGAGCCATACCCAAAGCCTGCTGAATCAAAATTGTTAGAATGGTACCCAGAAATGTACATGTTTGAGAGGCTTCCTAGGTGGCTTTATTATGGGCCAAGCTATAATGGGCAATAACCAAACAAGACTCTATTTTACCTTAAGACTCCATGTTGTGTCTTCTCTCATGGGAAAACCCCACCTCTGAACCCACCAACGCTTGCTTAGCATAGCATACCGGCAACACAATGGTAAAACTCTTCTTTCTGTCCTTATATACTAAACTTGAGCAATGTACCCTAAGTGCATAGAATGTTTGTCTAGACGTTAGTAACCATTCTTTAAATTGTATTCAACTAGGGTCGTTTTGACCCACTTTCCCGTCTGCTTATGATTTTAGACCTCATGATTTTGTTTGTGGTCAGGAATCATAGCCACAACCACTTATGATAAATGTACTGATATGCTTTATTTGTGGTTTTGAACTATAAAAGATTCGCTCTAATTCCTTTAGGGATTAGAGGAGTGCAGACTTGCAGTCTGCCCTTTTGCTGGTGAATAAAGGTTCCATCTCCTGTTTTGAAACTGACTCAGTCATTGATTACAATCTTACCATAATAGTTCTGATGTTTGCTAAAATTTTAAATCCTCTACCACTTCTTTTCTTTCATCTACATAATCCAAATTCTCTTCTTCTTTTTAAAAAAAAAAAAAATTTATAGTTGTAAATGGACAGCATGCTTTATTTGTTTAGTTTTTTATGTGGTGCTAAGGATTGAACTCAAGTGCCTCACACATGCTTGGCAAGCACTACAGCCCCAGACCCCAAATTCTCTTCTTGTAAATCTGCATTTACCTTGCCAACTTATACTGTGGAAGAAATAATAAACTGCAATGCAGTATTAGTTTCACCAAATTTAGGACCTTTTAGCCAATAGGGAGCATCTTCCTATTTTAAGTTAAGTTAAAATAACATGTTTCCAAATATAATTTCTAAAATAGCTTAAAGCTTGGCACGGTGGCACATGCCTATAATCAAGAGGCATGGTTGAAGGGGACTCAGAAGGGTGAGGCAGTAGAATCACAGGTTCAAGGCCAGCCTCAGTAACTTAGTGATACTGTTTCAAACTAAAAAAGGGCTGGGGATGGAGCTCAGTGTTAAAGTACCCCTGGGTTCAATCCCCAATATATATCTATGTGGTACCATTTTGCAAAATTTATAAATCTAGACTTAAATTGTTACAAAATCCCACAAGGTATTTTCTATCTTCAAACTTAGTACACGTGCCCAGCTAATTTGAAGCTTACTTCACTTTCTAGTTTGGTAGAGTTTGAAGCTTTCTCTAGAAGCTCCTCTTGAATCAGTTGAAATTGACTAGTTCTGTGAGCCATGTTAACCTTCAGATCAGAATTCTCAGCTTCTATTTGCATCAGCTTAGTATGTAATTCTTCTATTCCAGTAGCAAGTCTTTGCCTCTCTCTTTCATATTGCTTGTTCATAGTCTGTTGATTGCGGTCTTTTATAATTTCTGTTGATAAACACAAAAGGAAAAATTTTCTGGATAAAACTTTAAGTATAAAAATAAATATAAATAGTTGAAATATTTAACCATAAAGTTTAGTTTCTGATTTAAAGAATAAAAAGGATGTAGAAGGAGACATGCAATAAGGAAATGGTAAATAAAGCACTTTCTAAGTTAAATATGTAACAATGAGTGAAAAAGCTCTTCTGAATCATTTATTTTACTAGGTATCTAAAGACTATTCCTTATACCAGAAAGTTAAGAATGCTTCCCACTTTTTAAGAAAGTTGCTTTGTTCCCCTAAACTAAAGATAATCATAAAATTTATTTGGACAATTTGAGATTAAGAACTTTTTTTTTAAAGGGGTAGTGAAGATTGAACCCAGGGGTACTTTACCATTGAGTTACACCTCTAGTGCTTTCTATTTTTTATTTTGAGAAAAAGTCTCACGAAGTTGCATAAGTTCTCACTAAATTGCTGAGGTTGGCCTCGAACTTGCCATCCTCCTGCCTCAGCCTCCCAAGTCACAGGATTATAGGGTATGCCACTGCATCCAACCATTAAGAATATTTTTATGTACTATTTGTAGATACAGGTTCAAAAGGTACACACAGTGAACCCTTTCTAGTCTTATATTCCTTACTTACAAACTAGCTGAAGAAAATACACTGAAATTTTAAAAACTACTAAGGTTTATCACAGGTAGCTTTCTGACTATGTCTTCTCTCCATTATAAACATTATACCTTCTCCTACTCCACAATACCTGAATTTTCAAGAGCACTTTTAAAAGGCAAAATGTAGGTGATTATATAAGAATACACATATAGAAACAAGGAGAGATACACTTTGCCCTCAAGGGTTGGATAAGAGGCTATTTCCCATCAATCCCCCATCTCCACAATATTTTACTTTCTAAGCTATCCATGTCATTGACTCTATTCTTAGATGTTAGACTATATGACACATTATATTTATCACTACCTATAATGACCACCATTCCCTCTGCTAATCACATCATTCTCTTCCCATTCTAATTACTTAGATATATAATTTTATGTCACTTCTAATGCTAACAACCCTTTGTATTTAAAGATAGATTATGATGTTTATTAATACCCAGGGCAACCAACCACTAAAAAAAGTAAAAGTATACAAAGAGTATAGGGTATAAATCAAGAGTGGAAATTAGACATGAGATGCTAAAATATACTTGAACCCCAAAAAAGGCAAAAAAAATGAATAAAATGGAACATTAAAAAATGATAGATTAGACCCTCCAAATACCAATATTACATTAACTATAAGCAATCTAAACACCCCAATAAAATTCTACTTAAAACACAAAAACTGTCTGAATGGATATAAACGTAGGACCCAATTATATGCTTTTTTAAAAAATTTTATTTTATTTATTTTAGCCTTATTTTATTTATTTATATGTGGTGCTGAGGATGGAGCCCAGGGCCTCACACATGATAGGCGAGTGCTCGACCACTGAGCCACAACCCTAGCCCCCAATTCTATGCTTTCTATGAGAAACTCACTATCTATAAAGACACAAATTCAAAGGATGAAAAAAATGATAAAAAAAACACCACTGGAGGGCCTATATTTATTTCAAACAAAGCAGCGTTCCTACAAGAAGTATTACTAAGAACTGAAAGAGACATTTAATATAATAAAAGTATCTATTCAAGAAGAAGGTATAAGAATCTCAAATAATATGTACATAACATGTTCAAAATACAAGAAGCAACAATTGACAGAATTGAAAGGATAAATAAACACATCTACAGACACATCTGAAGATTTCAATACTAGTCTCTCAGTAATTGACAGAATAAATACACAGAAAATCCTTAGGGATAAAGAAAACTTAAATACAACCTTACGATTGATAGTAAAAAAATCCCACCCAACAATCACAGAATAAACAATTTTTCAAGAGCAGTTAGAACACTAAGACAGACCACATGCCAGCCAATAAACAAAGTCTCAAAGTACTTTCTTCTTTTTTGTTTTTAAATTTATTTATTTATTCTAATTTGTTATATAGGACAACAGAATGCATTTCAATTCATAGTACACATATATAACACAATTTTTCATGTCTGGTTTTACACAAAGTAAAGTCACACCATTAGTGTCCTCATATATGTACTTAGGGTGATGATGTCCATTTCATTCCACCATCTTTCCTACGCCCCTGGCTTCCTCCCTTCTCTTCCCTCCCCTCTGCCCTATCTAAAGTTTCCTCCCATACTACCCACCAACCCCATCCCCATTATGGATCAGCATCCTCATATCAGAGAAAACATTCAGCATTTGGTTTTTTGGGATTGGCTTACTCCACTTAGCATAATAGTCTCAACTCCATTCATTTACCTGCAAATGCCATGATTTTATTCTTTTTTAATGCTGAGTAATAGTCCATTGCATATTCAAAGTACTTTCAAAAAATAAAATCAAGGCTGAGGGGGTAGCTCAGTGGTAAAGCATGTGCTTAGCATACATGAAGCCTTGGGAGGGGGAGTGAGAGGAGGAGGAGGAGGAGGAGGAGGAGGAGGAGGAGGAGGAGGACAGCCTTTATAAGTAATGTGAGAAGGAATAAAAAGAATTCTGATGGAAATGTTATGTCTTGATTGTGGTGATAGTACCAAGAGTATAAACATGTTAAAAAAAAACACTTGTAGCAAAACTTACCAAAATTTTATATTTAAAATGAGCACATCTTATTGGATTTTATTAAATTTTATTTCAATAATATATTTGGTTTTTTGGTACCGAGGATTGAATTCAGGGGCACTCGACCACTGAACCACAGGCTATTTTGTATTTTATTTAGATGCTTAGCACCTCCCATTTGCTGAGGCTGGCTTTAAACTCATGATCAGCCTCAGCTCCCAAGCCACTGGGATTACAGGCGTGCACCACCACGCCCAGCTCATTAATATATATTTTAAAAATATAATGCGAAGTTGAGCATATTTCCTATGTTTATTGGCCATTTTGCATTTTCTCTTCCATGAATTGCCAATTCATATCTTTTGTCAATTTTTCTACTGAGTTGTCTGTATATCTCTTATTATTTTGAAAAGTTCCTCATAACTCAATATACTTTATTTGTATGTGTTAAAAACATTTCTCATCAGTTTATAGCTTATCTTCTTGATTTATATGTCTTTTCTTTACAGAAATTATAAGTTTAATGGTGTTAAATTTATTAAATTTTCCAATTTGGTACACTAATTTTGTATCCTTTTAAAAGAATGTCTTCTGAGGACACTGTTACCTTTTATTTAAAACTTTTAAAGTGTTCATTTTTCCATTTAGATCTTTAGTATACCTGGAATTGAGATTTTAATATGGTAACAATCAGAGGTCTTATGTTATTTTTTCCACATGAATAATCAATAATTCTATCATCCCTTACTGATTAGTTACCTTCCTCCATTCATTTCTAATGATACCCTGTCATTTGTCATATTCTTTTGTTTGTGGTCTGTTACTGTGCCCTTTTTTCTCTTCTATTAGTTGATTGAATACCTGTTAATACTAGAGTATTTTAATCACTATGTTACAAAAATTATATTGCCTTTTATGCTGATTTTCCCAATCTTATTCCAATTTCTTTAGAACTATTTTAACTTAGGTCAGGCTTGAGTTTATATATATTAAAACAGATTGAAATGGACCTATTTACAATATTGAGGTTTCTCATGTATAAACCTCCTATTTCTGCTTGTTCAGGTTTTTTATTTCTTTCAATTAAATATTTGATTATTCTCCCAAAGTCTTAAGTCTTTTTTATATTAATTTCTTCATACTGTGCAAATTATGTAACATTTAATTGATTTACTTTAATGTGGGAGAATTAGAACAAAAGAATGCAAATCAGGTTTTTTTGCACTAATCATAAATATATATATATATATATATATATATATATATATATACACACACACATATACACATATATATATATATAATGCAAAGTCCAAAAATTCTGAAATAATTTGCTCTCTTACCAGAACATAATTACTCATAACAAATTATCAAGTGTGTTTAACAGAAACCAAACAGCTGTTAATTTGTTTCTTTTGTTTGTTTTCTGTGGAACTGGGAGTTGAACTTAGTGTCTCATACATACTAGGCAAGCACTCTATTGATGAACTACATCCCAAGGCTTTATATGTTTTAAATTTTGAGACAGGGTCTTACTAAGTTGCTGAGGCTGGCCTCAAAGTTGTAATCCTCCTACCTCAGGCTTCTGAGTAGCTGGATATAGGCATGTGCTACCACACCCACCTTAATGATAGTATTTTAAAGAAATAGATCAGCTATACACAATGGCACACATCTGTCATTCCAGCTACTTAGGAGTCAGGAGAATCACCAGTTTGAGGCCAGCCTCAACAACCTAGCAAGACACTGCCTCAGAATTAAAACTAAAAAGGGCTGGAGACATGGCTCACTGGTAGAATAACCCTGGAATTAATCCCCAGTACTGCAGTATTTCAGTCAATAGAATAAAATAAAATAGTATTGCCAAAAACTCTGATTACCATTTATTAAATAATTCAACATTATATACACAATGGAATATTACTCAGCAATAAAAGAAAATGAAATCATGGCATTTTCAGGTAAATAGATAGAGCTAGAGAAGATAATGTGAAGTGAAGTTGGTCAATCCCTAAAATAAACAAATGCCGAATGTTTCCTCTGATATAAGGAGGCTGATTCATAGTGGGATCTAGTGCTCCCTAGGGGGAGCATGGAATAAACAAACTCTAAATAGGGCAGAGGGGTGAGAGGGGAAGGGAGGGGGCATGGGGGTAGAAATAATAGTGGAATGTGATGGACATTACTATTCAAAGCACACACGTGAAGACACGAATTGGTGTGAATATACTTTGTATACAACCACAGATATGAAAAATTGTGTTCTATATGTGTAATAAGAATCATAATGCATTCCATTGTCATATATAAATTTTAAAAATTAATTAAAAAATAATAATTCAATAATATATACTCACCAGCTTGATTACCACCTAGTTTTACAGGTTCTGTTTCTAAAGTAGTCAACTTGCCACTTTCTTGGCTATTCTTACAAATAATGTTCTGAGATAACTGGTTTGCAGTCAGATTTGCATGAAGCTTTTGAATCTCCGCCTCTTTTATTGCAAGCTTAATCCTGGCACAAAACAAAAGAATCCAATATGACAGTAATTCTGTAAAAAATATCTCATACTACTTTTCACCTTTCAAACTGGCAAAATTTTAAAATTCTGATATTAGTTAACTCTTAGGCAGGATATAGAAACTTTTATATATAAACAGTAGGATTATAAATTAGTTTAGCTACTTTCTAACTTGATTGAAACTAGTAAAACTAGTAAAATATAGATGACCTACAACCTAGAAATATGAGTTTTAGGAATATATTCTAGAGAAGCTCTCATATATATGTGTAGGGAGCCATGTATAAGGATTTTCTTTGTAACTATATAATAGAAAAAGACTAGAAATAAGGTAATTATCAATAAAAGAATAGATAAATTGACACCATTCTAGAAAAAAAATCCTAATTATTAAGATCAAACTAACCACCCAGATCTATTCATGGATCAACCACTCTACCTATCCTGACATGGATGAATTTTTTAAAATGGGCATGGTGGGCATGTCTGGGCATGGTGGCACATGCTTTTATCCCACCAACTAAGGAGGCTGAGGCAGGAGGATTCCAAGTTCAAGGCCCTAAGCAACTTAGTGAGACCCTGTCTCAAAATAAAAAAAACAAAAATGACTGGGGATATAAAGCACTCTTGGGTTCAATCCCCAGTACCAAATAAACATTTTAAAATGATGTTGAGTAGAAAAGCAAAACTGCAACTATAGAGTTCACTTTTATTTGTGTATAAGAGAAAAAAAAATGTACACAATATGGACAGAAAAATACACATCAAATTCATAATAATGGATAAGCAGGGGAAGAATTAGATAAGCAATAAGGATCAAAGGGTATTATCCATCCTGTAATGTTTTATTTTTTATTTAGAGAAACAGATTTGAAACAAATATCACAAAATATTAAGAAGAATCAAATCTTAGTTGTGGAATCAGTATTTGTTATAATACTCTCTGAACTTTTCCGTCTGTATTTTTTTTTAATTATTTTATTTTATATGGTGCTGAGGATCAAACCCAGGGCCTCACATGTGCTAGGCAAGTGCTCTATTGCTGAGCCACAATCCCAACCCTCTTTCTGTATTTTTTTAATTTTCTCAACTAAACACCTTCATTTAATTTCCAACAAAACCATTCTATTTGTTGTAAATTCAAAATATGAAAAACATACCTCAATTCTGAAATCACCAATTTATTTGCCTCACAGCAGCCAATGCAATTGTCTTCTTTGTTTGACAAACTACTCATCTGGTGCTTAGAAATGGATGATTTAAAACCAAGTATTTCTCTTTTTAACTACAAGTTTAAAAAACAAATGTTTGTAAATTATAATACACATATGGATGCCATTGTTTTCTTATTCAGAACTCTTTAAGTTTGAAAAATTGTCTGAATTTAATAGAAGCAACCTAATGTCCATCAATAGGAAAATGTACAAGTACATTAGGAAACATTTGGTTAATGGAAAACCTATAATTAATTCAGATAATTGGAAAAGTATAATAGTTAGATAAACTTGAGTTACATAAATTAATATGGTTACATTTTACAATACCAAGTAAAACAACAAATTCCATTGATACACAAAGTATTTTAAAAAATATACTAAGAAGGGCTGGGGTTGTGGCTCAACAGTAGAGCATTCACCTAGCATGTACAAGGCCCTGGGTTCGATCCTCAGTACCACATAAAAATAAATACATAAATAAAATAAAGGTATTGTGTCCAACTACAAGTAAATAAATACTTAAATATATATGTGTGTGTGTGTATGTGTGTGTATAGGTAGATGGATAGAGAGAGAGAAATGTATGTGCATGGTGGTGCACGCCTATAATCCCAGCAGCTCTGGTGGCTGAGGCAGGAGGATCACAAGTTCAAGGCAAGACTCAGGAATTTAGCAAGGCCCTAAGCAACTTAGTGAGACCCTGTCTCAAAACAAAAACTAAAAAGAACTGGGAATGTAACTTGGGACCCTGGGTTCAATCCCAAGTACCAAAAAAAAAAAAAAAAAAGAGAGAGAGAGAAGAACATATGTATTTATATAGAAATTTATATGTGGCAACATTTAAATTATGGATGAAAAGGATACAAAAGAATTTCAGAATAGTTGCTACTTTTGCGTTTAGAGGAAGAATAGAGCTCACAAAGTACATATAAAGGTTTTACCTATAAAATTTATTCTAAAACCATTTGAAGTTGATAGAGCAATGTGTCCCATATTTTGCAAATGCTAAGCTACATTACAAATACTAAGCTAATTACACACTCTAGAAGTAAAAAAGTTCACTTTTTCAAACTATATCATCCTTAGCACTTCATGAAACATAGCATCAAGTATATATTATCATATCAATTTCATAGTCATATATCAAATAATTCTTAACTCTAAGCACATATGAAAATTTTAATTTAAAATGAAAGTTATCTGTATATGATTACTTTCTAATTTCAAAAGCAAACATTAGATTAAAAATCCTAGCGCTGGGGTTGTGGCTCAGAGGTAGAGCGCTCGCCTACCATGCATGAGCCACTGGGTTCGATCCTCAGCACTATATAAAAATAAAATAAAGATATTGTGTCCACCTACAACTAAAGAAAAAATGTTTTTAAAAATCCTAGCAAATAATTAATATCTAATACAGGGCCTCTCAAATACTCAGCAAGCACTCTACCACTGAGTTACACCCCCAAACCAGTTCTATGTCATTCTCATAACTACATTTAAAGTTGCTCAACATTAGCCATTGAGGAAATGAAAATATAAACCACAGTGTAATACCACTTCATACCCACTAAGCAAAATGACAATGACAAGTGTTGACAGGCATGTAGAAAAACAGGAACTCTCATATACTGCTGGTGAAAATGTAAAACAGTCTAGCCATTTTAGAAAACAATTTGGCATAAATTTACCACGTGACCCAGCAATTTTATTCTTGGATATCTACCCAAGAGCAATAAAAACATGACCACACAAAGACTTCTATGAAAATGTTCACAGCAGCTTTATTCATAATAGCCTAAAAGTAGAAATAATCCAAATGTCCATTAATTGGTAAACAGATGAAATGAAATACTATTCAGAAATAAATAAGAAATGAAAAACTGATATGTACAACATGAATGAACCTTAAAAATATTAAAAATATAAAATAATAGGAAAAATACGTGCAAAAGACCACATATTTTCACGTTTTCATTCTTCAAAACAGCCAGAAAGGAAAAATATATAGAAACAGAAATTATTAGTAGTTTCCCAAGGGTATGTGGTGGAGGTAGAGCACTAATTCTAAAAGGACACAAGGGATCTTTGGGGGATGGCAGAAACTTGAAACTGAATTGTGGTGATTATTATAAGATTTTTAGCAAACTTATTAAAAGTCTTAAAACAATTACCACAATGCAGGAAATTTGCCTAGTACTGCAAATAGAAAACTATTTGTAATTTAGTAAATTTACTAAAAGTTACTAACATTTCAAATGGTTGAATTTTACAGAATAAGTGATATTTCAATAAAGCTATATTTTAAAAAATGTGCCATTCTTATATATGGCATCATATATAAAAGAAATTATATAGGGCTGGGGTTGTGGCTCAGTGGTAGAGTGCTCATGTAGCACACGTGAGGCACTGGGTTTAATACTCAGCACCACATAAAAATAAAATAAAGATATTTTGTTCATCTATTTAAAAAAAGAAAGAAAGAAAGGGTACAGAAGAAGAAAGGTAAATGTGAGGCAAAAATAGGAATTAAATAGAAGAGAAATTGGTGCCAAAGTACAGACAAGTAAGAACAAAACTAAAAGCTAATAAAGCAACTCCAAAATGATGTTCTCTCATAAAACATTTGAGTAAAATTTTTCTTTTCCATGATACAACAAGTACAGTACATTTCTTTTCACACATACTTACTGGCAAATGGGATATCATTTTTCCCAAGCTTCTCAGTTCTACCCTTGAACTTTCAATTTCCTGCTGACATAAATCTAGTCTCTCATTCTGTGCTGCAACACGAACCTTTAATTCTCGGTTTTCATTCATCAGAGAAAATTTTTCTCTCAGTATTTCTTCTTTGTCTTCTAACTCACTTTCTAGCTTCAGAACACTTTGTCTAGATTCAGTTAATTGTGCCATGACTTCTGAATTCTTCACTGCCATGATTCTTAATTTTTCTTTTCCATTGTTATTTTCTTCTTTTAACTGCCTATAAAAAAATAAATGAAAATAAAATGTGCATTCATTTTCAATAATCTTATTTACATATTCTAAGTACAGAAATATTGAAGTGCCAGACATGGTGGGGCACACTTGTAACCCCAGTTACTCAGGAGGCTAAGGCAGAAGGATCATAAATTTGAGGATAGCCTTGGCAACTTAAAAAGATCCCTATCTCAAAATAAAAAGGGCTGGGATGCAGCTTAGTGGTAGAATGCCCCTGGGGATCAATGCCCAAGAATTGAAAACAAAAAACAAAAGCATTGATGCAAAAACCCTATCAAACTGCTGGGCATGGTGGCACATGCCTAAAATCCTAGTGGCTCAGGAGGCTGAGACAGGAGAATCCCAAATTCAAAGCTAGCCTCAGCAAAAGCAAGGTGCTAAGTAACTCAGTGAGACCTTGTCTCTAAATAAAATACAAAATAAGGCCAGGATAAGGCTCAGTGGGAAAGTGCCCCTGAGTTCAATCCCTGGTACCCCACCCCCCCTCCAAAAAAAACCCTAGCAAACTGAATACATCAGTACATTAAAAGATTATTCACCACAATCAATTGGAATTCATCCCAGCAATGAAAGGATGGTTCAACATAGGCAAATATACCATACTAATAGAATGAGGGGCAAAAATAACATAGTTATCTCAACAGATATGATAAAAATCAACATCCCTTCATGATAAAACTGCTTAGCAAACAGGTGTAGAAGGAACATACCTCAATACAATAAAGGCCATATACAATAAGCCAAGAATTAACATTATACTGAATGAAGAAAAGCTAAAGCCTTTCTCTTTAAGATTTGGACAAAGAAAAGGATTTCCACTTTTATCACTTTTATTCAACAGGGTATTAGAACTCCTAGCCAGAGCAATCAGGCAAGAGAAAGAAATAAACAATAACCAAATTTGAAAAAGGATGTCAAAATGTAACTCTTTATAGATGAATGAGTTTATTATATATAGAAAGCCCCAAAGGTTTCACCAGAAAACTATTAGAACTAATTACTGAAGTTAGCATGGTTGCAGAATATAAAAATCAACACAAGAATCAGTAGCACTATTATTCCTCTGTTGTTTTGTTTTGTTTTGTTTTTTGAGTGCTAAGGCTCAAACCCAGGGACTCATGCCCAGGTAAGCACCCTGAGCTACTCCTCAGCCCTCAAGTAGCATAGTTATAATGATAACAGTGAATAATCTGAAATCTAAATCAAGAAAGCAATCCCATTTATAATAACTACCAAAGATACCTGAGAATAAATTTAACTGAATTAGTGTAAGATCTCTACAATGAAAATTATTATAAAATACTGATGAAAGATATTTAAGAGAACACACACACACACACAAAATGGAAGTTATTCATAGACTAGAAGAATCAATATTGTTAAAATGGTTACATTACGGGCTGGGGATATGGCTCAAGTGGTAGCGAGCTCGCCTGGCATTCGTGGGGCACTGGGTTTGATCCTCAGCACCACATACAAATAAAGATGTTGTGACCACCAAAAACTAAAAAAACAAATATTAATAAAAAAATTCTCTCTCTCTCAAAAAAAAAAAAATTACATTACCCAAAGCAATCTACAGATTCAATGTAATCCCAATTAAACTACCAGTGACATTCTTCATAACAATAGAGAAAACAATGTTAAAATTTCTATGGAACCAGAAAAAGCTCAATAACCAAATTTCTTGCTATTCTGAATAGCCCAAGCAATCTTGTGCAAAAAGAACAAAACAAGAGGCATTATACTATCTGATTTCAAAATACACTACAAAATTATAGTAATCAAAAGTGTGATGTTGGCATAACAACAGCTACATAGACCAATGGAACAGAATAGAAAGCCTAAAAGTAAATCCACATATCTACAGTCAACGAATTTTGTGGGGAGGGTATCGGGAATTGAACCTAGGGGCTGTTAAACACTGAGCCACATCTCGAGGCCAATTTTGTATTTTATTTAGAGACATGGTCTCACTTAGCACCTTGCTTTCACTGAGGCTGTCTCTGAACTCGTGATCCTCCTGCCTCAGCTTCCCAAGCTGCTGGGATTACATGCATGCACCACCTCAACCTGCTACAGTCAACTAATTTTTAACAAAGCCACCAAGGATATGTACTGGAGAAGAAGCAGCTAAATAAACAGTGCTGGAAAACACTGGTGTCCATATGCTGAACTATGAAACTCGAACCTTATCTTTCACCAGTACACCCAAGACAATGAAACTACTAGAAAGAAACACAGGGGAAACACTTCAGGTCACTGAAATGAACAAGGATTAAAAAAAAAAAAAAAAACCTCAAAGCATAGGCAACAATCCGGGATCAGTGGCACACACACGCCTGTAATCCCAACAGCTTGGGAGGCTAATGCAGGAGGATTGTGAGTTCAAAGCCAGCCTCAGCAAAAGCAAAGCACTAAGCAACTCAGTAAGACCCTGTCTCTAAATAAAATACAAAATAGGGCTGGAAATATGGCTCAAGTGTCCGAGTTCCCTTGAGTTCAATTCCTGGTAACCACCCCCTCCAAAAGAAACATAGGCAACAAAAGCAAAAATGGACAAATAGGATTATATCAAACTAAAAAGCTTCTGCAGAGCAAAGGAAACCATCAATAGTGAAGAGACCACCAAAAAAATGGAGGTAAAATCTGCAAACTATACATCTGAAAAGGGGTTAATATATAGAATATATAAGGAACTTCGAAACCTCAATAGCAAAAAAAAAAAAAAAAAAAAATTTCTCATTTTTGAAAAAATGGGCAATAGACCAAAACAGATATTTCTAAAAACAAGACATACAAGTGGCCAACAAATACATGAAAAGGTGTACACCATCATAAAAAGCACCCAAAATGCAAATCAAAACCATAATGATATACCATCTCACCCATTAATAATGACTGCTTTAAAAAGACTAAAGATAACAAGTGCTAATGGTGACATAGAGAAAAAGGAATTCTTACATTCTCTTGTGGGAATGCAAATTAGTACAGCCATTATGGAAAACAATATGAAAGTTCCTCAAAAAATTAAAACAGGGGGCTGGGGATGTGGCTCAAGTGGTAGCACGCTTGTCTGGCATGCGCGAGGCACTGGATTCGATCCTCAGCACCACATAAAAAAAATAAAGATATTGTGTCCACCTAAAACTAAAAAATATAAAAAAATTAAAACAGAACTACCATATGACCCATCAGTTCCACCACTGGGTATATATCCAAATGAAATAAGTATGTCAAAGACACATCTGCTTATTATAGCACTATTCATAGTAATCAAGAAATAGAGGGGCTGGGGATGTGGCTCAAAAGGTAGCGCGCTGGCCTGGCATGCGTGTGGCCCAGGTTCAATCCCCAGCACCACATACAAACAAAGATGTTGTGTCTGAAGAAAACTAAAAAATAAATATTGGGCTGGGGATGTGGCTCAAGCGGTAGTGCGCTCGCCTGGCATGCGTGCGGCCCGGGTTCGATCCTCAGCACCACATACAAACAAAGATGTTGTGTCCACCAAAAACTAAAAAATAAATATTAAAAAAAATTCTCACTCTCTCTTTAAAAAAAAAAAAAGAAATAGAAACAACTGAAATATCCATCAACTACTGAATGCATAAAGAAAATGTATATATACAAAAGAATATATTATTCAGCCATAAAAAGAATAAAATCCGGTCTGGGGTTGTGGCTCAGAGGTAGAGCGCTTGCCTAGCATGCGTGAGGTACTGGGTTCGATCCTCAGCACCACATAAAAATAAAATAAACATATTGTGTCCACCTACAACTAAAAAATAAAAAATTTTTAAAAAAATGAAATCCTAGGGCTGGAGTTTTAGCTCAGCAGCAGAGTGCTTGCTTAGCACATGTGAGGCACTGGGTTCAATCCTCAGCACCATGTAAAAATAAATAAAATAAAGGTTTCATGTCCATCTACAGCTAAAAAAAAAATTTTAAAAAAATGAAATCCTGTCATTTGCAACAACATGGATAGACATATAGATCATTATGTTAAGTGAAGTAAGTCAGACATGAAAAACAAATAACACATGATCTCACCGACATGTGGAATATAAAGTTCATCTCATGGAAACTAGAGTATAATTGGTGGTTACCAGAGGCTGGGGAGAGTAGGGAAGGGGAAGAACAGAGCTGATCAATGGGTACTAATTTGTAGTTAGAATGGAATAAGAAGTTCAAGTATGCTATTGTGCAAGAGTGTAAGTACAGATAATAATTGTGCACTGCATATTTCAAAAGCTAGAAGAAAGCATTTTGAAATGTTTTCACCATAAGGAAGAGATGAATGTAGTGCTGGGCACAATGGTGCACATCTGTAATCCCAGTGACTCAGGAAACTGAGGCAGGAGGATTACAAGGTCAGCCTGGGCAATTCAGCAAGACCTTGTCTCAAAACATAAAAAGGGTTGGGAATGTAACTCAGAGGCAGAGTGCTCCTGGGTTAATTCCCCAGTCCAAAAAAAAAAAAAAAAAAGAGATGTTAGAGAATTAAGTATATTCTGATTATACACTTTGAAGGGTCAATCTCTGAGTGTAAAGTTTTAGAACCATCTTAAGCAATTTATTTCATTTATATTTTTCTTTTTTTAAAAAAATAGTACTAAGGATTGAATGCAGGGCTTGAGCATGCTACAGTATTTTCCTCTTTATGCAAGTAATATGATTTTAAAAAATGTTTTGAAGGGGTTCAGGAGATAGCTCGGTGGTAAACTGATTGGCTAGCATGTGTGAGGCCCTGAACTAGATATCCAGTATTAGAAGAAAAGTCTTAAGAATTCTTTATCATAAAGTATAAAATAAAAATTTAAGTGATAAAGCACTGTATCATAGTACAATTAATAGTATTTTTTTCCTAAATATATCTTGCAATTGATAGCATCAGATGATAGTAAATATTCTGGTTATATAAAAGTAACCATTACAAAAACTATCGTTACCTCTTCTACCACGCAAAAATACTACATGTATTACTTAAGGAAAATGTTAAAATTAGACAAAGCAATTATTTTAATTGCTACCACTACCTTAAATTAACAGTCTGAAGTTATAAGGGCTGATTAATATTAACCTCTGAACTGATGATGGAAATTAGTTCTGAGAGGCTGACATAATATCATAGAGAATGTACAGGAGTCAGAAAACCTTGGTTCTCATATTTGATCTTTCTGACCTTAGTCACTCTCTGGGCTTCCGTTTCTTCACTTATAAAACAAGAGGACTGCTGGGCATGGTGGCATAATCCTATAATCCTAGTTACTTGTGAAGCTGAGGCAGGAATAATGGAAGTTTGAGGCTGGCCTGGGTAACTTAGTGAAACCTTATCACAAAATAAAAAATAAAGGGTTGGGGATGTTGCTCATGGATTCAATCTGCAATACCAAAATTAAAAACAAAAACCCAACAATAGGGGCTGTGGTTGTAGCTCAGTGGTAGAGTACTTGCCTCGCATGTGTGAATCATTGGGTTCGAATCTCAGCACCGCAAATAAATAAGTGAATAAAATAAAGGTCCATCAATAACTAAAAAATAATTTAAAAAAAGAAAACTAAAAACAATAGGGCTGGAGTTGTGGCTCAGTGCCAAAGCGCTTGCCTCACACGTGTGAGGCACTGGGTTCAATCCTCAGCACCACATAAAAATAAATAAACACACACACACAAAAAAAAGAAAAATAAATAAAAAATTTTAAAAATGAACAAAATAAAGATATCGTGTCCATGTATAACTAAAATAATATTTTTAAAAAACCCCAACAACTACAAGGTGATAACAATAACAAGAAGGTGGACAAGGTTATTCTTCATGATTTCCAAAGTTCTTTTTTTTTTTAAACACTTTTACTAGTTATTAGTTAATGTGATCTTACTATAAATCATTATGTCTGTTAATTTTTTCTACTATATATGCAAAGCAAATATGTTAATCAACATCATGGAACATTTACAACTATGTTACCATTAACACGTTTTATTGCATTTAAAATTGTAACTTTATACCTAGAAAAGTGTTTCAGGCACAAAGCTTATCATTCTACATATCTAAGTTCATAATTATAATATATAAAATCTTATTTTTAAATGTTTTAATTTTTTCCATCTCCACATAAAAATTCTTTTTTCTGCAATACTGTACCTTAATTTTTCCTTCAGAATTTCAAGTTCACTTTTATATAGACCACACTTTTCTTGTAGCCTTTTATTTTCTTTTTCACAGTTAACTAGATTTTTTTCTAATATTTCTTCTTCAGTTTGAACCTAAAACAATAAATTATTGTTAAGTACAAGTACTTATATGGTCATAAGTTTAGGTGTTTCAAATCAAAAATGTAGGTAGTATTTCACAAGCAGGAAAGTAGACTAAGTGATTTCATGTTTTAAGTGCCCAGACTTATAGTGAAAAGAAGCAAAGTGAAGTTCCTGGGAGTAATGAAAGACAAGAAGGAGGATGCTACTACCTGTCCAGAACTACTTACAGATGGACAATTGCACTGTCACTTAAAAGCATAAATGTTCTGGCCTCATTTGTACAAAGCAAGCAACTCAAGTAGGAATGCTGCTCCCAAATTACTAAAGGCTAATTTCAGTGCAAATATTTCAGAAGTACTTTTTGAAAGGTTAGTCACAAAATACTCCCACTGAAATAACAGTCTGAAATGTAAAACATAAAATTCAAGCACCCAGGTTGGAGCAAGAGCAGTGAAGGACTGGAATATCTGCCCTACTTCCTTTGTTACCCTTGGTTATATTCACCCAAGTATAGGGGTTTTACTCAGCAGAGTTAAAAATTGATAATCTTAAGGAAAGAATAAAAAGATGGGGCTGGGTTGTCGCTCAGGGGTAGAGCATCTTGCCTCACATATGTGAGACCCTGGGTTCAATCCCCAGCACCACATAAAAATAAATGAGCAAATACAATAAAGATTTTAAAAAAATAAAGTATAAAAAGAAGTTTTCCTCTCTCTCCCTGAGAATATTCGTTAAGATATTCCCCTACAGATGTTATTAAGAATCCATCTAAGATATTCCATTTCCACAAGGACCTTCTCCAGGGCTTTCATAAGAGTGATCTAATTAATTCATACTTAAGGTTTCAGTATCTGATGAGATCTTAATATTTTATACTGCTAAATAGTATTTACAGTTTTATTACAAAAGAATGACAAATGAAATCTCCCTCCATATTAGTACCTGATACGGTCAATAACTTCCCCTTTAAACTTTTTTATTCTTTAGCTGCCATGGCAGTATTTTAATAGACCTTTTTTCTTTACTTCCTTTTATTAATAACTCATTTTTTACTGTGCTTTTTTCCTTTTTCTCTTTGAAACTTTATTTTTCCCTTGCTAAAACTGTGTTAAGCACTCACCCCAAGTCTCCTCAGGCTATACAAATCATTTTAAGCAACACCTTAACTTATGAGCCCAAAGGCATTTAATTCAATATTTTTAAATTTTCCTCCTTCCTTCCACCCAAAACTTTTTTTTCCTGTATTTTTATCACTTTTTTCCTCTAAGGAACAAAAATATCTTTATTTCATTAAAAATGGACTATATCATCTTTCATGTCCTTCAGACTCTTGTGCTGTTTTTCATTTCCCTGTGCTTCCAGAATTCTCAATTTCCCTCTACCACACACTCCAATGACCCTTGCCTATGAAACCTACTAAGGGGCTGGGGATGTGGCTCAAGCGGTAGCGCGCTCGCCTGGCATGCGTGCGGCCCGGGTTCGATCCTCAGCACCACATACAAACAAAGATGTTGTGCCCGCCGAAAACTAAAAAATAAATATTAAAAAAAAAAAAAAAAACCTACTAAGGTGTTCAGGGTATCCCTATTTCTAAAAACTCTTAATCAGCTTCTTTCCATCTTTCTCCCCTCACCACCATTTATTGACTCTTTACCTTGTATAATGATATATCTTTAAAACTACCTCTACTGCCTCCCTTCCCATTTTCCCGCTTCTAAGATTGTGCCTTCTATATAGTCCTATCATTCTTCATCCTTCTTGACAAATTTGCAACATCTGGCACTGAAGATGATCATTAAAAACGCTCTATTGCATTGGATTTTCTTATTAGACTTTGATGATTTTTCTTTTTTAATCACCTCTTCTCAATATATTTCAAAAGCTCTTCCACCTATTTTTTATCCTCTTATCATATACAAAATTCTTCTGTCAATGTCCAAGCCGTCTACCACTTAAATACTATCAATTCTTTCTTGTAATATTTACTATTTATTTTTTTAGTTATAGTTGGACACAATACCTTTATTTTATTTGCTTTTATGTGGTGCTGAGGATCGAACCCAGGGCCTTGCACGAGCTAGGCGAGTGCTCTACCGCTGAGCCACAACCCCAGCCCAAATACTGGCAATTCTTCTTTTTTTTTTTAATCTTTATTGTTTAGTTGGAGTTGGACACAATACCTTTATTTTATTTATTTATTTATATGTGGTGCTGAGGATCGAACTCAGCGCCTCACATGTGCTAGGCAACCACCCTACTGCTGGGCCACAATCCCAGCCCCTAAATACTGTCGATTCTTAAAATGCAGTTCTAGTCCAGATTTCAATGTCTAAGACAAGACTGGGAGACACAAATATCTACTTCTAGATATTCTATAGACATTCCAAAATAGAATTCATCTTTTCCCCAAAATTATGTATTTTTATTCATGATGCACTCAAACTAGCAACCTAACAATAGTATACTTTTCTCTCTTTCTGTCTGCTCCTAATATATTCAAGTGGTTACTAGACGCCACTGATTAACAGCTCTCATATCTCTCTATACATATCCATCATCTTCAGTAACTCTTGCCTGGTCTCTCAGAGTGTCCTTGACTTGCATCCTTCTCTCCAATACAATTCACAGTGATATCAGAATGAGCACCCTGAAACATGTGTTTGATCATTTCCTCGGCTTAAAACTATTTAATGATATGCCATCATCTTTGAAATACTCTAGCAGCTCACGTATCTCCTCCATGAAGCCTTTTCTGAACCCACCACTTTGTTAAATCTCCCTTTATGTCACCAACCATACCAAATAATTTATTATACTTTCTAAAATACTAAACTTATTTGTCTATATACCTGCAAATCTTACTAGACTGTGACCCCTAGGGAGGCATTATGTGTTACGTATAACTGAACCTCCCAGAGACTAGTATAGAACCTGGCATGTAAAAGGAACTCGATAATTATTTAATAAGTGAACATTCTATGGTTATCTGTACTCTGAATCTTCTTACTCTACCTTTCTTAAAGATTTTTTTCTCTGCTCTCTTTAACAGAATCATTGAGTTCTCTTTAATTATTATCCCAAGATGGAAGTATCCCATATTGGTATCTCTTTACTAGACCTGTTCTGAGCTCAATATCTGAATATCCAACTCATGACCTTTCTCCATACAGGATTTATTAGTCTTTTTTTTTTTTTGTAACAGGGGCACTTGAACTTGAACTCAGGAGCACTTGAACAATGAGCCACATCCCCAGCCTTATTTTGTATTTTATTTAGAGACAGGATCTCACTGAGTTGCTAAGAGCTTCACTTTTGCTGAGGCTGGCTTTGAACTCACAATCCTCCTTCCTCAGCTTCCTGAAGCACTGTGATTACAGGTAGTGCGCCACCATGCCTGGCTATCATGAAGTCTTATTTAATAAGATATTAAATAAATGTAAAGAAGTCATTATATTCCTATATGGGATCAGTTTAAGCAACCATGCATCAGGGGAAGTGGGCTCCTCTTGGGCTGGTAGGTCAAGGAGACCAGTTGAAGGCTACATAATCTACTTGGCCTTCATTTTCAGGAGGTGAGGAGAATGAATCTCCTGCTTCTACCTCTCTAGCTCCAACCTCAACTCATACCATACTTCTCTATATTGTGTCCCTACTCTAATCTTCTTGGATTAAAAAAAAAAAAAAAACTTTATTCTAACAATAAATGTATTTAATAGTATCCTTAATTAATATTTTTTAAAAATCTTTCTTTTATTGGACACAGTCATATATGCCTGAAAACAGTTACTTGGGAGGCTGAGGTAGGAAGATCACAGGTTCAAGATAGCCCAGCATGGGGCTGGGGATGTGGCTCAAGCAGTAGCGCGCTCGCCTGGCATGCGTGCGGCCCGGGTTCGATCCTCAGCACCACATACAAACAAAGATGTTGTGTCCGCCGAGAACTAAAATAAATAAATAAATAAATATTTAAAAAAAAAAAAAAAAAAAAAAAAAAAAAAAAAAAAAAATAGCCCAGCAACACCCCCATTTAAAAAAACAAAAGAAAGAAATTATATGAAAAATATATAAATAAATTTTGAAAATTCTTTATTTAAATGATTTTACTATGAATAAAATCATAAAAAGTATTCTTCTTTAACCATAAATAAACATACTCTGCTTGTAACTATCTTCATTTTCAGAATATGAGCATAGTACAAAACATTGAATTTGTACAACTGCCTTTTTACCTTTTCCAATTTTTCAGCCACTTTTTCCTTGTATTGTTGGAAAGCTTTACTCAGCTCCTCGGCATTATATAGTGCTTCATTTCTTTGTCGTTCAGCTCTAAAATTTAAAAAGAGATAATAAATACAAGTGAAGAATGCTCTATATTTGAATAGTTAGGTTCCAAAGTAATTTTTTTAAATATCTTTTCCCTTAGTTGTTGATAGATCTTTATTTATTTATACATGGTGCTGAGAATCGAACCCAGTGCTTCACACATGCAAGGCAAGTGCGCTACCGCTGAGCCACCATCCCAGCCCCAAAGTAATTTTTATTTAATTACAAGTAATAATTAGAAGTTTCTTTAATAGTAAAACAGATTATTAGGCTTAACCTGTAAAATGAAGAATGAAGACTATATTATGATCATTTTCATACCCTATCAACATAAAAAATAAAGTATAACACAAAACAAACTCTAAAACATACATAAATTCCTGTATATTGGCAATATTTCCTCTTAAGCTGGAAAAGACAGATTACAGAAGTAGTCTGTTAGATGGTAAATTTTCAATGGTTAGGTATTACAGAACTATTACACTGTTAAAATATTAAAAGTACCAAATAAATTCTGTGACTTGTTCAAATAAATTTCTAAAAGGTATTTTAATAAACAGTAACCTCCACTGTTATAAGATATAAAACTCTAAACAAAAACAACAAAAATAAAATCCAACTATCACCAAGCACTGCTTAAGCCTCACCTTGCTATTTCATCTCTAAGTTAACCATCACCTTTCCTCATATTTCTCAAATTTAACTGAGAATACTGAGATGGAACTTGATCAATATAACCCCCATACCTAAAACATTTTTTTATATTTAAACCTACTCACATCACATTCTTTTGCACGACCTTCCTCTCATCCAAGATGAATTACTCAATCTATACTCTGGATCTTTACTCTTCCCACAAAGGAACTTCCCACTACTCTCTGATTTTCAGTCCTTTCTCTATTGGCTTTTTTTCCCCCATATATAAACAAATTCATGTGAAAGTACCTCGCTTTCTGAACACTTACCTTTTTCCTTGTTTACTTTGTTCAAGTAAGTCTACCTTCAACTTTATACATTCCTCTTTGGACTCTTGCAAACTGTGTTCCTTTTCAATCACCATTTTCTGGCTCTGCTCTAATTTATCTTCTGCCTCTCTACAAAATAAATTTAATTTAATTTTTTTTTTTTGTGTGTGTGTGTGTGTGTGTGGTGCGGGGATCAAACCCAGGGTCTCATGCATGTTTGACAGGCACTCTACTGCTAAGCTGTATCCCCAGTACCATTAAAAAGACTTAAAGTAATTAAAACAGATATGTAAGAATAATGCAACATTAGGAGTTCTATTATTTAAGTCAGAGAGTTAAGAGAAACAAATATGTGAGATAAAGAAAAAGGCATATTCATAACTTGTTAACTAAGAGTTTTATAAGGAACAAAAGAAGGCTTCCATCAAATGAGAAATATATCTGAAGTAAAAGTTCACATTTCGTGGTCATATACTATAAACCATTAGTACATAGCTCAGAAATAAGGATGACCAAGGGGTGGGGGTGGGGAGGGAGGGGGGCAGTGCTAGAAAGTGATATCGGCCAAATGTTACTGTTATATTATGTATGAATATGTAACAAATCTCATCATTATATACAACTATAATACACCAATAAAAAAATGTGGGAGAAAAAGAAAGGATGGTTATTATCACCTCCACATCCAATGATGTTTCTGACAGTGCTACCCAATACAAAATATAAAAGTAAGAAGTACAAATAGTAAGGGGAAAAAACAAAATTTCCTTGATTTCCTGATAATATCATTAACTAACTAGAAAACTAAGGAGAATTAGAATGAAAAACTGTTATAACAACAGTATGTGAAATAGTCCAATTACAAAATAATTACATTATGCAAAAATCAAGCCAGGTGTGGTTGCCTTTAATCCCAGCTACTCAGGAGACTGAGGTAGGAGGACCACTTGGGCCTAGGAGTTTGGGACCACCCTTGACAATATACCAAGAGCCTATATCTTTCTTTTTTTCTTTAATATTTATTTTTTAGTTGTAGTTGGACATAATATCTTTATTTTACTTTTATGTGGTGCTGAGGATTGAACCCAGGGCCTCACACATGCTAGCAGAGCGCTCTACCACTAAGCCACGACCCCAGCCCCAAGAGCCTATTTCTTTAAAAAAAAAAAAAAAAAAATTCAGTAACCTTCCCAAATACTAACAATGAATGAAATGGGAACAAATTCACAATAAACAACATTATAGGAGCTGGGGTTGTGGCTCAGCGATAGGGTGCTCACCTAGCGCGTGTGAGGCCCTGGGTTTGATCCTCAGCACCACATAAAAATAATAAATAAAGGTATTGTGTCCAACTACAACAAAAATATAAATATTTTAAAAAATTATAAAATAGCAAAGAATTGTTTTAAATGTGTTGAAGTTAAATTTTATATATATAAAAACATAAATTATATATATATCTCTACAAAATATATAAAATTTTATATATCAAAGAAAATTACAAAACTGATGAACTTGAAAAACAACTTTAGTATAAATCAGAATCATCTACAGCACTTATTAAAACACAGATTTGGTGGCCCTACCTCCCATGATTTGTGGTTCAGTAAACCTGAGATAGGACCTGAGAATTTATTTCTAACATGTTCCCACATGATGCTAATACTGCTAATCCCAGAACTACACTCTGAGAATCAAACAGCATAATATGCTAATGAGTATGCATGTATTTTCCATTTATCCAAGGTAGAAAAACAAATGATAAAGTACCTGATCTCTTATATTTTATTTCTTGCACTTTATTGAAGCACTGAGTATGTATTACTATACAATGAGAAATGAACTAATTCATATTTAATAAAACCATGTAAATAAACTCCTCAATTTACATTTACTATTTTTTAGTCCCTATATACTACATGTAATCTGCAGTGAAGAGGAGTTATGATTGACTGCAATTCGGTTCACTAAGTTCTAAGATACCTGCACACTACCTGGGACATTTATTATAAATTTATTGGAGGTGGGGGGAGGGACAAGATTTAATAGGATATAACAAAGAAGTGGGAAATGAAAAATCTTAGTTATAAAAAGGTATACTTACCTCAAAACTTTATCTTGAGCTTTAACTTCTGCTTCTAAATTTATAATCTGTTCCTCTAATATTGGGATGTTGGCTGCCTGTTGCTGAGCAGACTCAAGCACTGAAATCTAAGACATAAAACAACTTTTAGAGCACTTTCTCTTATAAAATAATCTATTTGGTCCTTAGTCTTTTCCCTGTCAGATGAGGGGGTTCAACAGAACTCCTCAGTCACTGGTCAAATGTAATGCTATCTTTTCCTTTAATCAACATTTAGATGGGCATGTCATTATTACAAAACAGTCTCAGCATGTGAGGTCTTGCCATTACTCTTAATATCCTCAATATCCCAATATAACTGATTGTATCTGTAGGCAAGCAAGTGGGGAGAAGACTATCTACTGACATCATCTAGAAACAATTTCATATAAATTAGAATATTAAATATAAAACATCAAACCATAAAAAATTGAGTTTCTATGATTTGAAAATTAATTTTAGGGCTGGGATTGTGGCTCAGCAGTAGAGCACTCGCCTAGCATGTGCGAGGCTCCGGGTTCAATCCTCAGCACCACATAAAAATAAATAAAGATATCGTGTCTAACTACAACTAAATAATAAATATTTTCTTAAAAATTAATTTTAAGTAGGCTCAGTAATCACTGTAATCTCAGTGATTCAAGGGGCTGAGGCCAGCCTGGGCAATTTAGTAAGACCACATCTCAAAATAAAAAATAAAAGGCCTTGGTATGTAGCTCCATGATAAAGTGTCCCTGGGTTCAATCCCCAGTACCAAAAGAAAAAAATAAAAATATAAAACAGATATGGATGTAAATCAGTAATAGAGAGGTTCTGAGTTCAATCCCTAATACCAGAAAAACACACACACACACAGAGCAAACAAACCAAAAAACATGTGAACTGCCCTGGAAAAGACAACTTCCCTAAACTATTTTTTAGTCCCTATATACTACATGTAATCTAAAACACAATTTTAAAAATGTTGAGATTACCTATCTTACCACTTAAAACTGTTATGTTTAAGTCCTTTTAAAGAAAAGGTTAAAGTCTTATTAGTTCAGTGGTTAATAAACTCTTTTTTTATTTAGCTGGACAAGGTAATACACACCTAGGACTCTAGGGGATGAGTGAGGCAGGAGGGTTTACAAGTTCGAGGTCAGCCTTAGCAACTTAGCAAGACTGTCTCAAGATAAAAAATAAAAAGGGCTGGGGATATAGTTCAGTGACAAGAGTATCCCTTGGTTAAATGCCCAGTTTGTAAAACAAACAAAACCATCTATATCTCTTTTGAGTTTAAGTAAGCATTTACAAGTTTAAAGAGATTATAGTTGAAGAAAATTAACATTTTTAATAAACAGAAATGGTGAACAGACAAATCACAGAAATCTAAATGGGCAAACAAATATATTGAAAAGATAAGCCTCATAAGAAATCAGGAAAAATGGTCTTTTTACCTCAAGGGGACAAAAAAAAAAATGTAGAATGCAGGAAATGACTAAAAAACACTTGTTCCCTATAATTTGGTCATTCTGCCTCTGGGAATCTATCCCAGAAACAATCCCAAAGACCAATGAAGTTTTATGCTCATTACTACACTATTTTCTCTCTAAGCTGGGAAAAGAACAACATTTTGTCATTTAAAAAAAAATTTTTTTTAGACATTGATGGGCCTTTATTTCGTTCATTTATTTATATGTGGTGCTGAAAATCGAGCCCAGTGCTCCCCACACATGCTAGGCAAGCGCTCTACCACTGAGCTACAGCCCCAGCTCCTTGTCATTTGTCTTTATATTTAAGTAGAAAAGAAAAATACTTTCCCCTAACTCCACTACTTAAAACTATATAGACTACAAAAAAGGATAGATTAGACAGATAGACCATAAAAGTAAATAATGAAAGCCCCATTCTGACCTTTCAGTTCCTCTTGAAGTTACCAATAGACTTTCTATCCTTACATATTTCACATGTATAACTATATACATACAAACATATATTTATGCACTTTTTATAAAAAGCAAAACTGGGAACTTTGTACATATGTTTTGCTCTGTAGTGTTTTTCTATCATTAAATATATGAAGTAATAGATTTTTTTTTTTGAAGAGTTGGGTATGAAACCCAACAATCTCATATATTCAAGGCCAGTGTTCTAACATCAAGCTACTTCCACAGCCTGGATATGTTTTTGAGTGCTGATATTACCCTAAGTGTCTTTATATATGTTATATCATTTGAACCTCCTAATGTTCTGTGTAATTCAAATAACTTTGCCTCTTAGTACTGATATATTTATCTCATTATTTTTAAAAAGATTTTTGTTACAACCCATTTTATAGGCATAACATAATTTACCGTATTTCTAATTTTAGACATCTTAAGTTCTTCGATTTTTTATTAATTATTATTAATTTTTGGAAGCAGGGATTGAAACCAGAGGCACTTAGCCACTGAGCCACATCCCCTTTTTATTTTGATACAGAGTCTTGCTAAGTTGTTTAGGGTCTCACTAAATTGCTGAGGCTAGCTTTGAACTTATGATCCTACTGCCTCAGTCTCCCAAGACACTGGGATTACAAGCATGCACCACTGAGCTCAATCAACTTCTATTTTTTTATAACATCAACCATACAATAAAAATAGGAACCACTTAAATAGGAAAATCATCAACTAAGTTATAGAATAATCACACAATAAAACATAATGCTACCATAAAAATGATCAGTGAAAAAGCTAAGTAAATCCATCAGAAGATGTTCAGATTAGGCTAGGGGAATAGCTCAGTGGTAAAGAGCTTGACTTCTTACTAACATATGTGAGGCCCTGGGTTCATTCCCAGTACCATCAAAAAAAAAAAAAAAAAAAGAAGAAAACAAAAACTCTGACTATACATGAAATAAAAACCATAGGAAAACCCAAAACTATTCAATAAGGGTCTGGATTCAACTATGTAACCAACCAGTAGGGTAATTTCTAGATGGTAGAAACTTTTGAGTGATCTTTCTTCTTCCTTTCTTCTACTCCTTAAAGTTTCAACAATGACAGTGTATTCTCTTTAAAAAGGAAGATAAATAAACTATATTTGTCTTGTATATAAGAAATACAACACTCTGGTAATTCTAAGAGTTGATTTCTCTATATGTAAAAACTATAACTTTCCCTAAATCATTTTAACATATAATTTTCTTTTTTATTTGCAGAGGGATTATTAGGGTTGAACGCAAGAGTCCTCTACAAATGAGCTACATCCCCAGCACTCTTTATTTTGCTCAATAAGTTGCTTATGGCTTCACTAAGTTACTGAGGATGGTCTCAAATTTGTGAACCTCCTGACTCAGCTTTGCAAGATGCTGGGATTACAGGCATGCACCATCGCACCCAGCTAAAATCAATTTCTTAACATATCAGTAGTATCATAATAAAAACTGCTGCATATTAAGGCAATAAAAAGAATATTTTTCAAATATTTTTCAAATAGATGAAAATGATTTCATCTATTTCCTGTTGGCATATTGATCATTTCAAATACATACTTTTGCTTTTGACTGTGTTAATTCAAAGTGGATTGATTCTATTTTAGTCATTAAAGAATGATTCTGTGTGACCAAACAAGCATTTTGTTGCCTAAGTTTATTAAGTTTCTCTCGAAGACTTTTAATTTCTTGATCCACAGGAGATGAAAAAGACATCTGAAAAATAAAAAAGAGCAATCTATTTTTAATTAGTTAAGGACTACATAAAATGAAAAATGATACATAATTAACAAAATTAAAAGCTAAAAAAGAGATAAAATATCTATTGAATACTGATGAAAATACTTGAGACATCATTACTCTCTCTTCTACTGCTTGTAGAAGCATGCATTAAATATGACTTGGAAAACAGTGGATGTTTTGTTAAATTGACTGGTATTATCCAATAAAATTGAAGATGCTAAAATCAACAATCTCTCTCCTGAGTATAAATCTGATAGAAACATTTGCACTTTTGCACCTGAGGATATACAAATACAAATATTCAGAACTACATTGTCCATAAGAGTAAATGAAAAGAACCCAAATGTCGACCAACAAAGAGAAATAACAGATTAAAATATTTTTTGTTCTGTGTATTTTAAAAAATTATAGTTGTAGATGGATAGCATGCCTTTATTTTATTTGTTGATTTTTTTTTTTTTTTTTTTTTTTTTGGTACCAAGGATTGAACTCAGGAGCACTCCACCACTGAGCCATATCCCCAGCCCCATTTTGTATTTTTATTTAGAGACAGGGTCTCACTTAGTTGCTTAGTGCCTTGCTAAATTGCAGAGGTGCTCTGAAATCATGATCCTCTTGTCTCAGCCTCCACAGCTGCTGGGAATACAGGTGTGAGCCACTGCACCCAGCCTTATTTGTTGATTTTTATGTGGTGCTAAGGCTTGAATCCAGTGCCTCACATGAGCCAGGCAAGCGCTCTGCCACTGAGCTACAGCCCCAGCCCTTATTATGTGTATTTTTAATATATTCTTCTTAACAAACATTTTAATTTTCATGGGGGTTGTGATTTTTCAAAACAATATTTGTATTATTTTTTTTGGCAAGGGGACACTGGGGATTGAACCCAGAAATGCTTTACCACTGAGCTACATCCCCAGGCCTTTTTATTTTGTATTTTGATACACAGTCTCACTATACAGCTTAGGGCTTGACAAATTACTAAGACTGGCCTTGAACATGCAATCTTCCTGCCTCAGTCTCCTAAACCATTGGATTTATAGATGTTGCCATCCCACCTCGTTAGTTTTGGTTTCTTTCTTTTTTTTTTTTTTTTTTAGTAATATATTTAAGCAATTCAAAATCAAAACTACAATAGAAAAAGCATACACAGAAGGGGCTGGGGTTATAGGTCAGTGGTAAAGTGCTTGCCTTTCACGGGTGAGGCACTGGGTTTGAACCTCAGCACCACATAAAAATAAATAAAGATATTATGTCCATCTTTTAAAAAAATCTTAAAAAAAAAAATACACAGAAGACTCCAGCTAATCATTAGTAGATAGGTAACCATTTTCATAATTTTCTTATTTAGTACTCTAGTGATTCCACATGCATACACAAGTAATACAAATTACCCACCTACCTTGACTCTTTATGCAAAAATGAGGATATTTTATACGCTATTCTGCACCTTGCAATTTTTACTTGAACAATATATACTGGCAATCTCTCCATAATCAATACTTAGAGAAACTCAAAAAATTTTCCCTTAAATAATAGTTTCCATTGCATGAATGAACCATACTTTATTCAATCACCTATCACTGGGCACTGAAGTTATTTCTAATGACTCATTTTGACTCATTTTGTACTCACACAGATGTACCCATAGGAGAGTTTTGCAGGTAAATATTGCCAAATGCCTCTCCATAAGGATTATATCATTTTGCATTCACACCAGCAATGTATATCCTCCACATATCACCACAAAAGACAGTGTCAAACATCTGGATGTTTAACAATATGATTAGTAACAACTAGTACTAAATTCAGTTTCATTTTGAATTTCTTTTACTGTAAGTGAAATGTAACACCCATCCATTTGCCTGAAGATCATTTGTATTTCCTTTTCCATTCATGTCTTTTGACCACTGGGTTACTATCTTTTTCTTTTCACTTTCAAGGAGCTTTATGTATACTATAGATTAACCCTTTCTCTTTGATAGGTATTACTAAAAGCTTTTTCTTTCCAACTTGTGATCTATCTTTTGATTTTACTTATGGTAAAACATAATGATTATACACATGTAATATATACAGTAAGAATTATCAGTAATTCGAATCAGGATAGGGATCAAAGGTCCTAAAATTACATACTCTTTGTAGACATGGAATTGAATTTATTTTCTGAAATGTAGGCTCAAATAATTTCATTATGCAGCATCCTTACAGAAAAATCTCTCAAAAGAATGGTTTTTTGAAACAGAAAAAGCAAATTTTTATCAAAACATATGATATGTATATGCAACCTTGTCTATGAACATGAATTTTGGGAATGGGGACACGATAAACAGGAAGAAGAGAGGGCAGGTCAGTGAAAGGGTTGAGTAAGAAAAAGAGATACAGTAAAAGAGAGGAACAGATTTCCAGATCAGGAAAAGATTTCTAACATCATTGACAAACTCAGGCATAATGAAAGGAGAATAGTGCCATAGCACCACATAGCACCTGATTCAAGCTAAATTGTGAATATCCGTTAGTTAATTAATAATTGATTATCTGTTATCTATTGGGCATAATACTAAAATCAAGGGAATTATAATTTACTTGAGAAAAGAAGACATTAAACTATAAAAAGGCAACAAATATAGAAGTTTAAAAATAAAGTAATACACCAATATAACTATGTTCTTGTTAGAACATTAAAAAAATGCATTTTTAATTCTTGAACCCTATAGTAAAAAGAGTACAGAAAATTGAACAGGCATTTAAAGAAAACACATTTTAAGTATATAAGTCTAAAACTAAAACTACTTAAGTAGACAATCTAAAAACAATAACCTTATCTCTTGCACTTTTTTGAAATTCAGTACTACTACCAGACATTTTACAAAGTTTTTTATAAGATGAGTAGTTCGAAAGTCCTGGGTGGCTAGGCTGAACAAGATCTTCCAAAATGAGCCTTTCGGTCCTTGAGGGATTAGAGGTATAATCAGAATTTTCACTTGGACTAACACTAGAGACAAAAAAAGAAGTATATTTTAGTTCTTAGATAGTTTAAGTATTCACTACAAATTCCTATAGAATAAATAAGGAAAGAAAAAGAAATAATCAGAAATGATGCTTAAAATTGTATCTATAGTTATAAATGTAAGGCAACATTCCAACTAAATTTTAAATAAACCATAATTAGGCCAAGCGGCACACCCTATAATCTCAGCCACTTGGAAGGCTGAGGCAGAAGGATTATGAATTTGAGGCCAGTCTCATCAACTTAACAAGCCCTCAGAAACTTGGTAAGACCCTGTCTAAACTAAAAAATTTTATTCCCAAATAAACAAATAAATAAACCATAATTAACATTAAACTAGCAATCTATGTACTTCCTGAGTATCTATGCTAAGGTTACTTAGGATTCAAAAAAATGTCACAGCAATGAAAGATTAATATAAAGCTCCAAATATACACTGTATACTTTTTTTTTTTTTTGGCAGTCCTAGGGATTGACAAAGGCACTCCACTACCGAGCTACCTTCCTGGCATTTTTCTTTTTTTTTTTTGAGATAGTGTCTCACTAAATCACCCAAGCTAATCTCAAACTTGCAATCCTCCTGCCTTGGTCATGCACTACTGTGCCTCACCACTCACTATGCCTCACTATTTCATGCTTTTATTCCTAACCCATTACTGTTTTTTTAATATGTAAATTATTCTCTAATATTCCTTTTTTTTCTAAACTGTGAGTTATATTAAAACGCAGAGAAGGGGCTGGGGCTGGGGATGTGGCTCAAGTGGTAGCACGCTCGCCTAGCATGCATACTTGAGGCCCTGGGTTTGATTCTCAGCACCACATAGAAACAAAATAAAGATATTGTATTCACCTAAAATCTAAAAAATAAATACCTAAAAAAAAAATGCATAGGAAATTATATCTTATTCCAGGTATATTAAAAACACAATATATAGGGCTGGGGCTGTAGCTCAGTGGTAGAGCACTTGCCTAGTACACATGAGGCACTGGGTTTGATCCTTGGCACTACATAAAAATAAATAAATAAAAATAAAGATACTGTGTCCATCTACAACTAAAAAAATATTTTTAAAAAAATAATAATAAGGGGTTGGGATTGTGGCTCAGTGGTAGAGCGCTCGCCTAGCATGTGTGGGGCCCTGGGTTCAATTCTCAGCACCACATAAAAATAAATGAATGGAGGAAAGGTATTGTGTCCAACTACAACTAAAAAAATAAATATTTAAAAAATAATAATAATTACATCAATAAAATAAAGATATACAAAAAACAGTTTTATCATTTTAAGAAATCTTTTAAAAACTCACAATACGTAATAATGGAACCTAAACATTCTACATTCATAAATTAAAGTCACACTCTGAATTCTATATGTGATTTTACTTACCTGGATAATTCTTCCCCTAAATTCTGCAAACTCCATTCTGTTATCTTCAGTTCATGTCTTAAGGAAGCAACATTTGCAAGCAAACTTTCTTCTTCATTGTCTTTATTACAGTAGTCTGATGAACTAGATGCCATTTCTTAAAAAAAAAAAATTCTTGTACCTTGCCTGAAAGATTCCGTGGTGTCAGTCAAAAGGTTCTCACAGTAATGGAATTCATTATTTTTCTATTTCGAATGTTGTGAAATCTTTCATGGTGATTTAAAACAAAACAAAAACAATAATAAATTTCTCTGTAAAGTCATGAAAGATAATTCAATATAATCTGAGTGGACTGATTTTTTTATTTTAAGCAGGGTCTAGTCATTACAGTCCCTCTTTTCTAAGCACATTAAGTCTTCTTTTTTTTAAATATGTATTTTTATTTGTTGATGGACCTTTATTTTACTTATTTGTTTACATGTGGTGCTGAGAATCGAACCCAGTACCTCACACACATGCTAAGCAAGCGCTCCACCACTGGGCTACAATCCCAGCCCTTAAGTCTTCTTAATAAGTGCGTAAAATAAGTATTTTTGTTCCACATTAAGGATGAAGAAGGTATAATTCAGAGACAAATTAATTTGCTCAAGGTCACATAAAGAGTGAAACCAAGATTTTAATCCAGGTCAGCAAGATACAAAGACCTTTTAATTACGTTCAACTACTCTTTTCTACTTCTTTTTTTTTTTTTTACTTGTAGATGGACGCATTATCTTTATTTTTATTTATTTATTTTTATGTGGTGCTGAGGATCGAACCCAGGGCCTCAAGTACGTGAGGCAAACGCTCTACCACTGAGCTACAACCACAGCCCCTTTACTTCTTTATTATGTCAATTTCAATATGACGTATTTGAATTTTCATAATCACTGATAAAATGTAATCAGTACAGTCTTTCATATTTTCCTAGAAGGCAATTAATTACCAGATAAAAGTTATCTCCTCCTCCCATTCACAATGGTTATAAAATTTAAATACATACACACAGTCGCATTGACAAGTCATAAACCACAGAGATCAAAATTACATCTGGAAATTCAATTCATACAACTATTAAAGAAAAAGAAACTTATTTCTTCAACTGTTGAGTATTTCTAGGGTTGTGAAACGCTACTAAATTCCGTCACACATAAAAAAAATCATCATAAGACATTTTTATTATTGGAATTATTTAAAATAAAAAACTAAAGCTTTAGAATCCCTACTACTCCTATACATTTTACTGTATAATCTTACAATTCATTCCTGTTTCAGATTCCACTTACCTTCTTCATTGTAGCACCTCTTTTATCACCCTTTTAAAAATTCTGACCACATCCTGAGGTCCAAAAGGCTAGAAGTCCTATGTATTATATTCAAGACTGTACATTACCGTCTTGAATGTACATATAAATGTACATATAAATGATGAATACTAAACTGCCTTTCCTTACCCTCATCCTTCTAAAGTAATATGCTACATTTAATTCCACACTCAAAATCTCTCAGAGATAGGGTGAAAGGTTAAGGGGGGAAAAAAAACTCTCACCTTATTGGAAAAAGTTGGGGCAGGAAATTAAATATTCTCTGTAATCTTAGCAGACAAACTGTTTTTATCCTCCTTCCTCTTTGTTTCCACAAATGTTTCTGTTCAAACTTCCCCAACAAAATTCAATGATCAGGTTTCCATCCTGCTTTATCTAGTCAGCATCTCTAGTCCCCTGTAAAATGGTGGAGACAAAGGTAAAGAAAATTTGGACAAGTTCAAAAAAATGCTGTTTGATGCTGTATTTTTTATTTAAGTCAAGTTTTATGATCAACATCTGTGTATTTCCATATAAGAATTTTCTAAGTTTTTTGGCAATGATTACATTTGATGTTCAAACATTTTCATTTTTCTAGAGGATCATTTACTGTCAAATAAAGATTGTTCCTCACTTCAACTTAACAGTAGTTACAAAAAAAACTTATCTTCATTGCCTGCACGTACGTGGGAGGGTACATCATCCTACCTAGAAGCCCATTCGACGTCATCTTTTAGCCCTAATTAACTGTTTTATAGGTACACACGCATGCCCACCACAGGAAAGGGTATATTTTATACCCCGACAAGAGGAAAGGGAAGGGGGCGGGTAGTCGTCAATTCCAGGAAGGACCAAACTTCTGGGTCCCAGACACTGGCGGGAGCCTCGTCTCGAGCGCCTACTTTATACCCTGTGATTTTGGTAAGATGGGGCTGCAGTCGGAAAAGATTTCCCATTTTGGAAAGAGGTCATCGTTTTGTTATAGTATTATCCTGTCAGGAAAACGCTCAACTTAACATCATTGATCCTAAGTCCACTTGGAAGAAGAGGAGCAAAACTTGACAGCCTCGGATCTCTAGTCAAATCAAACACAACCCTGCACAGCGGCATGCTCAGCAAGAGCGAGGACCCGGGCCTAGCGCGTCCAAGGTGCCCGGAGGGAAACAAAACTGGTTTCCACCCGCCAAGGGGCATTCGCTCACCACCCAAGTCGCAGCTGGGGACAGGCCCACCGCAGGGCCGCGCGACACGTCTGCGCTAGGAGGCCTCGGACCCTCTCCCGGGCCACGGCGTGGAAGCCTCAAACACACCAAAAGGAGAACAAGCGAACCCAAGCGAGTTCGAAGAGCCGCGGGAACCGTTGGGACGCGCCTCCTCGGCCGCAGCCCCGCCCCCCGCGCTGACTCCGCGAGCGTAACGTCGCGGTCGCAGGGCCTGCCGGGGATCGTGGTCAGCTAGAGCCGTAGAGTCCGCTCCCCGTGCTTTCCCGGGACTACATTTCCCACAATTATAGCCAAGACGCCCATTGGTGTGGGGAAGCCAGGAGAACCTGCGGCGGTTTGAGTATGAGGCTGACGGCCCTGACGCTGGGCGTGAGGAGGCCGAGACTGGGGGGGGGTGAGGAAAGGGAGTGCTAGCCCCGCCCTCAGTCCCTACCCTTTGGAGGACAGCACTTTTTACACAGCGCGTTTGCCGCCGCCGCGGCCGCCACCTTAACTTTCTTCATATTCTGAGTCTCCCTGCCACGAGGAGTCCAGGGAAGAAAAGCGGAGCCGAGGCGCCAGTATCTACACCTCCCACGCCACTTTCAGCCCAAGCTCGCCCCAGCAGGGATGGGAGACAAGATCTGGCTGCCCTTCCCCGTGCTCCTCCTGGCCACTCTGACCCCAGAGCTGCTGCCGGGGGCAGCCGGCTTCACTCCCTCTTTGGACAGCGACTTCACCTTCACCCTTCCGGCCGGGCAGAAAGAGTGTTTCTACCAGCCCATGCCCCTGAAGGCCTCGCTGGAGATCGAGTATCAAGTAAGTGCAGCGAGTGAGCCAGCCTCCTTCCCTTAGCCCTGCTGTACTGCGTTGTCGCCTCACCCCCTTAGGAACTTGCAGACCGCCAGGGAGGTGAGGGGGCGAGGTCCACCGGGGAAGCCCGCCCGCGCCGCGCAGGCGCACGAGACGAAGCTTCCGCCAGTGTCGGGGACCCAGAAGTTTGGTCCTTCCTAGAATTGACGACTACCCGCCCCCTTCCCTTTCCTCTGGTCGGAAAGAGGCCAGAAGTGATGATGTTGGTGGCTTTACTTTTTGTTTCTTAACTCTCCAGTCGTTTTTCTAGCTAGTGTACGCTCCAGTACTAAGAATTTCACACAGTACAGGACAGATACACGTTCTTCTTTATCATTGGACAGAATGATGACACTTGTTTGAGTCACCCCCACCACTGTCACCCAATTCGGAAATTATTAATGTTCCCTCGTCTTGTTGCATTTAAGGATTTTGGAATTATGAATATGTGATTATCACTAAGTGCGATTTTGAGATATCTTGAAAGGAGCTATTTATTGCCTTATTTAGTGGTGGATTTCCATCCCAGTTATATATTCATTATTTTCAAATAAAATAAGATCAAATCGTTTATTAAAACTTTATAACCTTTCATTGAACATTGTCAGCATTTTCCGCATGTCTGTTTTCTTTTGAGTACCTGCTTAATACTCCATTGCAAGGAATTTCCTTAATTTACGTGTAACTCTAGTAAAGGGTAAATTTCTATTTATTGTTTTTTGGGGGATGGGGCTACTGGGGATTGAACCCAGGGGCTTTACCACTGAGCTACATCCCCAGCCCTTTTTATTTTTTATTTTGAGATAGGGTCCTGTTACTAAGGTGACTAAGTTACTAAGGACCTAGCTAAATTGCTGAGGCTAGCCTGGAATTTGGGCTTCTCTCTTGCCTCAGCCTCCTAAATCGCAGAGATTACAGGTTTCAGCCACCATGCCTGGCCCCACGAGCTAATTTTGATGTTTACTGGTAGCACTGTTTCATCTTTAACAGATAACATAATCAAATTTAATTTTTAAGTTGATATAGAGTATTTCTTTTTAAATACTGCATACTCTTACACATAGAGAAAAATAAAAAGTGATATAGAATTTTTATTTGAAGGAACTTTAGGATTAGATTATCAGTGTCTAAGATAAGCATAGAGAGTGAAGTATCTAAAGTCATATAGTTTAGCTATCAAAGTAAGACTAGAACTTAACATTTCTTGATTTCCAGTAATGTTCAGAAGTTAAACCATAAGGGAGTGGGAGTGTCGTTCAGTGGTGAATTGCTTGTATGCCCTGGGCAAGGGTCTGTGTTTAATTCCCAGCACCTGGAGAAAAAACAAATTGAATGTTTGCTGAACAGTTAATATATGCCAAGAATTCTGTAGGGTGTTGGGGGGGGGGTAGTAAAAGTAAAAAAGAGTCCTTATTCTCAAGGAGCTTAATTAAAGGTTACTGGTTTATAAATAGATAAGTTCAATAGAATATTGTCAAGTGCTATTAGCAGAGGGCCACTTCTTTGGGTTTCAAAAAAGGATTCCTGGAGAAAAGAAATCAAAATCTGGAAACTTGCTTAAATAAGACATGAATGCAAGAAATGAGGGTATTTCCATAAAGTGAACAAAATTAATAGACACATAGTCCTGAAAATGCATAGTAGAAGAATTTAGAGGTAGGCTTATATCAGGTAGAGCTTGTATTACATTACAAGTTTTAAGTTTTAAAACTTAAAACAAGTTTTAAAACTTAAAACAAGTTTAAGTTTTAAAATTTATTAGATTTTAAGACTAAAAGTTTAGGGTAGGAAAAGCAGAAAAGAAAATTGGAGGGGCCAAGAGGCTGGATCATGGGTCATGAACCATAGCCTTGCGTGCCAACAGTTCCCATGTTTTGTATGCCATTTAAGATTGAAAGGCTGGAGCTGTAATTCAGTGGCAGAATGCTTGCCTAGCATGTGTGAGGCACTGGATTCGCCTTAACACTGCATTTAAAAAATAATAAAATAAAGGCTTTCTATTCATATAACTACAAAAACATTTTTAAAGAAGATTGAAGCAGATTGCTAGATGCATTGTGAAAGATGGGTTTAAGGGAAGCAAAATTAGAGGAAAGGAAACCAACTTGGAGATTAGTGAAAGAGTCTATAAAGAAAACAATTTGTATTGATCAAAAATTCCTCAGTATTAGGCTGGGGTTGTAGCCCAATGGAAGTGGAAGACCACTTGCCTAGCATGTGTGAGGCCCTGGGTTTGATCTTCAGCACTGCATATAAATAAATGAATAAAGTAAAGGTCCATCAACATCTAAAAATATGTTTTTAAAAAATACCTCAGTATTTATCCACATATTAGGGAAGAATTCTATTTTAACTACTAACTTCTTGGGTTCAGAGCTTGGATTCAGGATCCTGACTCTTAATTGCAACTTGTGAGGTCTTAAACAAGTTACTTCTGACTTGCAAAATGGAGATAATATTTACTACCTCATGGAGTCTGTTTTGGGGGAGTAGAAGAGTTAATAAATGCTCAGAGACATCCCTGACACATGGTAAATGTTCAGTGAATGTTAGTTTTACATTTATACCTCTGGAGTTACATAGCTTGCTTGAGCTTTATACTTGACATCTTTAGTCACTCTTAAAGTGACTTGTTTATTCCTCCAAAGCATTCTTCCAAAAATTTTTTTTGGCGGGGTGGTATGTACCACGAATTAAACCCAAGGTTGCTTAACCACTGAGCCACATCCTCCTCCTACTTTTAATTTTGAGACTAGGTCTCACTATGTTGCATAGGGCTTTGCTAAATTGCTGAGGCTGGCTGGCCTCAAACTTTTAATCCTTCTCTCTCAGCCTCCCGAGCTGCGGGGATTACAGGTGTGAGTCACTGTGCCTAGCTCTAAATAATTTGTTTATGTCATTTAGTATCTGTAATATTTTCTTTAATATGTTTTTAGTTGTAAACACAATACCTTTATTTTATTTGTATGTGGTGCCAGGGATGGAACCCAGTGCCTCACGCATGCTAGGCAAGCACTCTACCACTGACCCACAACCTCGGCCCCAGTATCTATAATCTTAATGTTAAAGGGATTTGTAGGGTGAGGATTATCTTTACTCTTTGTTTACATTTTCCAACTCCACAATTAATTTCTCAATAGCTACAAGGTACTGATTTTTATCTTACAGTTGGGAGATTTCCTCTCTCCCCCTAAAGGTTCCCTGAAGTCAACTGACAGTAGGTAGATCATAGGTAGATCAATAGGAGAAATAGGCATTTGATCATAGTTTAACATAACACAGGAGCCTTCAAATTGAAAACCAAAAATCCAGAGAGTATTATTCACATTTATGCTTAGGTTTGATAAAGCCATATAGAAATATGACTGGACATATAGGTATGATCTAATAATAATAGATTGGGGGGGTAGGTAGTGGGACCAGTAAGGCCTGTCTGATTCTTCCTGGATTTTATGCAACATTTCTTCCTTCTGGTTATGGGGTACAATTCTTTCTAGAATGGGAGTTTACAGTCAAGTAAAATGGTAAGTGAATTTCTTTATGTTCAACTCTTACACAGAAACATAAGAGGAAATTAGAAAAATATTTTAGGTCTTACGGCTAATTATGGGATAAAGGGGTTCTAGTTTTCATGCCCCACCTTAGGTAGAAAGAATTCTAGTTTGTATGGCTTACTTCAGGGAAAAATGGGTAAAAAACAGGAGGACAAAAGAAGGTTAGAGACAAACTTTGCTTCTCAGGTCTTTACTTACTTTGGGGTATCATTTTCTGAACCTTAAATTAGTGTTTATTAATATTAAATAGATATTCCATTGTTGTGCTTGATACTACTGGTTACATATTGGTATGTTTTTGTGTGTTTTTTTGGTGTTGGAGATTGAACCCCAGGCTTTATACTACTGAACTACATCCCCAACCCTTAATTTTATTATTTTTTTAAATTTTGAGACAGGGTCTCTTTAAATTGCTGAGAGTCTTGCTCAGTTGCTGAGGCTGGACTCAAGGCAGTCCTCCGCCTCAGTCTCTGGAGTTGCTGGGATTACAGACAAGCACCACTGCGCCCAGCATTTATTGAAAATTTTTAATCATTTTGTACTTTTAGGTTTTAGGAGATTCATTTCTGGGTAATTGACCAGCCCACTTTATATTACTATAAATTCTTGAAATCTTTTAATTCCAATACCTATATCTTATTAATAAAATGGATCACTCATTTAAAAATTATATCATTGTTAAGTGCTTAATGTGTGTCAACACTATCCTATGTGCTAGGTATACAACTTAGTAAAAATATAATCCATGGGGCTAGGATTGTAGTTCTTCAGTCAAGTATGGGGATAGACATTACTCAAATAAATTTGAAAGTGTAACTCTAATAAGTGCTATGAAGGCAAGCACGTGAGTCTTGAGTGTGCTTATAGGAGAATTTTTTTTTTTTTTTAATTTCATCTGGAAATTGAGGGAAGACATCCCAGAAGTGGAGTTGAGAACTGTGGAATAAGCAGTTTTCTAGGCATAAGCAGGTGAGTGGAACAAGACAATGAGTGAGAAGAATAGTTTGTGCCTAGGAGCTTCAGAAGAAGACAGTCTCTCTTGGAAGAAATGAGGGCAGTACAATGAGGAAAAAGTGGTACAAGACTATTCTTGAGAAGTCAGTAGTGACCAGACCATGTAAGGCCTTTTAAGGATATGGATTAAGGATACCCTTGTTAGATATGGATCTTTTACAGAGTATTAGGGAGCAATTGAAGAATTTTAAACAGGTTAACCTGATTAGATTTGTGTTTTGAAAAAGATCATTTTGGCCACAAAGTATTGAATTCTCTGTGCCAGTTTCCCTATACACATAACCACAATAATCACTTGCTTCCTATGGTTCTTATGACAAATAAATATATTAATACATGTAAAAGGCATGGTGTCTGACACCTAATAAGCACTCCAGAAATATTATAGAAAATATACCC